AGTCCAAGTTCTTCAAATCCACTGTCAGCTGGCAGGTAGTGTTTGCTTTTTCCCACTGGGTGCCCCTGGGAGTTCAAGCTCTCTTCAGGCTCCTACCAATGCACCCTGACCCCTGCTCTGCCCCAACGTCTTGGAGATAGTCTTGCTACTTACTGCTAAGCAATAGAGAAGGTCCTGATTCTGCACTCTGCCTCTCCAATACCATCCCAGTGGTAAGTGGAAGTGATCCTCTTTTACCACTAGACAGGGATGGATGGAAGGGTATCATTTCCACATCACCCTGTCCGGTCTTGGGAATCCTCTTACAGTTTTCCCGAGGTAGAAGTTGAGACTTCTCACTTGAGCTTGGTTAGCTTAGGAGGGGTTTAGAGCTCAGCTTTTCTTCTTCTTGCTGTTTTTAAGAGGCTATTACCTAAAAGATTTTGCCTTGCAAGATCCCTTTGTCTGGAATTGTGGCTTAAGTTGCTTGTCTCCCTCCCTCCTTCCCTTCTTCCTTGCTTCCCTCTCTGCCTCTCTCCCTTCCTTCCCTTTTCCTTTTCTTCTTTCTTTGTTTTTGTTTCATACTTCTTCCAAATGCAATCTTAAACATATAAGAACAAGATGAAAACCCGAGGACTCAAAACCGTGTCCACTTGGTCCTGAGATATTTAGCCACATTACCTCCTTCCCTCTCCCTTTCAGTGTCTTCTGTCTTCTTTCAGATATTGAACATGGTTTTAGCTATACTTAGTAGGGGAGATAGGGAAAACTATTTCTCCTCCATCTTACTGGTATAGATACCAAGTGGCAGGGATTTTTACTATTGCCCTGAAATTCTAGGAGAAGGAGGAATGTGGCTGTCACGAGGGATGAGAGAGGGGGAGAAGCAGTGAATGGGATCTACAAATATGGGGAGAGGTTAGACTGGGGAAGCAAATGCTGTGGGGGTAAGGTAACAGTGATAGTGATGTCTGATGTTCCCCTTACAGCATTTCCTCTTCTGTGTGCCACATATTACACACAGAATAGTCTACGTAGAGTCCTCAGATTGCAGAGAGATAGAGATGGAGGAGAAACTTAGGCCAAATCTCTGGAGTCAAGGAAAATAGGATCCAAAGATGCAGAGCCCACCAGGGTGACAGAGCCCTGCCTGAGGCATGGCCGTGCAGGTGCAGTCTCCCTGTAAGCCTGCATGTTCTCTGCCGCAAAAGGGAAACACAGCGGGAGCAAGAAGCTGAGTCACTGTGACAGGACATTGCAGGATGGAGGGCATTGGCTTGGTGCTCTTCGTGTTCTGCTCCACTGCCTGGGTGGAGAGAAGCACTCTTCATGCGATGTGGGGCAGCAGTTGGTGTGTCTTGAGAAAGTCCAGCCAGATTTGCTCCACAGAACACCCCACTGTCTTCTGAAGGGTGCTCTGAAGAGAGTCCACTCCTGTGGCTACCGTCCCTCTCCCTCACAGTCCTCTTCATCCTGGCCTGCTTCACAGATCTTGTGCCCAGAGTTTCAAATCACCAAATCCACTGAAGCAGAGACACCCTAGAGAGAGCCTGGGCTCTCCTCCTCCTCCTCGGGCTCAGGCCAGAGAGAGTGACTCAGCATATGACCCCCTCAGTCAACTTGGGCACATGTTTGGGAACCATACGAAGTCAGGAAGGCAGCAGGGATTGGGACAAACCTCTGACCATATTCAACTTTTACTAAGACTTACCTTGCTTGAGGACCTGCAACTGAAGAGAGGCATAGGGCTTCAGGACTATACCACTGTCCAGAGCAGAAGGGCCAGTGGGTTGTTGGTCAGGTCAAATGTTCCTATCTTGGGTCTTTGTTTCCAATAAGTGCCACTATGTCTCCCAGAACTAACTTTGCCTGACATCTGAGCCTTAGCTTTAGTTGAGCTTTAGTTGATTTCCCTGTTCTTTTTCCTTGTGAGCACTGTGGGGTGAGTCTCCATTCCTATAGTGGGGAAAGGGATATTTTCCAGTTTTTTCTAGGCCTGTCTGCAGATAGTGAGGAAGCCCTGGTGAGGGTTAGGCTAGAGCTGCTTTGGTCAGCTACTCCAAAGTTTAGGAAAACTGAAATGAAGAATAGCAAGATGACAGGCTGGGAAGGTGACTCAGTGGTAGAGTGCTTGCCTTGCATGTAGGAGGCCCTGGGTTCAGTTCCTCAGCACCATATAAGCAAAAAGAAAAAAGCCGGAGGTGGTGCTGCGGCTCAAGTGGTAGAGCGCTAGCCTTGAGCTGAAGAGCTGAGGGACAGCGCCCAGGCCCAGAGTTCAGGCCCCACGACCCCCCCCCAAAAAAAAAGAATAGCAAGATGCCAAGGAACAAGGCTAGATGGAGAAGCTGTTGTGATTTGAAGGCTGATTTTTTTTGAGAGGTTTAGGAAGGCACTCAGGTTAGAGACTATAGACAGATGGTGTGGTAGGGTGGAAAGTGTTGCAGAGATCATTAAGAGGCATAGCACTACCTGATGAGTGTCTAGCTGGCATGGATCTGAGCTTAGTGGAGAGACTGGCTAGAGACCCAGGAAGAAAGAGATGTGGAATCCCTGAGTATTGAGTGTACCAGGAAAGTTAGAGGCAGGGTTCCTTATCCATTTTTAAGCATATACTCTGACACCAGTATGATGCATAGTTTTCCTTAGTTTGTATTATGAACACAATATCAGTACCTGTTTAGGGTATCCTTCTCCTAAATCCAAATGTCCAAGTCCTACCCCAGTAGCTCAGGAGGTGGTTGTATTTGGAGACAGTAAAGAAGTAACTAAATTAAACTATGCCCGTAAATGTGGCCCCTAGAAAGTGGCGCTGTGGCTCCAGGGGTGGAGCGTTGCCTTGAGCTGAAGAGCTCAAGGATAGTAGCCAGGCCCAGAATTCAAGCCCTATAACCAAAAAAAAAAAAAAAAGGTGGACCCTAAGCCAGTGAGACTGGTATCCTTGAAGAGAAGAGAAGTAGATGCAGATATGCAAAGAGGAAAGAACAGCTGAAGGTATGGGGACAAGACAGCCACCCACAGCCATAGAGAGGGAGGAGCCCCTGAAAACACCAACCCCACAGCCTCCATGTGCTCACAGTCCCAGATACGATAAGAAGAGAAACATCTATGGTGTAAGCGACCATGGTATGCTTCCTTGCAATGGCGGCCAGAGCCACTGCCATTGTAGCCAGTGTCGTGCACTTCCTCCCTGTCCAACGTTATTTTAAATGTATCACATACTTTCACCTGGTTTTCATCTATGGCTACCCAAACTGCAGCCCCTGAGTGGGCCCTGAGGTTTCTCCTGGTGCAAGGCGTCACCCAGCCTGCCTCCTATCTGCTCCTAGTTCAGTGTTTCTCTAGATTCTCATTTGTCCCACCACTTTCCTCAGTGGCCTCCCCAGGTCGTCCACTTACCCCTTCTCCTACCCATCACTACCCTTACCCCATGGGGCTGTCATTCTGCGCCTTTGTGATTACTCGTTGCCAAACAGAAAACGGTGATGATAGGAACTGCCAGCACTAATGAGCAACTTCACTGGTTGTTTGGTTGTCATGTAGCCACTCACACAAGCCAAAACATATGGGCTTCTCCTTGTGGCTTTGCATCTTCCTGCTCTTCTAGCATAGCTCCCAAGGTCCTGGGAATGATGGGAAGGAATGGGATCAGAAATGGGATCAGAAATAAGTTCAGCAGGCCCAGCCTCTAGTGTGGAATCCTCTGAGTGCCTTTTGGCACAATGCTCTCCTTATAGTGCCAGTTCCACAGAGCTCATGTAGCTCATACATCCCTGTGCTGATGAAATCATCTTCATACAGAGAGACAAATGACAGGCCCTTCTAGACTTATTCACCAAATGCTAAATCAGAATGAAGCCCTAGGGATGGTAAATAATCTAACATCCAGGGACTAACTGATGGTATTGGTTCTTATGTGCTTTTAAAAGCATTTGCTTTGAGAAGAGTATATGTGCTTTTTAAATCACTTGGCTTGAGAACAGTACAGATGTGTTGTATAACACAGATAATTAGTGTGAAACTGTTAAAGGTAACTAAATTAAAGCCATATTGTAGACCTGTCCCAAAAAATGGGATCAGAAATATGTGTGCTGTTGCATTTGTGTGAGCATGTGTACATAAATTGTTTCCACACTAAATTTTTTCTATATTTTGGACATACTGGGGTTTGAACTCAGAGTTTCATGCTTGTTAGGCAGGTACTCTGCTGCTTCGGCTCTACCCTCAGTTTTTTTTCTTTGTGTTCTGCTTGCCATGATTCCTTATTTTTGCTTCCCAAGTAGCTTGAGTGTCAGTCACCTGCCCCCACACCTTTTTCTGTGGAGATGAGATCTTATGAGCATTTTGTTCTGTCTTCAAACTGTAATCTTCCTGATTTCTACTTTCCCCATAGCAAGTATTATAGACATGACCCAGTGGCACTCAGCCTAAAATTCTTACATTGTACATTAACGAGGACAGGAATTTGTCTTTCTTTTTTTCTCTGCTGTGTGTGTGTGTGTGTGTGTGTGTGTGTGTGTGTGTGTGTGTGTGTGTATCTTCATTGTCTAGAACAGTGTCTAAAACTCTTGACTAAAAACTTGGAGGAGGAAGGAGTAAGGAAGGGAGAGGGAAGGAGGGAGGGAGTGAAGGAGTGAGGGAAGGAGGGAAGGAGCGAGGGAAGGAAGGAGGGAGGAAAATTGGGAGATGGCTTCTTTTCTAGAGTGGCTCTATCCTGTCACTATAAGGCTACAGAACTCTGTCCTTGGCTAGTAAACAATTGTGTTGCTACATTACCCAGTTCTGCTCCCCAGGGTATAGACGGGTTCCCATGCGCTGATAGCCACTCAAGTGTCCTCATAGGGAGTAGACGCAGGTAGAGGGCATGCCCCGTGACCACCAGAGAAAGCTATGTGAGTCACTGCTCCACTGAGTGCCCTAGAGTGCAAGAACGGCCCCTCATTGCTCTATAAAAGCTGCTTGGCCACCAGGGCTCCTAGGTCAGACAGCGCTCCTGGTTCTTTATCCCAGGAAGGGGCCAGGAAATGGCACTGGTCCTGTGGGTCTTCAGCCTGCTGGGCTCAGTCTGCCTGGTATCAGCCAACATCTTTGGTGAGTTCTGAAGCTGAGGCAGGTGGGTAGGGAGGGGGCTGTCAGACACTGGGCTTCTGCATCAACCAGGCATTACCCAAGACCCTTACTCTTGCTGTCAGATTTAATTTAACCCAGAGGTTGGTTATTTGCTTTTCATTTCTAGATAAAGAGGCAAGGGTTCAGAGAGGTGGCTGTGTTGCCCGAGATCGCAGCACTGGTGATTGGAACAGTAGAGTTAGGAAGCAGATATTCCTAACTCAGGTCTAGCTCCTCCTTACCATACTCTTGGGTCAAGTTTTTGGCATTGAGATTGGCTTTTAATCCCTTTGGCTACCCAAGTCTATGTCACCCATGATAGTATTTAAGGAATAGACAGCAGGCAATAGGGAAAAATATTCGATTTCCTGGTTGAGTGAAATAGAATTAAGCTTTATACTTGACTTAGATGCCTACCTATTCAACTATGGACAGACTGCCCAGCTGCCATGCATGAAAAATTTGCATGTCATACCTCATGGTATGGTTACAACTCAGGAGGGATTTGTGCGTGTCACACAGCTTATCAGTAAAGCATGACATGGTGTGCTTTGTTAACTACTTCACATTGTGTGCCAGGTAATAGGTTAATCCAGTCTAGGACAAAGTTCTGATAGTGTTCTGTCTAGCACACAGAAGTTTGGGCTGCATGGATTCCCAGGGTTTGATTAGGAATTCTCTGTCAGCAGCTGTGTGATCTAGGGCAGGTTACTTCCACTGTCAGAGTATGGATACCACATTGGTGCATGGAAGTACTACCATCACTTCCTGGGGCAGTGTAAAAGATTAAAGGACCTAATGAGATCCTGGGAAAGGCAAACGACTGCCAAGTCTGTTCAACTGTGATGGTTAATGACTATGTACTAGAGACGCATGTGTGTCTGTGGCTGGGATCCAGACTGAATCCTTCCATCCTAAATCACTTTCCTTTGCCCAGAATACCAGGTCGATGCCCAACCACTTCGTCCCTGTGAGCTGCAAAGGGAACGGGCCTTTCTGCAGCAAGCAGACTACATACCCCAGTGCTCTGAAGATGGCAGCTTCCAGTAAGACTGACTTCCTCAAGATACCCCTGGGACAGGGGGACTTGAAGAGCATCTGGAATTTTCTCCTTGCCCTCCACCATGCTTTGCAGTCCTCAGAGTGCATGAGTAGCATGCCCTGCATATGCCTAGCCTAGCCCAGCTTCCGTTCTCCTGAGCTACTGCCAGATCTGAGTCAGGACCTCTGCGAATTCAGGGTGGCAAGAGAGGAATTAACTAGGGTGCCTTCCTTTTGTGAGGGTTTGTTTTTAATGTCCCTGTACCCATGTCTCTTGTTCTAGCACTGAAAATTCAGTCCTACCATGTCTGTAGGAAGGTTCAAACACCCTCTTTTCTTCTTCTCCTCTCCCTGGCTATCCTGCAGCTCTCAGTTTAGCCTTCTCTTCTGTGGGAAGAGACTCCTGCTCCTCCACACCCCCCTGTTATCTCCTGCCCCTTACCAGGTTGGAACTAGTGGCTTCCAGGATCTCTAATGGTGTCACCTCCTGCATCTCCTCCTCAGGACTGTCCAGTGCCAAAATGATGGCCGTTCCTGCTGGTGTGTGGGTGCTGATGGCAAGGAAGTGCCAGGCAGCAGGCAGCAGGGAAGGCCAGTGGCTTGTAAGTGGTGTCCAACGTGACAGGAAGGCCGGGAAGGGTCACCCTGGCTCTGGGAATGAGTAGAGCTTTGGGTGGTGACCCAGGCAGGTCCCCCTCTGGGCTGCGGGTCTTCTTATTAGAATAAGACAAGTTCCTGCCCACCACACATGCTCCTGTTTCCTAAAGATCCCTGTGAAAATCAAATGAGACATCGAAGTCATTTGTTCAGCAAGTAGCTGCCAAGGGCCTCCCTCACGCTAGGTACCGTACCTGGTACAGAGTGAACAATGGCTGATAGACCTCTAAGTGTCCTGAAACCAGAAGGCAGGTGGAAAATTAGGGATGCTGTTGGAGGGCTTGGGAGGAATTTCTAGGATTTGGGAAAAAGCTAGCTAGGTAAACGCTGTCTAGTTACAATGATGGTTAAGGTCAATTGTCAAAGAAACTGCCCATTTAGCTGATGTCCAACCTCTAAAACCAAGGTCATTTTGAGCAGATCACCTTGAATGGTGAAATCAAGCCTCCAGGGGGAGACAATAGTCCTGTCAGGAACCTTGGTTTTATGTAAACAGTGTGGCTGGCTTGGGATCAAGTTGGGCATCTCACATTCCACTTGGTCTTGACCATGTCCCATGCTCTTCTCTGGGCTTCAGAAGGCTTCTCTCCTGTAACACAAGCATTCAGTCTTTCTCCTGTAGTGTGGAGACTTAAAACACTCCATGCACTGAGTGAGTAGTGGTTTTCAGTAGGGGTAAATACTACTAATGTCCCTTTCCTTCATGTCCCTGGAGGGAGGCAGCTGTTACTCACTCTGTGCATGAGGAGAGAGAGGCACAGAAGAGCAAAGCAGCTTCCTCAAGCCACACAGCCCAGGCATGTGCAAATCAGATTTCATCAAGCTCTGAGCCTGATCTCTCTGGACAGTGTGTGGCCATTGTGTGTCTACTTGATGAACATGGCAGTAGAGAGACATACCCTCTTTGTCTCTGTTCCCAGAATACTGGAGCATTCTGAGTACCATGCTGAGCATCCCTAGCCCCTGCCACTGGCTCCCTTTCTACTGCATCCCTTAGGGAAAGAATGAGGGTCTACTTGGATTTATTTCCATTAACCTCTCTCAGCATTCCTCTGACACAACTCTCGGTGTTCTTAGGTCTGTCCTTCTGCCAGCTGCACAAACAGGAGATCTTGCTGAGTGGCTACCTTAACAGCACAGCCACCACCTACCTTCCTCAGTGCCAGGATTCTGGGGACTACGCGCCTGTGCAGTGTGACCTGTGCCAAGGGCAGTGCTGGTGTGTGGACGCAGAGGGGATGGAGGTGTACGGCACCCGCCAGCTGGGGAAGCCCACGCAGTGTGAGTCTCCTACGCACTGGTACCATATCCCTGCGCAGGCTACAGCTTTGCCCACGGTCACTCAGAGCCTGGCCCTCAGAAGGAGAAGGAAAGCTTTGTGCAGACAGGTTTGATTACTTCTCAAATTGTGTAGTGACGGATGATCCATCCACACTTGCTTCTGAATTAAAGGCCAGTAAAAGGACAAGGAGGATTCCAATGAACATTTGTAAGTCACCTGTTTCAGTCAGATCTTAGTCGCAGTTGGCCTTTTATCTGTCTAAAAGGCAGAAACATATTCATCTAAACATCCAAAGGCTGTAAGAGTTTTTACACCTGGGGATGTGGCTCCAGGGGTAGAGTGCTTGCCTAACAAGTATAAGGCCTTGAGTTTAAACCTCAGTTCTGCCAAGAAATAATAACAATGAACATGTTCCATAAAACATGTTTAGGTCCAAGGAGCTGTGAAATAAGAAACCGTCGTCTTCTCCACGGGGTGGGAGACAAGTCGCCACTGCAGTGTTCCACAGATGGAGAGTTTATGCCCGTCCAGTGCAAATTTGTCAACATCACGGACATGATGATTTTTGATCTGCTCCATAACTATAACAGGTAAGGGGAGTCATTGCCTGCCAGAGCCCACTCTCACCTTGAGAGCTGAAGTGCTCTATGTCACACGCACAGCCAAGGGGAGAATTCACATACATCTTACTGTGTGTGGTGTCCTCCTGTGCCTGTAATCCTAGCACTCAGGAGGTGAGTGCAGGAAGATTGTGAGCTCAGAGCTAGCCTGAGCTACGTAGTGAGTTCCAGGCCAATCTGGGTTGCATATGGAGACTTTATACCAAAAGCTGAAATTATATCTTCCCCTCATATGCTGCATGGCTATGTTTTCAACAAAGCAAACTGGCAATTTATGCGATCAATGTTTCACATCATTTTACTTTATTATAATACATGATTACTACATTACATTATTTATTATACATGTGCTGTCTAGTCCAGCTAGCCCAGGAAAAGGAGAGTATCAGAATGTGAAGACACACATACTGGGGTGCCTACTGCATTGGTTTTCATCAGCATGATAGAAAGAATGGAGAGGGGTGGCTGAGTGATTATCAAAGATAGTGGATGACTAATGTTGAGTCTCTATAAATACATATGTAGTCGTTCAAGAGACTGCATTAGAGCTAGAACGGCTGACATGGAGAAGATTCCATTGTACATTACGATACAAAATACAGAGTGCAACTAGCATGATTCAATGGAGGAAAATGAAAGAGCCAAAAGATCATTTCTTTATATAGAGAGGATTTTACGATCATGCTGGGGTCTCTATGGAAGAAGGGAGCCCCGAGGGAGCCCCGAGGGAGCCCCGAGGGAAATGTGGTTGCCATAGGCCATTCAAAGGAGCCAGGCTGCTGTAGAGAAGAAGGGATAGGCAGGAACAGGATCATCAGAAAAAGAAAACTGGTAGCAAAGATAGGGCCATTGTATAGGCACTTTTTAGTGATTTAAATAGCAAAGGCAAAACAGAGAGATGGATGATAACTCTTGAGACAAATAGGTAGATAGCTCTGGCTGTTTCAAGATAGCTACCTGATCATTGTGAAGGGCCCGTGCTGACTTCATGGGCAACTGGGCTTGTCTGAGTAAGAGAAAAAAGGTCCGGCCTAGGAATTGTACTGGGCTACGATGTAGCTGGCTTCTAAAACAAACCTTTACTCTTCCTGTGTGAGAAGGGACATTTTCATGGGCTGTCCCAGAACCCTCAGGCTGAAAGCATGCGCACAAAGATGGCTCTGCGTTGTTTGAGCTGCATAATATATTTTTTAAAAAAATGTAGGAGCTCTCATTAGGCTATCGCCCATGAAGTTGAGCATTAGCAACTTTGTATGTTCAACCTAAAACATAAAATCTGAGATGCTGATCTTAAAGAGCAAGGGCAAGAGGCTATAGGCATTTGCCCACAGCATCAGGAAGCTGGGCTTGAACTGCTCTTTCTGGACCAAAGCCCAACCTCCCATTCCCTGAGTCCCTCTCCTCTCCATTGCCACACTCTGGCACACTCCATCGATTTGCATGCCAGAACTGTCTTTCCCCTGCATTCTGCCTCTGCCACTTTTTAGCACCGTGACCTAGCCATTTACCTTTCCAGAACCTTGGTGCCTCCAGCCATGCAATAAAAGGCAATGCCCTGCTCAACAGGCCATGGTGCAAGTCTGATGTCACCTCATTGATAGGACCATTGAGAATTTGCAGAATTACTATGCATCAACAAGGAATTCTCACATACCACCCAGTTTTAGCATGTGTAGATTAAATTTTTTTTTCCTTTGGGGAATAGAGAATGACCTGTCGGAGAGCATATAGAAATCTCCAACAGGATCATTTACTATACGTATCCATGCAAATCAATGTGTTCTCAGTTCAAGTTAACTAAGTACTCACATTACACAGGGAATTTTTCATCCTTTCACTGACTTTAATATTTTTGGTAAATGCCAATACTGGAGCTTAAACTTCACTCTTCCTTGGCTCTTTTATTCAAGTCTAGTGTTCTACCACTTGAACCACAACTCCAATTGCAGCTTTTTGCTTGTTAATTGGAGAAAAGAGTCTCTTAAATTTTTCTGCCCACTCTGGCTTCAAACTATAATCCTCAGATTTCAGTCTACTGAATAGTAAGGATTCCGGGTATGAGCCACCAGTACCCAACCTTATTCCAGTATTAATAGAAGTCATTTGATGGTTATAGTTTTTAGTACACAAATTTATTTAGTACACAAATGATGACATTACAGCAGAAGCTAAGGAGCTTATTAATAAGTCCTACAGATGTCTGGATGCTTTTATTATCTTGCATTATTGCTATTCATCTCTGTTCCTCACAATGCCATAGCACAGGATCTTGAATGTAGTAGGTCTACAATCTATGGTAATGTGAATAGTCATCACATTGAAGAATGGTGTAGGAGGGGCTGGGAAGGTGGCTCAATGGTAAGAGCGCTTGCCTTGTATGCCTGAGGCCCTGGGTTCCATTCCTCAGCCCCATATAAAACGAAAAAGCTGGAAGTGGTGCTGTGGCTCAAGTGGTAGAGTGCTAACCTTGAGCTGAAGAGCTGAGGGACAGTGCCCAGGCCCCGAGTTCAGGCCCCACCCCCCCCCCCCCCCCCAAAAAAAAGAATGGTGTAGTTGAGATGAATGTACAATTCATAGCTATTTCCACAAGAGGGCAGTCTAGTTAAGTTCAAAAAAGTAATTGGTAAGCATTCCTTGTTTAACAAAAACCAATCCAAACATTCACTGTGGAAAACAGATCCTTTTCTTTTTTGTAAGTAATACAGACTCAGGGTGCCAGGTATATCTGGATTCCAGATAAGCAAAGGGTAATGTCCCCAACATTGCAAAAACCATTTTAAGCTGGGGAGTGAGTGGAGTATGATGTAATCACTATCAGGCTTAGAGTTGGGAAAGCATTGCCAATAGAAATAGCAGAAGCAACAACTCAACAATCTTAACAGTAAAAATTACTTTGCTAAAGGAGGGGGCCTACCATTATTATTTCAGAAACCATCCATAAAAATTGGACTCTGTCAAGTCTGACTTTGAAACACAGAAACAAAGATGTTTAAATCTTGAACTCACCCTGTTGAAGGCAGAATCATGTCAGCTCTATATCTAGAGAATAATGGAAGAAGATTTAGGATACCTGGTTCCTGCTGTTGGCTGGGTGAATTTGATCTAATCAAGTTGCCACTCTACATCCCAGCTTTCTGAGATGGAGATTATTTGAAAGGATAGTTGTGAGAATTTGGACTTAATATGATGAGCTCAAACATTCATAATGCTTTTATAGCATCTTATTTTCAATACACACTGCCTTTTACCCTGTTTGAATAGCAACTACTACTAAAAATCACGTGTTAGGTAAGGAAGGAAATTCTGATACATCAGCTCTAGGCCTTTAGCTCATCTTAACATCTATATAACTGGCAAAACAGGATTAAAGATGGCAGCACAGGGTGTCTGCCCCAGAGAAGATGAAGTGACAGTCTTAAATTGTCCATAAAGCTCTCTTCCTTGGGAGGATGTGATGACTCTACCTGAAGCAAGTCATTTCTAACATGCAGGAAGGGAAAGATACAAAGAGGGATACATGCTAAGAGCTCTGGTAGGTCCAGGAATTGGTCAATATATAAGAGCAGAGACTCCAAGAGAAGGACTTGGACTATAAAATTGCAGAATGAAAATATCACAAAGGTCCTGTAGGTCATAGCTTCTCTAGGCCAGGAAGTCAATATTAGCCATTTGATTCCATTCTCAAAGCATGGAATAGATGATTTAATCTCCTTGTTCCTTGTGATGGAATGGATTCCAGATCCCACTGAGGCAAGTCAGGTGACTGGTCATTGCATCTACCCAGCCCAGTATTTTCAACACCTGTTATGTGCCAGGAAAAGTGAAGCATTGCACCTTCAGAGAAGAGACAGTACAGTCATATTGCCTCACAAGAGATCAGGAGCAACCAAACATGTACTGAATAAAGCCACTGGCAGAGACTAGTAGCATGTGGTGAATGAGACCAGGGTGTGAGCTCCAGTTCTCACTACTAGATAAATATGGTGACCCATATCCCTTATCTTCCTCATCTCTAAACTAAGATAGAAGAAATACAATCTTTCTTTTAGGGGCATCAAGTGGACTACAAAATATTTTGCAGATTGCATTAGCAAAGTATTGCTCAACAGATAGAAACAACTATTATAGCCAGGCACTGATGGTTCACACCTGTAATCCTAGCTACTCAGGAGGCTGAGATCTGAGGACCATGGTTCAAAGCCATCCTGGGCAGAAAAGTCCATAAGACTCTTATCTCCAATTAGCCACTCAAAAAAACCAGAAGAGGAGCTGCGGCTCAAAATGATAGAGTGCTAGTCTTGAGTGAAGAAGCTCAGGGACAGCAGTCAGGCCAGAGTTCAAGACCCACAACCAACAACAAAAAGCAATTGTTATAGAATTGTTAGCATTTTTAGAATTGAATTTGAATCCCAGTTTCCAATAAATAAACTTTTTACTTTATATAACATACATGCACACAATAGACAAGCAACAAGGAAAAAATCTTAACTTACATATTAATTTTTGCTCAAATTAAAAAAATATCTGTTGCCTATAACTGGGCAGTTGCTCTCCCATGCATTGCCTTTTCAATGGCTTTTTTTTGTCAGTCATGGGACTTGAACTGTGGGCCTGGTCACTGTCCCTAAGATCTTCAGCTTAAGATGAGCACAGTACCACTTGAGCCACAGCACCACTTGCAGTTTTCTGGTGGTTAATTGGAGATAAGAGTTTCATGGACTTTCCTGCCCAGGCTGGCTTCCAACCATGATTCTCATATTTCAGCTTCCTGAGTAGCTAGGATTACCAGCACCTAGCTTCCCAATGGTTTTATGTGGTAGATTATGTAGCAGATTAGGTTATGTTGTGCTGCTGCCTTTTACATACTGTTATACATACTCCCTTTCTTGAGATTTCATAATTAGCATACTCATCTACAGGGTTTTATTTTGTTTATTGTAAGTTTAAAAAAAATTCCCAAAGTCTGGTGAAAACAACATAATTGTTTTCATTGTTTTTTATCAATAGATATGTTCATGTGCAGAATTATTGTTTCTTTTAACTTATTGTTTGTTTGGGGATAGATTTACATACATTGACAAAAACACATGTTCAAGCCTTGCGTGCTGGTTTATATAGAGCATGGAAAAAAAAATCAATGTTACATAAGGGTGAAAATTGTTTCTATTGACTCAGTTGTTGTACACAGGAAGACCAGGATGTAAAACATGGGGACTTAGCCAATGGCTGCTTGTAACAATTGTTTGGTCAGACATGATTAAGACAGACCTTTCATCAACTTATAGAGCAAAAGAGAGATAAGATGGTACTCTTGTCATTAATGTTTATAGGTGTTTTTACAAGGATTAGCACATCTCATTTCCTTTTCATAGACTTCCTATGGTGGATTTTGTCTTCTTTACAAGTTTTTGAAAAGCTGTAAAGAGCTCTGGAATCCTTTGATTATAAAAAATGAAATAAATTTATAGTATACCACAAGTTTGTAAAAGAAACTTGATCTTCTATCTCTAGAATTAGACTGTAGTGAAAGAATCTGTTAATGTAGCACTATCAAGGCAGTATTACCCTCATGAACAACCCAACAAGGATATAACAAAAAAGAGAATTAACCAATCTCCTTGATGAACATAGATGCAAAAGCTCTCAGTTCAATTCTTATTAATCAAATTCAACAGCATATTACAAAGATCATACACAAAACCAAGTTGATTTCACTCCAGGAATGCAAGGATAGTTTGATCTATGCAAATCTTGCTTTCTGCATGCCCTTTGAGACACATAGGGACATAAATTGATCAAATTCCACCAAGTGAGATAAAACACTAGTGGGTACATCACAGCTAAGCATGTTTCCTTCACCACTCTGCTTGACTGCAGGCCCCTGGAGTATGTGGCATGGAGCCTAATGAAGATATTCTTTCAGAGGACTTGGTTCACCAATTTTGAGGAGGTGATCATTTTCCTTTTATAAAAAACAATAACCATATATCTCATTCTCTCTCAGGTTTTCTGATGCCTTTATGACCTTCAGTTCCTTCCAAAGCAGGTTCCCTGAGGTATCTGGGTACTGTTATTGTGCTGACAGCCAAGGGCGAGAGCTGGCTGAGACAGGTAAGCAAGTTATTTCTCAGCTACCTTGAGACTACACTGCTGGCAGATAGTGTAAAGTAGAAATAACCATTTCTGGAGGCTACTTGCTTCTCTGCCAGGATCCCATGGGTCTGGAAGAAGATACAATCTTAGAGGAATTTCAGATATGGAACTCTACATGCAGCTGCTACCAGACCATACAGTGCCCTTTTGCACACTGAAAGAAGTCCCCCCAACCTTGGGTAGATGTAACCTTAAGGTTGACAAGTGGAAAACAGAGTCTATGGCTACCTCTTATTCTCTAGGCAAGTGCCTTTTTGAGTTGGAACTTGCATAATTAAACCCCAACTCTGACTTTAGAAACTATTATTGTTCAGAGTCCATGCATAACACAGCTGGTGAAGTCTGTCCCTGAGGTTGCCTGTTAGCACAGCAAGGTCAAATTTGATTTCTAAATGAGCCCATCTCTGAAATTGTGGCTGCCTCTTCTTAGGTTTGGAACTGTTACTGGATGAAATCTATGATACCATCTTTGCTGACCTGGATTTGGCATCCACCTTCACTGAAAGCACCCTATACCGGATATTGAAGAGACGGTTCTTAGCAATTCAATTCGTTATCTCTGGCAGATTCCGATGTAAGTAATACGCTGCCAGGAGAGCGATTTGTGTGTTTCTACTTGGGGCTTGAGGACCTGGGTTTAAGGTTGTTTCAGGCCAGGTGCTGGTAGGTCATGCCTGTAATCCTAGCTACTCAGGAGGCTGAGAGAGATCTGAGGATCATGTTTCAAAGCCAGCTTGGGCAGGAAAGTCTGTGAGACTCTTATCTCCTATTAACCATGAGAAAACGGGAAGTGGTGTTATGGCTCAAGTGGTAGAGCACTTGCCTTGATCTAAAGAGCTCAAGGACATCACCCAGGCCCAGAGTTCAAGCCCCACAACCAACAACAAAAAAAGGGTTGTTTTAGTCTGTGGCTATGCACAGGTTAAGAGCCAAGATTTAGATCATTGTGCCTTCCAATTGCACTGTACAATGCAAATATACAGGCATTTGTCATAACCCGTGGCCTTTGCTGTGACATCTCTTCCAGGTCCTACAAAATGTGAAGTAGAGCAGTTTGCAGCCACCAGATTTCATCACCCTTATATTCCAAGATGCCGCAGAAATGGGGACTACCAACCAGTACAGTGCCAGATGGATGGGCCATGCTGGTGTGTAGACAGCCAGGGGACTGAGATCCCAGGCACTCGGCAGCAAGGGCAGTTACCATCTTGTGGTGGGTTTCCTCTCCAGGGCCATCCTTTCTGGTCTCTTCAAGTTCTGTAACTGTAACCATTTCTCTACCTTCACCTCTCCAAAGTCCACTAATGTTTATCACCTGCTTAATGTGATTGAAGAACAGTGTATTATCATTAGCTGCCAATGTATTTCTTACCACATGTCAGCCATCATTTCTCTAGGAGTACCGAGGGCTGAGCGTAGCTGGGCTGAAAGAGCAGTATGCCACAGGTAGCTGGAGAAACATAAAGGGGACTGAGTTGTTACTTCTGTCTGGTGGTATGTGTGAGAAGAAGGCACCAGCGAAGGCTGTTGTTAGCTGTTACCACACTGAACAATTAACCCTCACTGAAACTTCATGAAGGAAGTACTTGTTGGAACACAGAGGAGGATGCTCACCACTAGATGGAAGAGCAAGAGCAGTTCAGTGAAGCCCTTCTTACTAGAGCCACGGCTCAAGATTGTCATGCTATAATTATAGGGCTGTTGAAGACTGCTGAGGTTCCAGCTGTGATGGGTTTGTGTGAGAAACGAATCATCCAGTATCCTTAGAGGAGGAACTTAAAGGAGCATTGGGCCTGAAGCAAGGGGGCTGGTGATGTTCTGATGAGAGATGGTAGAACTCCATTTGTTCTTAGGACTGTTGCAAGATGTTATCAGAAACTACATAGCTTAATACAACCAGTTTTGCTCAGAGTTTTGGAGGCTGAAAGTATAAATCCAAGGTGTCAGTCGGGCAATGATGCCTCAGAAGGCAGGGACTTTTCTCAGTTTTTTTGATGGCTGTGGCGGTTGCCAGCAATCCTGGGTCTTTGACTTACAATGGTATAACCCTAATTTTGCTACCATGGTTACATGGCTACCTTTTCTCTGTGACTGTCTGTGTTATCTCTTCTTAGAGGGGCTCCCCAATGGGAGCTCATCCTTGCCAATCACATCTACAATGACAATTTTCCCAAATCAGATCACATTTTTGTGATCCTAGGAAAGACATGAATTTTGGAAGATACAAGTTAACCCATGATTCAGCATGGAAGGAGGGAAAGTTGAGACCTAAAAATCACTATAAACACTATCCCTAGCCATTTCCATCTCATCTTCCTAGTTAGATTGTGAAGCATATTACTGATGGGGATAGGGAGCCAGCTTACAGGGGGAATTGGGAAGCTTCAGAAAGTCTTGAAGCAATAAGGGAGGAACCTGTCTATATAGCTTCAGATTAGATATATATCAGCATTCATTTAATAATTCCTGATAAAATCATTCAATTTGTCCAACTTAATATTTTCCCTGGTGTTTGATAACTTTCTATCTTCTGAGTGTAAGAACATAAAAAAATCCTTAAATAAATTTGAAGTCTTTCTTTGAGGTATTTGCAAACATTGCAAGAAGAATGTGCCTTCTTTCTCTCAGGTAGAAAGGAAGAACTCTGACTTTGTTAATTAAAACAGTAACTGCATCAGAGGCATGGATGGTTCACATATTTTCACTTTTCCTCTCTGATGCATGGAAACAAGTGACGCATAGAAACAACACAACTAGGCTTTACCTTAGCAATGCTATAGAGGAAATGCATGCAGGGGTCAGGCTCTTAAGGTGAGAATTAATGAAGAAAAGCTGGGGACTTTATGTCTCCATGTCTTCCTGTGATATCCATTAAGGGAAGTTGTGCCTTGCTAAGGGAGGTGCTGTGTGTCCATGTGCTGCCAGGTCTTTTTCCTGCTCACCACATGTTCCAGTTCTTTCTTGGTTGCCTGGTTACTGAGGGAAACTGGCTGATTTCTTGTTTTAGCATCTGTGCAAACCAAGAGGAAAGAATTATTTTTAAAAGTTTAGGTGGTTTAAAGGTCCCTTAAGATTTATGGTTTTATGGAGAAAAATGGAGCATACTTACTTCTGCTTATATGACTGACAGTCATTTAGCATTTGAATTTTACAGTTTTTTTGTGCATGTGATTACAGTCAACTCAGGATGCTTAGAAAGGACTGACATTAGAAATTAAGCCAATTCATAAATAATGAGAACAGGGTTTTAGAGAAAGGAAAGAAAAGGTTTATCAGTCTTTCCAGGCAAAGTGATGCCTATGTAAGCTGCTACAGGGGAAGATGGTGTTTTAAAGGAGAGCCCGGGAGCAGAGGCTTCTGGATGTACATGCTGACGCATAACTGCAGGCAAGATGGTGGCCTTACACCCACTTATTCTCTGATGTGCTTGAGTTAGTCTCTGGATGTTCATTCCTGTGGTCAGTGAGATAAGGAGAGGAGAAAGATGATCTTGTCTGGAACCAAAAAAGCATTCTTGAGTTTCCTTGCAAGGAAGTTGAGGGGAAGGAACAAAGATAAAGAAAAAAGTATCGATTTAAGACTTAAAAAAAACTTACACAACTGAAAACTGTCTGCTCAGCAAAGTGAGTTGGTTATTGGGCTAGGCCTAGAGTTGTGAGCATATTCAGGAATCTGTTCCCAATATACATCATGCATACAGCTGGCCCGAGTTAGTTAACTTCTCATCAGTAATTTCAAAGAGAGGTCAAGAGGTCAAGACAGATGTGCTAGGTGTGTTGTCAGGGTGGGTATTACTGTATTGAACTATACAAATGATATATTCCTTATATAGTTTTAATATGTATTACAATGTGGGAGCTATTTCTTATTATAAAAAACACTAATAGCATTCAACATGTGGGTCTTATACTCAGAGACATAAACTAGTTAGCCTAAGCACGAAGGAACCAGGCAGTCACATAAATCCACTAAGAAGACAAGAGAAGGCTAGAAGATAGTATGTTAGTAAACACAAACCTATCATAAATTGCTAAACAGAAAAACCAGGTGGCTTCAACAACAGGAATTGTTTTCTAGAGTTCTGGAGCATAGATATCTGAAATTAAGGTGTTGATGGGGCCCTATGCTCCCTGAGTATGGACATTCTTGATGTTCTTTGGCTTATGGTAACATAAATCTAGTATGTGCCTTGGTCCTAACCTGGCTTTCCTCCTTTTCATCTCTATATCTACACAAAACCTTCTCATAGGAGCCCAAGCCACTGGATTCAGAGTCCAGCATAATGATATTACATCTGCCAAGATCTTATTTCTAATAAGCTTACTTTCTGAGATAGACATACCTTTGGAAGGAATACCATTCAACCTTGCACAGTGGGCACATGTGGTCAGGCTTTCAGAATGTGGACCAGGGTCTATGAGAGTTGACCTGCTACAGTAAATGATCTAACCTAGAGAAAACAGAGAGGGCATACGGACCAGGATACTCTTTCCCCAAAACAGCCCTAGAGAGCCACCTCAGAAGGGAGGAAAGGAAAAAGGATACAGGGTAGAATGTGATCTACAATGTAGGTGTCCTTGATTGAATTTTTGGCAACTAATACTATTTTAGAACTGCCTGTGATGCTAAAACCGTGTCCTTCTAAAACCTGTTCCTTCTGTCTCATGCAGCTGAAGACCAGTCATGCACCTCAGAAAGGAGGCAGGCCTTGTCCAGGCTCTACTTTGGAACCTCAGGCTACTTCAGCCAGCACAATTTGTTCTCTGCTCCTGAGAAAACATGGGTCTCTCAAGGAGGAGCTAGACCTGACACATTCTGCTCACCCAGAATCAAAGAGTTCTTTGTCAACTCTGGGCTTCTCCATGCCGTGGTGGCAGGGCAGGGTCCACAGTTATCCACGTCAGGAAGTCTGCTAAAAGAGGCCATCAAGGCAATTCTGCCCTCCAGAGAGCTGGCTCGCCTGGCCCTTCAGTTCACCACCAGCCCCAGGAGACTCCAGCAAAACCTCTTTGGAGGAACATTTTTGGTGAACGTTGGTCAGTTTAACTTGTCTGGGGCCCTTGGCACAAGAGGCACTTTTAATTTCAGTCAGTTTTTTCAGCAATTTGGTCTTCCTGGCTTCCAGAATGGAAGGGGAATAGTAGAGCTAGCTAAGCTACTTTCTGGGGGATTGGATTCAAATTCTGCCACAGAAACTTCCGGTACTTCTAAAGAGGTTGTTAAGAATAAGACAGTTATAGGAACTTTTGGATTTGAAGTCAATTTACAAGAGAATCAAAATGCCTTAAAATTCCTTGCTTCTCTCCTGGAGCTTCCAGAATTCCTTCTCTTCTTGCAACAAGCTATTGCTGTGCCTGAAAGTGTAGCACGGGATCTGGGCGATGTGATGGAAATGGTGCTCAGCTCCCAGGCCTGTGGGGAAACACCTGGAAGGCTCTTTGTCCCATCATGCACCACTGATGGCAGCTATGAAGATGTCCAGTGCTTTGCTGGAGAGTGCTGGTGTGTGGATTCTCAAGGGAAAGAACTCTCCAGCTCAAGGGTCAGAGGAGGACGTCCAAGGTGCCCCACAAAATGTGAGAAGCTGAGGGCTCGCACGCAAAGCCTCCTGAGCAGCCAGCCTGCGGGGTCCAGCCTGTTCACCCCTTCTTGTACTAATGAGGGATATTTCCTACCCGTCCAGTGCTTCAACTCAGACTGCTACTGTGTAGATGCGGAGGGTCAGGCTATTCCTGGAACTCAAAGTGTAATTGGTGAACCCAAGCAATGTAAGTCTACTGGATATTTAACCTAAGTCTCTCTTTAACTCCAGACCCAGTGCATTGTAGGGAAATTATTAGTTAATTCACAGCTAATGGGCAATGTCATTTACTAGCAAAACAGGCAACTTAAAAATTCTCCTAGAGCTGGGCACTGGTGGCTCACGCCTATAATCCTAGCTACTCAGGAGGCTGAGATCTGAGACTCTCGGTTTAAAACCAGTCCAGGCAGGAATGTCCATGGGACTCTTAACTCCAATTAACACTAGAAAACTGGAAGTGGCCTGTGGCTTAAGTAGTAGAGCGCTAGCCTTGTGCTGAAGAGCTCAGGGACAGTGCCCAGGCCCAGAGTTCAAGACCCATGACTGAAATTAAAAAAAAAATTTTCCTGGAAAACTTGGCTGACGTTAACTATTGTAAAGAGCCAATGAGGAGATTTGTTTAGCCTTTAAGTACTACAACATGCATGTCTGTGGTGTTGATCAAGGTTCATCTGTATAGTGCTATGTAGTGTAAGGTGCTCTCTATCTAGATGTTATTTTCTAGTTAAAGCTGCTATATAAAGGATATAGATGGATTTTTAACAGTTAGGTGGTCTTACCTTGATCTTTGTGACTTACTCAATTGGTTAAACACTTGTTCATTATTCTTCTCAGGTCCCACTCGCTGTCAGTTACAGGCCGAGCAAGCTTTCTTGGGAACAATGAGAACCGTGCTCTCTAACTCCAGTGTGACACCCACTGTCTCCAGCATCTACGTCCCACAATGCAGTTCGACAGGGCAGTGGAGACCTGTGCAATGTGATGGGCTCCCAGAGCAGGTCTTTGAGTGGTATGAAAGGTGGGAGACTCAGAACAAAGATGCTCAGAAGCTGGCCCCTGCTGAGCTGCTGCTGAAGATCATGAACTATAAGGAAGAAACTTCTAGAAACTTCCATCTCTTTGTTCAAAGACTCTATGAGGCTGGCCAACAAGGTGTCTTCCCAGGGCTGGCTCAGTACCCTTCCTTCCAAGATGTCCCACTGACAGTATTTGAGGGGACCCCAACTCAGCCAGGAGGGAATATCCTCCTGGAGCCTTACCTCTTTTGGCAGATCCTAAATGACCAGCTTGGCAGGTACCCAGGGCCTCTCTCAGACTTTAGCACACCTCTGGCCCACTTTGACCTCAGGAGCTGCTGGTGTGTGGATGAGACTGGTCAGGAACTGGAAGGAACTCGGGCCGAGCCGAGCAAAGTCCCAACCTGTGAGTTAACTCATGTGAACAACCAAATTTATGTTTTCATTTGTAGTGGGAGAGTGTTTGTTGAGTGTCAAAGCTGAAGTGGCATTTGAGAGTGGCTATCTACATCCCTTCAACTTGTGGCTTGTAGAGAGGAATTGGCATCCTTATACCACAAAGTCAGGTGCTGACAAGGGTAATCTAGTCTGTTCTTAAATCATCTAGTAAGTGATCATTTTAGTCAGCAGGGTAGACTTTCACTGGATGTCTTCCATGTACAGAACATTATCTTAGACCTAATGAAGGTGATGGGGATGATCACTCCATGACCTTCAGGCTTTAGTGATCTTTCCTCAGTCAAGTGCACCATCTGATCTGTCAGCAAATATTATGGTGGTTCTACTACTTGTCCAGACAGAATACTCGTAGGTGGTCAAGACCTCAGGAAAGTGCAAATAACAGTCTTTCATTTACAAGGACAGACTTAACTAAGGATTAATTGGACAGCCACCAATGGAAACTAGTTTGGTTTTGTTGCAGAAACACTTACAGAGAAGTTGTGGTAAGTGAGGTGTAAATATAATAAATTACAAAGCCTTATTTCCATTCCAGCAGGTTGAAAGAACAACCAGACAGACTGAACACTACAATTGTCAAATTGGGATCTCTCTAAGCAGCAGTTACCAATATTACTGATGTTTACTTGGAATGAGCTCTCTGTTTGTTCTCCATATTAAACATTGTCACAACATTTTGGGATCATGTTAAAGTTCATCTGACTATTTGATACTAGCCAAAATTTAAGCTGTAGGGGGCAGAATCCAGTTAGGCCAAGGGAACATGCAACAAGAATAATAATACATTCACCACTGTAAATATCAAGAAGACAGCACTACTCAGATTTCCACATAGATCTAACAATAGGAACTTTTGAATCAACACATCTATGTTGGCATGACTGTTATATATGGAGTTGTTGTAGAGTCATTCTCAATACTAAAGACCAAACTGAGAATTCCTATACTTTTAGGTGCTCTGAGACTGAATTTGGTTCTCTGGATATGCAACTACTGTAGGAACCTTGTGACTAGTCTCATCCATTCTGGGATGAGCAGTAGAACTAGGCTTAGAGTATAGTGGCATTTTCATAGAGTTGGGAGATTATGTGGACCAGATGGCTATATGCATAAGACAATCCATTAGGTAATTATTACAATAGCCACCTATAGCTCATATTTTAAGTTTTCTTTTTGAATTTTGCAATAGCATTGTGTTAAAAGTTGCACCAGCTGAGAACATACTTCACCTAGTACATAACTACAGTGGTACATGCATTTACTTTATAAACAAAGAAATGCCTGTATTTTGGGGATATAGTTTCAGGCTCTTGTTGATAAAAGTTTGTGACCCAAAGTTTGCAGTTCTGAGCTTCAGTATTTACAATGTGGTTATGTAGCATCAGCTACAGGTGGCTTGAGAGAGATTCAGGAACTTGGGCTTCACCTGCTAAACTGAGACCTGTATTTCTATGGTATTTCCAGGCAAATCAAATGCACCCAATAGCCTAAGCAATACCAACCCAGAAAAAAGAGCTTGAGTTGTCCTGAATCTTGGTTCTGCCTCCCGCTGCTGTGTGCTGGAAGAGAGAACCCCCTGAGTTTCACCTTTTCTACAAAGTCTACCTTTCAATAAATTGCTACTTCAGGGCTATTATGAACATTATAAAGGGAATAAAAGTAAAGGGCCACTGTGGATCGTAGAAAATGCTTAGCAAATGTTAGCCAGGTTAATACATCTAACAGTAGTGAGTAGACCAATAATTTCCTACATGTATTCAAGGTTGGCTTAGGCCTCTAGAAGTATCAGACACATTGCTGCCTCTGATCTGAATGAAATTTTGATTTCAATGTTCAGTATGCATTTATGTGCCATCCACTGTATACATTATGCTGTGTGACATAGAGACAGTGCTGAACAGAGTTGTATCTGCCCTGAAGACCTCAGAGAGCAGTAGACCAATCAAGTCAATCATAAGCTATGAGGGTTGAATGGAAGAGTGCATAAAGAAAATGCATTGGAGGATGCCCAGAGAAGCAGGCAGGTGAGGTGGAGATTTACTTGGCACCAATTTCTGGGATGAATCCTGAGATGTGTTTTGGAATATGCCACTCAGGGAAGCTGTAGAAGGGATGGGCTTAAAAGGACACGACAGAAGAGGAGGGAAAGAAAGTAGGGTCAGATTTAAAAGCTTTTCCATGCCTGGTTAAATAATTTTCTCTTTATCTTGAAAGCAATGGAGTATAAGCAGATTTTGAATGTGTGATTATTGGCATCATGGATTCCAAATCTTTGAGATTGATAGAACAGATTTTTGATTAAGGATATGTATTTGATCAAGAAAACAACAATGTCCTCAAATTCCAGAAGTCACAGATTTCTGCTGATCTCATGCTCTCAAGAGAATCCAGGGATGCATCCACTCTTAATTTCACAAAATGATTGGTTGACATAAATATCTCCTGGGCAGCCATTCAATAGCAATACCTTCTAGAATAATTTTTAAAAATCTTATAGAAAATGGAGATTCTTCCATCATTCCCGGTGTACAGATCAGGAGAGTGACAGAGAAGTCAAATGTATTATCTACCACCGTGGTTAATAAAACAAAACAATAGAACTCAGGGATCTTAAGAGATGTGCTTTCTTGTCCACAAGAATACATTTACTGTGTACAAAACCTAACTGTCAGTCTTCTCACTCATCTCTCTATCCACTCATCCATTCACTCACCAATCTATCCATCCCCTTATTCACTCATCTTCCCACCTACCCTTATGAGTCTACCCATCTATCCAACCATTCATCCATTCTCCTACCACTTGCCCATCTTTCCATTACAAACAGCTGGTCCAGATCATCGATTCTAGAGTGAGACTATCTAGAAGAGAATTGTGAATCGATTACTTACTAGCTGGAACTTTGTTGAAATCATCTCACTTCTTTAGGCCTCAGTTTCTCATGTGTGACTTTGGGGCTAAGAGTATCTCCTCAGTCTGACACATACACTAAGTTAGATTATGTGAATGTACTTTAAGCAATGTCTGGCATGGAGCAAACTTCAGCTGTTGCTAATCTTCTTGTGTAGTAGGTTGGCTCTTAAATGCTAAGTAAATGAGATTGCAAAGTACCCTGCTTGGTGAATGAATCTCCTTGTCATGTTTTTATTCCCCCAGGTCCTGGCTCCTGTGAGGAAGTGAAGCTAAGTGTCCTGCAGTTTATTAAGGAATCAGAAGACATCATCTCAGCTTCCAATACTTCATTCTCTCTGGCAGAGAGTTTCCTAGTGGCCAAGGGAATTCGACTGACTAATGAGGAGCTCGGTCTTCCTCCATTCCTCCTATCCCGGGAAGCTTTCTCTGAGAAGTTTCTTCAAGGGGGTGATTATGCCATTCGTTTGGCGGCTCAATCTAGTGAGTGCTGTGTAATGAGGTTCTTTACTCCATTTCTGGGGAAGCAAGGGTGTGAATTTGTTTCTCCTCAGTCACCTCCAAGACTGCTATTTATTTTCCCTGAGGTGTTGGGTCACCAAGAAAGAAAAGACAAGCGATTTTGTGTTCTCAGTCAAGGCTAGGATGCTGCTCACTTCTCCAAAAGGCCCCCAGACTCTCCATTAGAGGCACTGGGGAGCAGAATGCACATTTTGTATTGCAGATGACCTTGGAGCCTTCCTGAAACCACATAGTCTTGTTAAAATGTGAGAGACCTCAAATACTCAGACTCCCCCACCCTGCACTGTTTCAAAACTCTCCTGCATCCCTGGAGATGCAAGGACTCTATGGAAGAGGTCGAGCAAGGACCCTGGTTGCACACAGGAGCCCCTCTACTCTTAACAGTAACTCCCAAAGATACATGCATGTGATGGAGGAAAAAGTCCAGAGAGACCCACAGTCCTCTGGCTCTAGTAACAGCCACACAGTACTTGAATTGGCCTTTGGCAAGGCATTTCCCATGCTGAAAAGATGATCAGATCTTTGCATTGATCCTCTAACACTTTCAGGGTAAAACAAGCCCTAATCACCATCTGTGATTCTTTCCAAATGGGAAACAGTCTCAGGTTGAACTACTTGCTCAGATTTGCCCATCTACTAACTAGACAGACCTGAGTAGGAAGCTGGTGGTGTGAGCCTCTGCCCAAGTCCTTAGGGCCTCTGTGCCCTGCCCAGCAGATCAAGGGCAGCTGAGGTCAGGGCCAAGACCTTCTTAGGATCCTGTCCTTTCTCCTCTACCCACAGCCTGGTCTGGCAGGAGGGTCAGAAGTTCTCTTGTTTCTAAGACTGATCCTACACTAATTTGACAGGAAACCACCTGTCTCCAAGCCTTCCCTAAGTACCTTACCCTCTCCCAATTGTTTTCTCTGAGTCCCTACCTGGAATGTTACTAGGCTTGGGTAGCAAGACAGCAGAGCTATCCATCCCCTGACAATGCATGCGCCAAACCAAAGCAAATCCATCCCAGGGGGCTGAAAGCTCCTTGCTTCCCTAACACTTCCTAACAAGCTATTGGCTTGAGGAAGATGCCTTCGTTCTTCTAACCCCATGTGAGAATCTCTCAAAGCCTATAGTTTCTTTTTATAGGAAAACATGCCCAGTGTCCAATGAGCCTCTCACATTTCAGCTTGAAATGTTATAGATGAATAAGTAGGGTTCCTTGGGTTGGCACAGGGGTGTCCTTGGCTTATCTCAGTGATGATGCCCACGGGGTAAATATCACATACTGATCTTCTCTTTCTGTGACTCTAGCCTTGAACTTTTACGGGAGCCTACGTTCTTCGCTGAACAATTCAGCTGCAGGAGCCATCCCTCTGCGGCCAGGCCCCTATGTGCCCCAGTGTGATGCATTCGGGAGCTGGGAGCCAGTGCAGTGCCATGCTGGGACTGGTAAGGCGGAACCTCCGGAGGCCAACAGACATCCACTTCCGTTTCTGCAAGGAAACAGCCCCACGGTGGGAGGCAAGTGGGAGGCTTGAATCCCCAGTTCTTCCTTGGCAGCTGGAATACACAAGCCTCTTTGCTTCTTTGGTTTTCACTTCTCTCCTGTGTAAGGGAATAGGACCTACAACCAGCCCAAAGATCAAAGGGGTAGTTGCTGGAGGAGTCAGGGCGCTAACATTTGTGACTGTGAATATTGTTGGGCAGTAGATCTTGTTTTTTGTTAAGCAGGGAGATGCAGACTGGCTACTTCACAGGCACGTTAAGCAAATGCATCTTTAGGTTGGTTTTGCTGACATGTGTGGCTCTTTTCTAGGACACTGCTGGTGTGTGGATGGGAAGGGAGAGTTCACCCCTGCCTCACTGATTGCCCGCTCTCCACAGATGCCCCAGTGTAAGTGACACGGAACTGGCCTGTCTGACGCTGGTGATGGGCTCTAGGCTCCTGGCAGCCGCTGTTGTCACCTAACTACAGGGACTTTCTGGCACAGCCTTTCAGATCCATCCCTAAATATAGCTGGACCCATTTTCCAAGTCTCTAGGCAAGGGTTCCCTTGATTCTTCCTTACTGGTGTCCCCAGCTGTGAAGGTGAGGAAGGAGTTGCTGAGTTGGGATGTCATTGGGATGTTACTGTTCCCTGGGAAGGTACAGCCACTCCTGTGGGCTGTATCTTCAGCCCAGCTTCTCTCCGAAGGTCAACCCTGTAAAGTCCATGGCCCACTTGACATCTCAAAGCTGGCACATCTCTTGTGTCCTCATCCTGTGACTCTAGCTTGTGTCTCCTCTGAAGATCTATTTCTGTGGAGGGGACTTCTATTCCTCAGATGCATGGCTCTGGGATCTTGGACCAACCAGGGCTCCCCAGTTACCCTCAGCCCATCAGTTAAAGGCGCCTTTCTCTCCTCTAGGCCCGAGTATCTGTGAACAATCTCGAGCCAATGCACTGCTTTCTGGTTGGAAACAGGTAGGAGTCCAAGGAAACCCATCTCTAGAAGACCTGTTCACCCCGACCTGCCTAGAGGTGAGGCACTGAGGGCCCAGCAGGGGCACAGGTGGGAGAGGCAGAGCTGGCTTCATTTGATTGCAAATTGCTTTTCTAGTCTTCAGTTCACTGGGCTGAGTGAATTCAGAGGGAGGCTGGGGCCTACGTGTTTGTCCTGGGCTAATTGAGTGCTGTTGTGTGCCCTTGGTTAAGCTATTTACTTCCTCGGTGCCCCACATTTTGGTTTTTGTTTTTAGTCGTAGAAGCAGGAAACATTGTTGTCCTATCTAGTGCTGGAATTGTTTTGAGTCTAAGAACAATTGTTTCATAAAAATCCTAGAAATTAATTGACCCCTGAGTGGTTGCTACCATACATTTCCAAAAGTCACATTGATTGGGCCACTGTACTTGCGTCTCAAGGACATCCCTTCAGGTGATTGCAAGAGCACAATTCAGTAAAGCACTGGCAAAGTCTCCCAGAGAAAGAATTCATTGTGCCTGACTCTGAGCTGCTTTCTTGGCACACGATGGAAATCTGAGCTGTACCTCTGTGTCCTTCCCCAGAAGAGAGGTGTCAGCTCAGCTCCCAGGGACTTTGTGAAGTCAGAAGAACTCAGCAATAACGGACACAGAGCCATGAAGGGCTGAACATGTCTCATTATTATCACAGGGTACAGTAGCCATGGAGTCCTGTTAGGAATGAATTCTATAGAGAAATTCTCCCAACGGATTTAGTCTTTTATCTTGGCTAACAACCATGTCCCACTGGCCCACAAGTGAGCTCCATATCTGAGCACAGATACTCACTCACAAGGAAGAAAGGGTGGGAACCGCAGCGTCTGAGAGCAGGGAGATGGCTCTGCTGAGCGCCCAGGGGCTCTCTGACCTCATGGTTCTCACGTCTAGCACCTGCATGGGATCCAGATGCCAGTCAGCAGCATCCAAGAATATTCCTGCCCAAATGGAGCCTTGTATCTCTGGCCCACTCCACCAGAAAAATTCAAGTTGCTGGACTCAACTTTGTTCTCAGACTTAGAACTCTGTTAAATTTCAGGACTGTCTCATAAAGTTTTCTTAGATTTTTGCTTAGGTTTGAATTTCATCAGCACAGTTTATAAGCTGGACAAACAGAGGCATATCACCGGATCTGTCTATACTACTCTTGGTAGAATGGGGACAATAGGGTTCTTCCCTCCCAGACGCTGTGTGGATGGTATGACGCATGTGAAGTGGGGGGCGAATGACACAGTGCAAGCTTCCTGTTTGCCTTCTGGTCAGTGTTACTATTCCTAATGTTGCCATTGTGACTAGCCTGCAAATCAGGCACAGAAGCAAACAGTAACAACACAATACTAAGGGCAGCACCCAGTGACAGCCAGCATAGGGTAGCAGCTGCTCTTCTCCAGCAAACCTGCTTGTACTGGTACCACTTCCCACTGCAGCCATAGAAGAGAAGGCTTGTCTGCTATTGGTGTTCTTAGCAGAAAAGTGCTCAAAGATCTATGCAGTCACTACCTCCTGGTTTTGTAGGTGAGGAACCTGAGGCCTACCTAAGGAGTTGAAGTGGTAGGTCATGGATCCCCAGATGGCCCAAGAGGAAGAGTTGCTGACACTTGTAGCATCTGGTTATGTGAATTCCAGCTAGAGTCAGGGTTTCATAACTGCTTGGTGTCTGTATTATTATTACAGATGCCTAGGGCTTGTCATTTCTAGAACTGAGGTTGGTCTGGAATGTGACTGGGAATGTGAAGACCCTGCCTTAGCTGTCGCTCAGCAGCTCTGATATGTTGCTCTATTATGCCAGTTGTCTGATGGAACCTCAGTTTCCCCCCTCTTGCAGCATAGCTATTGTCCTGGCCTCACACTCACAGGATTGTTGGGATCATTGGCTCAGGTTGTGTGTTTATGTGGGATGGGTACAGGGTAGTATATCTCACACAAAGATGCCTCAATCCCTTTTGAGAAGCTGGAAATGATTGTTTTGGAAAGAACAAGGAATGGTCTTCCTTCCTTCCTTCCTTCCTTCCTTCCTTTCATCCTCCTTCTCCTTCTCTTTCCAATCCCTCCTTCTTTGTGGATAAGACCTCATACTTACTCACCTTGCTTGATTGGCTGGCATTCCACCTCTCAAGCCACACCTACAGCCATTCTATTTGCTGATTATTTTGAAAATTGAATCTTGTAGACTTTTCTGCCTGGACTGGCCTTAAACTTCAGTCCTCCAGATCTCAGCCACTTGAGTAGCTAGGGTTATAGGAGTTAGCCATTGGTACTCAGCAGCCAATAGAGATTATGTGATATACTTCTATCGACCTTGCTTGTGAACTGTGCTGCTGAGAAACACCCAAGCAAAGGTATGAGAAAAATTTATGAGTTAGTCATAAAAATGTAACGTAGATCTATGTGAGAACTAAGTTGAGTCTAGCTATGGAGTTGACTTTTTCTGATGGAAAGGGCTAGAGACTTAGTACTCCATTTGGGCAGGGGCAGTCTTGGTTGCTGTTGACAGGCACATGGGCCCTATACAGGGGTTGCCCATAAGAGCCCCATAAAGAGAGATCCACAAGCCCATTCCCAACAAGAGACACCCCCCACCCGGCCAAAGCATCACCTGTGGTAAGGTAATCTGGGCTTCCTCTCAGACAGGAGAGTATGCCAGGATGCAGGCATCAGGGTCAGGAACCTGGTGTGTGGACCCAACCTCAGGCGAAGCGATGCCACCCAGCACAAGCAGAGGTGCCCAATGTGAGTAGCTCTCCCTGCCCTTGCCACTACTGCGGATGTCCCAGTGTGCCCTGGGTGTGGAGCCCTTCCCATTCCAGCCTGATTACTTCCTCAGCTGGGAACACAGCCCCGGGGCCCACTCTGCCCTGGGTTTTTATGTAGAAACAGGGCACAACCCTGCAGTGGCTGGTGTCACCCTCTGTCAGAGACCTCTGAGCTCAGGGCTAAGCTGAGCTCCTTTGCATGGCCCAGAGCCCTGAGCTCCTGGCCCCTCTCTGTCCCATGCATCTCTTCTTGTCCTCTCCCTCCACTTCAGGATCTCATAACCAATGGTGGTCACACTTTGGAAGAAGGTGGACCTTCTGTCTCCTGCCCCTTCATTCATCCGTGGATCTGTCTCTGCTCTGCTGCCTGCCCCTTTCCATCCCTCATCACCCCCACCCTGTGGAGTCTCCTGTAAACCGCCAGTTATTCCCAGGAAGCCCCTAAATTGCACAATTTGCATCCTTCTCTCCCTCCTCAATCACTTAGACCACCTCTAAGGTTATGCGCCCCGGGAGGAGGAGCAGGTGGTGAAGGGAAGACTACGCACACCCTTGGGGGGCCCTGCTGGTGACTGGCCTGGGGTGACAACAGGGGAAAGGAGGGATGTGGCATCTGTGCCTGTGGAGGGAACAGGGCTGCGCACAGCCTGGTTCACCTGACTTGTCTTTGTTTTCAGGCCCAGGCCTCTGCGACATTCTCAGGAGTAGAGCCTTGTCCAGGAGAATTGGCCCTGGCTTCATCCCAGCCTGTGAGGATAAGGATGGAGGCTTTACACCCATGCAATGCGACCAGTCCCAGAGCAGCTGCTGGTGTGTCCTGGGCAGTGGAGAGGAAGTGCCTGGAACTCGTGTGGTGGGCAGCCAGCCCTCCTGTGAGAGTAAGTTTACCCCACGAAGGACTATCATATCCAGGACTGTGGGAATGGAGGGCACAGGAGGTGCAGGAGAGACGTAGTGACATTTGATTCCCTTGGTGTCAAATTTTTGTCTGCGTTCTGAAAATGCTCAGCCTGGGCTGAATAGAAAGGGCTTGGCTAGGAATCTCCAGTGCTAGTCCTTCAGGTTGCTCCAGAACAGCTTACGATGGGTCTATGCGTGGTCTCTCTCTATGTCCCTCATCTCAGGATGTCGGGATGGTAATTCCAACCACAAGGTGCTTCTTGCACTTGGGGGTATGTTGACTTCTTTTGTCTTTATTTCTAGTTCAGAAAATTAAATATCAAATAGAAATATATATCATATAAGTATTATTAAGATAGTGAAATACATTACTGCATATTAAAATCTACTGGTTATGAATTGTTTGCTTTTTACTTCTCCTATATACTCAACTATCAGGACGAGGCAATAATTTTAGAATTTATTTGAGCAGTAGAGTGGAATAGTTCTAGGATCTTGCTCACTGTGAAGATGGTGTTGACTGACGCCCAGTAAAGTGTGACAGAGAAAACTCAGAGATGGGGACAACAACCACCACTTGATGGGGACCTGAGGCTTATCCCCTAAGCCCTCTGAACCTTATTTTCCCAAGAGTAGCTATTTCTTAGAAGCTATTTCTTAGAGTAGCTATTTCTTGGTAGGACTGGTGAAGACCATCTCTATGAACTCTTCATTAGTGAAGGAAATACTAGTGCCCTTAATAAATGTGTATTATTAGTTCTGCTAGTGTCACTGAGGGTCTGGACTGGCATATATGCCCAGTTGCCTCTCTCTACCTTCAAGGTCAAGGTCACGGAAAGTGCTGCCTCCTCTAGGCATTGCAGACATGACTGAGTGGTAGGCCGCTGGCTCAGAACATAGCTGTGGAGCTTCACTTGGCTCGCTTTCCTGCTGTAGGCCAGAGAAGTCCTTTCCATTCAATCGGATATTTATCTGTTGGCTGAGGCTGAGGGTAGTCCCTGCTTCAGTCTCTTATGTGTGAGAAGCTTGGGAGGTCTGGCAAACACACCTACAATGTATGCAATTCTGTAAGAAGGGAAGGTGGCAGGCAGAAGCGGTTTTCTGGTTTGTTACAAGCATGAGTTCCTGGGGATAGCACATAGCACCTTTGAGCTACCTCTCTCTGTCCCTCTCTTTCTCTCTTCATTTTGTCTCCATCTCACTGTCTCTCTCTCTCTCTCTCTCTCTCTCTCTCTCACACACACACACACACACACACATACACACACACACACACACACACACACACACATACACACACACACACACAGAGCTGCAGCACTTAGTGAGAACCAATTCAACAAGCAAGTCACTGGGAGATCTTTTTTTATTTTTATTTTATTGTGAAAATACCATACAGAGGGGTTACAATTGCATGGGCAAGGTATTGAGTACATTTCTTATCAAGCATTGTTACCTCCTCCTTTGTTTCCCCTTACCATCCCTTCTAATCACCCCCCCACCCCGTGCCAAAGTTGTAAAGTTCGTTTTCGACATAACGTCTTGTATATCTCATTGTTGCAATGGGTCCACCTGTATCCCTATTTAAATATGGTATATATACACAAGGGAATAATATGCCTCCATCAGAAAGAATGACATTGCCCCATTTGTTAGGAAATGGAAAGACTTGGAAAAAAATATAGTAAGTGAAGTAAGCCAAGCCCAAAGAAACATAGGTCCCATGGTTTCCCTTATTTGCAATAGCTAGTATATGTCTAGGACAAGAAGAAATGGTCACTGGGAAATCTTAGCCCAAGGTCATACCCTTGGGCTAAGGATTGATTACTCCTCATCTTTCATCACCAATGCCATTGAAGATTTATATCAGACACATTCTGGCTGCAATGCTGAGCCTGAGTGGTGGCGTTTCTCTAAATCTCAGAGTGTGTCTGCTTTTTAACCTATGCATCCTCCTGTGAGATGTTGGTCAAGCACTGTGCTGAGGCCTGGGAGAAGGGAGGGGAAGTCCCTTGCTCTTCCAGGGACACAATCCCATGGGCGTCCCAAGGTGAGTATGCAGAAGACTAGAGTCTTGAATAACTGGCCAAATGCAGGTCCACACCAGGGGCCTGGAGCCTAAGAGGAAGAAGGCCACCATGAGCCTCAAAATCCACAGAGAAGGCTGGAAGATTAAGGTTATACTACACCTCAGGGTATACCTGAGGGTCAAGTAAAGTCCTTTCAGGCTATGAGAAGGCAGGAGGCAAAGGAGGCAAAGAGGAGAAGGAAGAGGCAACCGCTATAAAAGGAAGAGGAAGTCCATGTCTGGTTTGGGCAGGGGGCTTGGGTAGGGTTGTGGGGAAAGGAGGGTAAGAATGAGGCTTCCATGTGGGAGCCCAGCAAGGAAGATTTGCTGTCTGTTTCGGCTGAAGCTAGGGATCATCTTGCTGAGGGGTGGAGGTAGACTGAAGAGGCATTGAGTCACAGCTTCACTGACTCAGGTCAGAGGAGACAGTGGCTTAGTGCAAGGCCACTGTGCTTCTCCCTTGGGAAGCCTCAAGGCAGAAGATGCCACTCTCGGGGCTTGTGAGCAGCAGCTGCTGCATCCCTGCATGAACTATTAATTCCAAGATGGAGAAGACAGCTTGGAGATCCATTGAATTTATCAGCGGAAGATGATTCAAGACTCACATGTGCTTATGGAGTGGGGGTCTGGAAAGCTGAGAGACAGTGGGCACCTACAGAAGGAGGGCAAAGAAGTAGGGGAGAAGCTCAGGCTATGCTGAGGAAGATCTGGGATGCTGAAGTAGGAAAACTGGAAGAACAGATAGAAGCTGAGCCCGCAAGACCTGACAGGTGCCTACGGCTCTTCTCTCTCCTGCTCCTAGGTCCACAGTGCCCGCTGCCCTTCTCCATGTCCAGTATGGCTGGTGGAGTGGTTCTCTGTGACACAGCTTCAGGTCCGGCAGGGGCCACTGTCCAGCAGTGTCAGCTGCTCTGCCGCCAGGGCTACCAGAACGCCTTCCCACCGCGGAGGCTGGTGTGCAACTTGGAGAGTCGACAATGGGCATCAGAGCCCCCTCACCCCCAGTCCTGCCAGAGTAAGTGGCCTTAGGAACCCATGTCTCAAACCATGCTTCCCCTCAAGGCTGTGGCTGAGGACCAGAATGCAGCTCCCTAGCCACTTCCTTTCCATGGCCCAATGTAGTGTTCCGTGATGAGCCAGGGTACGAGGAAGAGGATTCTTATGGAAAGAGCAGGTGTGTTTCGAAGGCCCTCAGAGTTGGACTTCATGTAGCTTCTCTAAAGCTGTCTGCCCTCTGGGGGAACTGCTGTCATTCCAGCTCTTCTGGGGAATCTTGGGGTTCAGCATATCTGTGTGTCTCTGAGGCCCTGTTAGGGACCATGTGCCCATGTACTCAGAGTTGCTTGTCCACCTGACCATGGCTTGCCTCTGCTTTCTCCCCAGGTCCATCTGGGCCTCCAGGGTGAGTACCTGGCAGGGAAGAGGGCTCAGGTAGTGACAGGTGGGCACCAGCACCCTCTGTAACTACCAGCTTTCCGTGCAGAGCCTTTCCTCTGCTGTCACACTGAGCCCATGTGACCCACAAGAGCAGATGCATAGGGCAGTGTGGCACTACTAAGCTCTGACCACATCTGCCTTGCCAAAGCCTCATTGTGGTGACTCGCAGCCAGACTAGGCAGGAGTGGACAGCTGGGACCTCACACTTGGCCCACCCAGGGTAGTGGGAGGGGCACCTGTGAGAGAGAGCCCAGTTCTGGGACTGACCATCACAAGGGTCTGAATAGTTACCAGATGGAAGAGACAGAATTACTTGCAAAGCATAGAGCTACTGAGGGGCCTCATCTAGGAAAAGGTTAAACGTTGATTTGGACAAGTAGCCTGTCCCTTTGTCCATGACAGGGTCAAGTCAAATGAAGAACAGGATAGTCACCATGGAATCTAGAGCAGGGATTTCTGGAGAAGAACAATAGGTGTGTTTAACCCCAAAAGCTGAATGCAGGGCTTCCTTATGTGATTGCAGATTGTACATTAAACAATTTAGGGAATATCTACCTGCAAAATTACATGGGGTGGCCTTGTTTGTTTGTAAAACAATGTGAAAGATGTTCCAAGGAGAATGGCTAGGACCACTGTTTGGGATTTTTTTTAACTGTAGATTTTGTTGTTGTATTTTCTTCTTATGGTACTGGTGATTGCACTTGCTAGGCAAGTGCTTTGCCACTGAGCTACATCCTGGCTATGACCTCTGGAAAGCATTCTGATTAGAGGCTGAGGTCGGACTGAGTTTGCATGGGTGCTAACTCAGAGACAAAATATCATGGTAGATAATATTTAGACTCTGATGATGATGGTGAACCATGACAGGACTTGTATGCTTCAGACGTGATAGAGGAGAAAGCAAAAGAAAGCTGAGAAGGACCCTGTTGGAGGTCTGTGGCCTTTGCCAGCTGATCCCAGTGTTTGCCTGCAGGGCCCCAGCTGTGGCAGACCATCCAAACACAAGCGCACTTCCAGCTCCAGCTGCCTCCAGGCAAGATGTGCAGTGCTGATTACTCTGGCCTGCTACAGGCTTTCCAAGTCTTCATACTGGATGAGCTGGCAGCCCGTGGCTTCTGCCAGATCCAGGTAGGTACCTGGCCTTCCCTAGCATGAGACAGAGCTGAACTCAGAGTCACTGGGAACCAGGGAGTCCAAATGAACCTGTGCTTAGCTTCAATCTTGACTCATTCCACCAATCGGAAAACGGAGGCTCAGATCTGGAGGAAAATTTGATCATGGTCACGTATGTCAAAATAGAAGTAGAATCCATATTCATAACATTATGGCTGTTTTTTTCCATGGACAGATGTCACCTGTATCCTAAGCCCTTATTATGCATTCATTGCTTGCTATAGATAGCCAATATGGTCCTCACAGGGACCCACTTTATAGATGAGAAAAGGAGATACGAGAATTATAATAGATCCAGAATCACACAGCCAGAAATGCAGGATTCGAGCAGTTTGTGGCACAAAGATGTGGTTAATGCAGGGCAAGAGCCTGGGAACATGGGAGAGGAAGACCAAGATATCAGAGTTCACTCTATCTCTCTGCACATCATGGGACCAGATATATTTTCCAAATCCCTAGAAGAATCTCATTTACCACCTGGAAAGGCACTCCACCTTAAATAATGCACAGCTGAGTTTCCCAACTGTGTAGTATCCAGGGATTTGGTCATAAATATTTGTAGAGAGATCCTTAAAGCCCTCCAGATCAAAGTCCTCCTGCTCAGGTTCTTGTCTCATTATTGGTACTCCCTAGTAAGAATTTTGGAGGACATTTTTACACTAATCAAAACATAAAGTCTTGATTTTTAAAACAAGTAGAAATAAATGTAATTAGTTTTATCCCTTAGCCAAAGAAATGTGCTTGACCCTAATATCAATTATTGAGTGCTATGTCTGTGGAGCCATGCTGGGAACTTTACATTCCTTACCTCTAGTCATGCCAACATCTTGCTGTGGGTGCCACCATGCTTCAACTAGCACATGGATTCACCAAATCCTGCAGAGGAGGTATACACTGATCAAGATTCCATATAGCTTAGATGGCCTAGGATTGTCTTGACTTTCACCGTACCTGATTGGTTCATTCATTCATTAATTCATTCATCCATTCATTCTTGCATTAACAAATGTTTGTCTGTCTCAGGCCAGGCATGGTTTATGGTCTGAGCATGATTCAAGATAAACTAAGCAGACACCAATTAAAATGGTAAGGGCATATTATATAGCTATAAACCAGTGCAATGAGGCGATGAGTCCATCAGAAACTGAATTCAACTTCAGTTTGTCCACAGTGACTAAAATTTTAAAGAGACAACAAGAGAATAGGGAAGAGAAGAGCAAGGACTTGGGAAAGCCAGGGAAATGGAAATTTTCAAAATCAGCTGGAAGAAGAAGTGGGTCTTACAAAGCCCACCTGGTTGTTTGCCAGCAGGTCATTGGTGAACTTTGTCTCTGTCTCCCATAAGAGGCGGGACCCAAGTGTTGTCTGGGGCCACCAGTCCATTCTCCTTGCAGCCTGGAGTTTTCTAGGCAGGTACTTTAAGCAAGGGGATAAGTCATTTCACGACATCACTTGAGCTATTGAAAACTAGGTTAGTGCTTGTTTCTATTTCCATTGGCCAAGACTGAGGCCCAGAACCCTGGTTAGAACTCAAGTCAAGACAGAATCTTCTGCGCTATACAAGAGGGTGAGGAAGCCTGGTTAGGAACCTAGTGGTGAGCAGTTCCAGGACAAAGTATCAAGGGGTAACCATAAGCAAAGAGGATCTAAGCCTGGGGCAGGTCTTATCTTCAGTCGGAGATGATGTACATTGTTCCATGGTTGACAGATCTGGGTTCCAATCTAGCCTCCAAAGTGTTCCCAGCATGACCTGGACCTCTACCAACCTTACTGAGCTTCACCTACATCATCTTTCCTCTGTAGCTAGGAATACCCACTTTGGAGGACAGATTCAGTGAGAAAATACATGGCTCCCAAGTCTTAAGCTCTTGACACTGCTAAGAGTCTTACGTATTCTAGAACTGCCTTGGTTTCAAGTCCAGGATGAACCACTTCCTGGACATGGGAGCCTAGGTAGTTCCTTAGCCTTTTCAGGGTGATTCTTCATCTATAATATTAGGGGGGCAATCATGGTCCCAATCTCATATATTTGTTCTGGAGATCAAACCAGCTCATGTATTTAAAGCACATCTCACAGGGCCTGACTAATGGAAATGTGCAAACATTGTGCTATATTGCTTCCTATAAATATAAAGTGCCTGCCACATGGCAGGTTCTCACTATAGAACACCCATATGCACTCACTGTTGTGGATGGTATAGCATGGTGCACAGACACATGGAAACACATTGTCTAGGAAGAACTTGCTACCAATGCTGAATCTTCTGTCACCTTGATCTTGGACTTCCAGCCTCCAGAACTTAGGGAATGAATTTCCATTGTTTACAAGCCACCAGGTCTACAGCTTTTTGTTACAGCAGCCAGATGGGCTAAGATATTCTTTCAAAGAGGATGATGTGAAGAGGGAAAGATGTGGCTTGTGTTTTACCCTGGATCCATGCTGGGCTCTTTCTTTGATCTAACAGTACTCAACAATGGTCTCCCTGCCCTGACACTGGCCTGAGGAATCTGCTGTTCAACTGTTCATAGACAGTCCACAAGTTTGATGTAGCCTATTTAGGCTGTAAGGGTCATGGAGACATACAGCCAAAAAAGCCAGTGGATGCTATGGGGTAGGACGTATGTGGGGTATGTCCTACTGGGTGTCTGATGGTTAACACAAGGCTGTCACTAGTGGATATGGTGAGAAGAGCTAGGAGCACTTGGGTTGTCAGTGCACAGAACTCAGCAATTCTTCCACTTGCACCTCTTCGCTGGGTGACCAGGGCACTTGTTATTGTCCTTGAACCTTGTTTCCTGGGGTGAGGAAGGTGCCTGTCCTGGTCCACCTGGTGGACAGGAAGTGACATAAGTCCTTCTGTCCTCTGGCAGGGGCTTGGCACCGTTGGGATGTGCCTGTGTCCCTGAATTGAGGGCGTCATTCTCCATGCAGGTGAAGACTTTCGGGTCCCTGGTGTCCATTCCTGTCTGCGACAATTCTTCAGTGCAGGTGGGGTGCCTGACTGCCGAACGTTTAGGAGTGAACGTCACATGGAAGGCACGGCTTGAGGACCTCCCAGCAGCCTCTCTTCCAGATTTGTATGACATTGGTATGCTGACTTAAAAATGCCAGGTAGCCTCTCTGAGTCACAGACTCTACAGCTGGTAAAGATATGTGGGCTTTCTGGGTCAATGGAGGGGAAGAGTCACATACCCGGTCCGTGGCAGGAGCTATGCATTCAAGAGTGTATAAAAAGCAGCAGAACTCTGGTGAGTAGTGAACAGTATCACAGACATGAAAGAACCTACCTGTGGTTTCATGAGGTCTTCTAAGGCCCAGTTTCCTCTGCACAGAAGGGAGAGACCACAGTGTGAAGAACAGAGTGGGGTGGGGCAAGAGCCTCTTTGCTAGTTTATAGTTTATGTCCTAACCCATTTGTAAAATACCTCAGACCCTGTCACTACGTAGGACCAGATAGTTACAAGCTGGATGAATGAGAGAGCACAGTGATACAGGAAGATGGGATAGAACGGAATCTATGCTGGCTACCGTGAGCATGCGTAGCTGAACTTCCAGGTAGGGTGCTAAGTAATTCAGATACTTGTAACCAGAGGCAAGGGCAGTCACTCTCTTTCTAACTCTCGTGCAGTGGCCAAACACCCAGGGTGACCCAGAATAGCTGAATGAGGGGAAAGTTCAGTGAGGGAAAAGTTTTAACAAACATACTCCAGGGCACAACTCAGGAAACAGATTGCAATGCCATTTGTCCTGTCCTCTTTCTGTTGTCATGGAAACCATTCCTTGTTCAGCATCATGAAGCTAGCTTCCCATCAGTCCTCTTCCAGAAAGGATCTGGATAAATGTGGGCAGATCTGACACATAATAACATGAGACAGTATCCCAGGTAGAAGCCATTCGGATGGTGGCTTCAGGTCATGGCTAGCTTTCCTGAAGCCCATGGTGGCATGGATGCTCAATGCCTGAGGAGCCACTCAGCTCCTCCTGCGGTGCTCATCTGCATTTGTCTTAGAACCCTAGGGTTTCCATAGACCTTGGGTTTAGCTGAACACTGTAGCAGAGTGAGTGCCTCCAGGCAGTCTTTATTTCCCCCTTGGGGTAGCCCTTAACATCCTCACCAACTGCAAGAGAAGCATCCCTGGGTTTATTTGGCTCATATTAAAACTGAGGCTCAGAGCCATTGGCTTCTAAGGTTTCCATGGCTGAGTATCTGAACAGTGAATCTTAGGTCAGTGGCTTAGTTATGACATCCTGTTCCAAGATGACCTGCATTGCATTGGTACCACAGTGACCACAGAAGTGGCAGCAGCCCAAGACCTGGGTGGGATTCTTACTTGTGCCGCTCACTCCTGGGTGAAGTTCCCCTCAGTTTGTCTTTCTGTACAAGGAGAGACCACATGTCTATTTCTTTTCAGCCAGAGTATTCCGTGTAGCTTCTCTGTGGACCTTCGCCGAGCACAGTGAGGTGACCTCCGTCTCCTCTTGTGTCTTACAGAGAGGGCCTTGGTGGGCCAGGATCTCCTAGCACGCTTTGCAGATCTGATCCGAAGTGGCACGTTCCAGCTCCATCTGGACTCCAAAACGTTCCAGGCAGATGCCACCCTCCGTTTCATCCAAGGCGACAGCGATAGCACCTCTCCCAGCACACGGTTTGGGTGCTTGGAGGGATTCTACCGTGTACCAGCCATGAGGGAGACCAATCAGGACCCTCTGGGGTGCGGTAGGTCCACTTCTCTTCATGTCCTGCCCTGTGGAGCCCTAGTAGGCTTTGGGAGGAGCTGGGCTCTGGAGACACATGGAGTTGAGAATCACTCATGGGTTCAGTCAAGGAACATTTTTGACCTTCCTCTCTGATTGAACGTTACTTGATAGTCCTTACCCATTAGGAGGTTTGGACTGGCTTGGACCCTGGGGCTAGGCTGCTCTGTCTTTGCAAATAAGGCTGATATCTACTCTGCAGTTTGAGTGGACGTTTCTTGGCCTGCCTGTGGCAATATATCACTAAATACAGTCCCTAGGTGGCCATTTACCAGCCCAGACTCTGACTCAGGGAAGGAATTCTGTAGGTGGTTTTCTTGGACTGCTCTTACTCTTGCCCTTGAGCATCTTTGGACAACAGTTTCACAGGGATGCACCTGCAAATCTGTTGGATGAAAGCTGTGTTCCTTTCCCACCATTACCATATTACCACAGAGTTATTGGCTTAGAATCAGTTGTTTACCTTACATTTCTGCAGGTTCCATTTCAGCTTGGCTAAAATGAAACTTGGTAGGCTGTATTCTTCCTAGCATCCCTCAGGTGATAAGCTTCTTGCCTTCGCAGTTTCTAGAGGCTGCGATTCATGGTTAGCATCTTTCCTTTTCTATTATCAAAGGCCACAGTATGGCAGCTCACTGACCCTGGTCTCTATGCCTCATCTTCTGATTTAGAAACACTTTTAACGACACACAGCTAGGTAATTCAGGATACTCCCCACTCCATCACAAGATTAGTTGATTTGTGACCTTAATCTTAACTATAACCTTCGTTTATCTTTGCCACATAACTTAGTAAACCAACGGATTCCAGGGATTGGGACTGTGACCTTTGGGACAATTGCAACATTGAGGGTTTCAGAGTGAGATGCTTCTTGCAGTGTGGAGGGAGATGGACAGGCTCTAATTATTTATTTTTAGACAAAGAGAGATGCTCTCATCCCCCCACATGCATTATTTATATTGGTTACAACACAAAAACTACATGGCCTTTCCTTTTTTGAAATCTGTACCAAATTCTGACCCCCACACTGGATTGGAGATACAGTTAATTCTTAGCCCAGGCAACAGAAGCCCAACCACTTCTCACAAATGTTTACAGAGGGTTTGCAGTTTTCAATGTGACTTTGCAAGGAAATTCTCATAAGGGTCGTTGGCGACAGGGTATTTCTCCATTAGACTGACAGGAATGCTGAGGGTCAGATTTAATGGAATATATACCTGTCATCCCCAAAGCAGGCTCACCTACAGAAGAGTGAGTCAATGTCACCTGAGTGTCAGGGGACAAGAGCCTATGTTCTGTCTTACCACATCACCAGAGCTGCTCACACCCAAGGACAGGCAGGAAGTGGGAGCAATGGATGGGACAGGGTCCCAGAGGAGGAGTCACACAGAGACATCTGTCACCTGGTTCTCTGACTTTAATGTAAGGAGTCCTTGGTTCTCCTGCCAGACACTGGAAGAGTGGATTACACATGGGCATGGATGTATATATGCACATGAGTTTGCATGCATATTTGCCCACATACATGTGCTTCAATGGATACTATGTGAATACACGTATTTGTGTGCATGTGTGTATGTGTTTATGTGTGTATACTCATGTGTTCCTGCATATACTACATGTGTGTACATTTTTATGTCTGAGTACATGAACATGCACAGCAAATGAAGCAGCTGGTTAGAAATTCCACCTTGAGCTTTCTTCTGAGGGACTGTATTAATAGCCACTATAAATTCCTGTTCACACAGGAGATGTATGTGGGAAAGGAGAGGAGAGACCCTATGCGTGTCCACTAGGGACCCAGGAATCAGCAACCAGCTTAAGGGGAGCAAAGACTTCGAAGGCACAGAGAGAGCCACAGAATGATGCCTGGGAAGGAAGCACAGCCATAGGTTTTTCCCAGGAGGCTTTTCTTCAAAAACAAGAGAGTCACATTTTTTTCTGCCAAGGATCAGTGGAAAACAATTGTGGCATTGTTTTCCCTGACTCACAAAGGATTGTCCATCATACCATTTAGCCCCACCCCCTTACTCCAAAAAGAGAAAGATCTAGAATGGAATTCATGAAGAGTACTGAAAGTCTTGGGTTTCCTCCAGTATCAATCATCCCTTAGTAGTTCTCTGATATGTGTGGAGGCCTTGTTAGCATTTCTCTGTCCAGACAGTTGAGCATTACTAGTCCCATATCATGAATGAGAAAAACAGTGGTATGTGGTTATACATATATACTGTAGGAAAAAAAAGTTCTTGTTGAAATCAGACACATTCCAGCTTAAGTCCTGGCTTCAACTCTTTCTTGTTGTGGAAGTTAAGGAAGTCACTCTCCTCAATGGAAAACAGTAATAATAACTATGCCATGGGACCTTGTCTTGGAAAACAATAAATAATTGATTCAAAACTCTTGGCTCAGGGCCAGGAAGTTGGCTCAGTGGTAGAGCACTTGCCTTGCATGCCTGAGGCCCTGGGTTCGATTCCTCAGCACCACATAAGCAAAAAGAAAAAAGCCGGAAGTGATGCTGTGGCTCAAGTGGTAGAGCACTAGCCTTGAGCTGAAGAGCTGAGGGACAGCACCCAGGCCCTGAGTTCAGGCCCCATGACCAGACCCTCCCCTCCCCCCAAAAAAACCACAAAAAACTCTTGGCTCATAACCAAATCTCAGACAATGGTTTTGTAGTCCATTGGCAGTACTGAGATTTAAGTTTATTACCATCTGTCCTCAAATTCTTTGATTATGTGCATCACTCATTTCAATTCTCAACAGGGGGTGCAGTAAAATCTCACCCTCTGGTATCTATCTTTGGCTCTTGCCCTTCTCAAACACATCTGGAACACAGCTGTGAGGTTATAAGGTAGGACATTGTCCTGTGGAGATGGATCAGACTTTATGTGAGTCACCTCAGGGAACTTATCTAGATGGCCCTTGGGAGGATAGTGACTCAGGGCACAGTGGGAGCATCCATCCTCCATGCCTCTCGTAGACTGGGCAACAGTGATAGAGACCTGGGCATTGCTGTGAGGTACAGTTCACCTTACTGTCTCAAGGCCTGCTCTATGGCTCCTTGGGATTTCCTGCTGGAATCCTTCATAGCAGACTGGCTCATAAAGGAGGATCACAGGGAGATTGTCTAGGCTTTCCAGTTTTCATTCTATTCAGAATGAACTTTCACTTATTCACTATAAATTCTTATAATAGAACTAGTCCTTTATGGATTTTTTTTTCTGAAGAAATATGCTATGTCTTTCTCTCCTCCCTTCTTGCTCCTTCCTTCCTCTTTTTTCTTTCTTCCATTCATCCATCTGTCATCCATTCATCCATCAATTGATATATCCATCCATATGGCCAAGCTTTATATAATTATCTCCCTAAAAACCATGTCACATGTTCAGAAAAGCAAAAGACAGACATAGCTCCACTTTGAAGAAATTCAGTTTATTTGGGGGAAATATAGGGAAATAGGTGTCTGGATAGTCATGAGAACAAAACTTCCACTTATTGGGACTGTGAGGGATGTGTGTTGTTCTGGGACCACAAGCATGAGCTCTGGACAGATGAGTAGCAGTTTCTGCTAAAAACAAAAGCAGATAGGAAGCAGGCTCGTGTGTGTGTGTGTGTGTGTGTGTGTGTGTGTGTATGTGTGTTTAGGGAAAGTATCTATGTTATAGACTGTAGAAGAATGGAGTCTATGGGGAAAATGGCAGGAGGTGGCTGGAGAGATAAGCAGGGACTTCCTCTCTGTCTTAAGACCAGCTACCTACTGAGGGAATGAATGGTAGTGGTCTGCTAGCTGCAGTCTTACTCTGACCTACAAAGTGCCAGTAGATGAAAAGACTCTTGATATGAAGGACCATGGGAGGAAACAGCACACATGCCTGGGGCAGAGAGGAGGTGTGGGGCTTGTTAGGTTTACAGCAAGAAGGTAGCTCTCTTCTTTTTGTCCTGCCCAGCACCCTGAGTTGTGCCGACAAGGTCTTTCAGGCTGGCCAGCAAACTTTTATTTGCTTTTAGCACTAAATTTGGAGTGCTTGTGCTCATAAAAGTAATCCCAGTTCTAAAGTGCTGGAGGTTGTTCATCAACAACCTGACTCATAAAAATAACAAAACTCCACTCACTGGGGAAGATATTTTGCTTGGGGCAGATTAGAAAACAGTCTCCAATTAGTGCCTTAAGTTTCTGCTTTACTCAGAAGTGCCAAGTGCATATGCAGAGCAGAGACAGTTGGTTGCTATATCAACACTGGCTCCATCTTGGTGCATCTCATTCCATTGTGCTGGTTTCTTTACCAGAGGAGGTTGTTGGACCGGGAGTAGAACCCAGGCTTTGATTTAGAGATGAAGAGATGAGATTGCATTCTCACCTCTCTTGGCCTCACTGTCTGGTCAACCTTGATCCTCAATTTTCTATATTCCAGAATATAGATGATACCTTTCTCATTGGATTGTGGGTTAGCACTTCAAAACATCAGGCTCTATACCTGGTATGTTTTTATAATTTCATTTCCCACTGCCTTTTCCAGAAAAGCCAACTACCAAGTCATGCATGAGCACACTGGGGTTTAGCTTTCCTACCTGTGAACTAAAATGCTAGCTTTTGGCAGTGATATGTTAATGCATGTAGACAACACAGATGAGTGCAGCAGAGGGTCAGTATGCTTAAAGCGTAAGTGAGATTTCAGCTCCCACCTTACACTGAGTAAAAGCTCAGTCCTGGAAATTATTTGACAAACTTGTGGACAACACACACTGGATCAGGAAAGAGAGCAAAAAGATTATTCCACTTGTCCTCTGAGCCATAACAAATTAACATGGCCGAGTTTCTATGCTAGCCTTAGAGTAGAGATCCTAGGATCTGACCTTAGAAATCTTATCTTATGATATATGAGTCTCTTTGAGTAGGTTCCTGGCCTTTTAGCCTGTGGGTATTAGTGAAGGAATTGGGAGTATTTGAACCCAAGGGACAGGAAACACTGAGAATCAGCCCATGCACAGTCTGTCTCGGGAAAGACTATTATCCAGGACACCAAGTTTAAGGGTGTTCTCACCCTCAAGGCTGACCTTGGGATTTCTTTTTTTTTTTGTTTTTTTTTGGGGGGGTCTGGTCATGGGGCGTGAACTCTGGGCCTGGGCGCTGTCCCTCAGCTCTTCAGCTCAAGGCTAGCACTCTACCACTTGAGCCACAGCATCACTTCCGGCTTTTTTCTTTTTGCTTATGTGGTGCTGAGGAATCGAACCCAGGGCCTCAGGCATGCAAGGCAAGCGCTCTACCACTGAGCCACCTTCCTAGCCCTGACCTTGGGATTTCTAAGACCATCAAAAACTCAATAGCCCTGCTAGCAAGAACATTCTTTAATCTTATACCCTTATTCTTGTCCCAAGTGTGAGCCATGTTATTAGAGACTGGCTGACAGAGAGGGAGGCCACAGAAATGGAGGTTTTGAATTGGAACATCCCCACAGAGCAAGAACAGCCTGTTTGGACAGAACAGGCATTGAAGTTGGCTGCAGGAAAGACTTCCTCAAATGATAGGTACTATAAGTTCATTATTCCAAAAGGAAAGGGAAATGGAACCTCTAGAAATTCTACAGTCCCTTACACAGGTACAGTGGGCAGTGAGGAAACTCACAACCTTTCTGCTTCCTACCACACCCCATCACACACCTTTAGGTTTTAGAGACATTCCCATGGAAATGTATTACTGGATCCACATCTTATAGGCTATCTTCATCTTCCTGCCATTTTGCCCCTCGACAAACTGAACTCTGGCTCCATAGCTGGCTTTGTTGGACATTTTTCTTGCTATTCCTTAGATATAGTGAGAATGTTGCTCTTGTTGCCGCCCCCTGAGATTTCTGTTCTCTTGCATTGTTTCCTGGGATTATTCTTATCATTTTGTCTCAAGGGTCACCCTTCAGAGGGTCTTTCCATTACCAATACGCTCCATGTTACACAAGCCTGAAGAACTTGTCTGCCTCCCTCTTCTACTGCAAGAGAAAGGCTGGTTTGCCTTCTCACAGCTTTACCTTGGCTTTGGAGCCTGAGGTACACCTGGATCTCAGTGGATATTAATTTCTGGATGGACCATTGTGCTGGTTTTAGAGGTTCACATACCCCTTATTCTGGGGCTGTTATTGTAAATCTAGTGTTTTGTTCTTTAAGCTCACGTCTCTACTTTTTTTCCTAGTTAAGTGTCCTGAAGGCAGCTATGCTCAGGATGAGCAATGCATCCCCTGTCCTGTTGGATTCTACCAAGAGCATGTAGGCAGCGTGGCCTGTGCCCCATGTCCTGCAAGAAGAACCACTGTGAGCACCGGAGCATTCAGCCAGCTTCACTGTAAGTCCTGAGGCTGCTCTGAAGGAGATGTTTCTTTGCCATGGCATGGGAAGGTGTTTGGTGGCAGCACTAGCCTGCCTCCAATAGATGCTGATAATACTCACTCCCCCAAATCATGATAACCAAGCATCACTCTGAACATTGCCAAATATCTCTTGTGATGACAGGGGACAATACTGTCCACCATTAAGGACCACTAGGCACACAGAAAAACATGCAGGCTAACTAGGCAGGTAACTGTCTAAAGAGTTTCCTTTTGGTAGATGGTTCTGGAGGTACAAAGCTTTGCGGGCTGCATATAAAGATGGCAGTCCAGAGGAGTTGAGGGCATTAGTCACACAATAAGGAGTGTGGTTATTTCTGTCTGTGATTCTTGTCTCTCTGCCTCTTCTATTTTTAGTTTAGTTTTTTTTTTGATGGCCAGAACTAAGGGCCTCATGCAAAATAAGCAGGCATTATAGCACTGAGCCATACTTCCAACCTTGTTTTACTTTATTCTTAGACATGTCCCTGGACCTTGATCTACCTATTTTAGGGTTTCCATCATAGTTGGGATGACAGACATGTGCTACCATACCTAGCTTCTTCTGTTGAGATGGAGTCTTACTGACTTTTCTTCCTGGGCCGGCCTGAAACTGTCCTTCTTCTTGTTTCGACCTCCCACCCTGCTAGGATGACAGACATGAGCCACAGTTCTTAGCTGTCTGCCACTTCTTATTAAACTATCAAGATACAATTGAGGGACCTATCCTAAATTGTGTCATCTAATGGCCTTATCTAGTGCTAATCACTTCCTAGAACCTCTCCCCAGTTAGCATGGTTTCCATTCTCTTCATAGCACATAATAAGGGTGAATTTCACTAGAGTTTGAAGGAACAACCCACACTGGAGTCAAGATAGTAGAGGAGAGTAAATGGTGAAGGGCCAGGAGCTGGGGCAGCAGCAGTGGGGCCAATACTTCAATCTGGGTTTGAGTAAATGGAAACAGAGGGCAGGGGCTCTTGAAGTCCAAAGTGTGTAATGAGGCCCAGAGTGCATTCACAGCACTGGGAAGAAGGATGCTTTCTGGAGCTGAACAGGGAGCCCGAGTGTCGTGCTTTGATGAGGATGAGGCCACTGAAGACTTTTAAACCAGAATGTGTAAAATGGGTGACTTTTCCATCGGCTGATACCTGGGACCCCAGGACCTGTTCCTGATTTCTAGGTCCATGTCTCCTTCCAGGTGTCACGGACTGTCAGAAGAATGAGGAGGGCCTGCAGTGTGGCCAGGATGGCCAGTACCAAGCCATCCAGAGGGACCAGGGAAGTGGAATGGCCTTCTGCGTGGATGGAGAAGGGCGGAGACTGCTGTGGTCTCAGACAGAGACCCCACTCTCTGACGCCCAGTGTCTGAGTATGTGCTTGTGGGTACAGTAGCTGTGGCGATGAGATGGCGTCTCTGGGACTGTACAGAAAGGGAAAGATGTGGGACATGCATTTGTCTCCCACGTTAAATTTTGAAAAATGTTAAGCTATATGAGGTTGCATGGCTAGAGATGAACAAGTACACTCTACTAGATCCAACAAGTGTTCATAATTTGTGCTTTTTTGAATCATTTGAAAGCAATTTTCTGACATTGTAAGATCCCACCCTTAAATACTCTAGTCTGCATAAGAAATGAACCTTTAATTAGGGTTCGCCTGTCATTGTGTCCATTCCTGTAGGAAGCTTGCTTCTGCCAGTCAGGCAGCACATCATGCCTATGTGGGCACTGTGGAAACATTGAGTTGTCAATCTTTACTCCATAACTTCCTTGCTGGGTGACTCAGAACACGTTGTTCAGTGTCTCTGATGCTCAATGCCCTTGGTCTATTTTCTGTACAGAGAGCCCATGGCTTTAGATGGAGTAGATGTGTCTTTTACCTAGATTTATCAAATCTCACTAAGTACATGTGAATGTATTGACTTGATGTTAAGCAACCTCTGTTGCTTAACCTGTGAACATGGGTTCATTTATAAAACTGTGTGATGAGTGATTCTATACATGCTTGAAAAGATACATGCAAAGAACCAATACTTTTATAGTTTGGGCTTAAAAATAAATCCTAATTTTCCATTTTTATTTCATTTTTTTTACTAACATCAATTCAATTACTTGTATAAGGAGTTTACTTCAATATGTTAGTATATGCATACAGTGTACTCACCCCTTCAATCACTCGCTCCTCTTCCTTCCTCCCAAACCAATCTCAACAAGCTTCATTGTTCCATTTTTCACTCAGGCATATAAAGAATTTTAACCACATGTATCCTTCTTCACTATCTCCCATTTGCCCCCCAGCTCCTTCCCAGCTTTCCAATAGTACCTCCATACCAACAGGACCTCTGTACTCTTGCCCATTCAAAGTTATTTTACAGTGTGTGCTAACTGTTCAAAGGGGTTGAACTGTGGTTATTTCACACATACATATACAGTATTTTAACCAAATTGTCCCCTCATGTACTTTGTCTTTATTCTCCCTATCCTCTGTAATTCAAGACCTTTCAGTGAGTTTTGTTTTTCTATCTTCATTCACATCTTCACTGTGCTTTGCTATTGTATATCCTCAAATTTTCTGTTTCTTTCCCCTCTCTAATACTCTCAAACTGCCCCACAATTACAAACAAGCCATGAATACACATAATCTGTGTGTTTACATGTTCATGTTATCTTTTAACTCTAGCATCTACACATGGAAGAAAAGATTTTACCCTAGTTCTGCTGAATTTGGATTGCTTTGCTTAACACGATGAGCTCCAGTTTCATCCATTTACCTGCACACACATTTTGTTTTTCTTTATGGCTGAATAATACTCTGCTATATGTACATACCACAGCTTCCTAACCCATTCATGACTCCTAGGGCATCTTGACTACTGTCAAGTTATAGAAATATTGCTGCAGTGAACGTGAGTGTGTCATTATATCAGCATTCCATTGGATAAATACTGAGAGTGGTGTCTCTGGATCATTTGGCAGTTCTAGTTTTAGTTTTTGAGGAACTTTCACACTGTTCTATAGTGATTGCAGTAGTTTACATTCCTACCAACAACGTATGAGGGTTCCTTTCCCCCACATGCTTACCACCATTAGTTGTTTGCATTCTTGATAATAGCCATTATGACAGGAGTGAGGTGAGATTTCAGTGTCATTTTTATTCGTATTTCCTTTATGGGTAGGAATGATGAACATTTCTTCATGTATTTATTGGCCATTTGTATTTTTTTCTTTTGGGAATTGTCTGTTTGGTTCGTTTACCCATTTATCAATGGAGCTTTTTATTCTTCAGTAGTGTAGTATTTTTGGCTTTCTGTAGATTCTGGTTACTAATTTCTTATTCAATCTATAGTCATCAAAGATTTTCTCCCATTATGTAACCTGTCCCTGTAGTTTAGTGACTACTTCCTTTTCTGCGCTGAAGCTTTTCAGTTTGATACAATCCCATTTTTCAATTTTTACTCTTATTAGCTGAGTGATGAGAGTTCTATTTTTGATAGGTACCTGAAAAATTTTGGCATCCTAAGGTGTTTGTGGCCTAGATCATAGACCTTGCTCATTAACAGTTGTGTTCTATGTTATTTTTACTTGATAAGGAATGAAGCTCACGTCATGTAGCCTTGGAAAATTATCTTTCTTCTTCCCTCCTAGCCTGGTTCCTTGAGCAGGTGGCACTGCTTTTCCTACCAAATAGATCTCAATTATGCCTATGATAACTGGAGAAGCAGATGCTAACTTATAGCTTAGACAATCACTGTCGTACAAATGCCTGAGCCACACAACATGCTCATATCCATATGTCTGCCTTTTCTTTTTAAAAATAGCTTACCTCATTTCAGAAAGAATTCAAGTTGTTTTAGGAATAGAAGATTTCCAATAAAATCATATGATATAATTACCATTCAAAGACAAAGGCAAGGAAATACAAGCTTGGATAGAATAAAACGAGAAACAATGAGAAGAAGTGAGTACAAAGCCTAATATAGTATTATTTTTTCCTCTGACCTCTTGATAATGAGGTGGAAAAGGAGAAACTTGGAAAGTTACAGTGCCAATGAACAGAGGTGAGACAGCATGCCTGAGCTCCCTTATGAAGGACTAGCTGAACTTTAAGGGAATTTATGGGGTAGGGCTTCTTGATTATACAGGACTTAAACTGTTAGTTTGTATGAAAGCTATTGTTGTGATACATTATACCCTTCAAGGGCAGAGTTCACAAATCTGTCTTATTTTCAGTGATGCAGAAATTTGAGAAGGCTCCAGAATGGAAGGTAGTCTTCAGTGCTGATGCTCCTGCCATAGTCAGATCTAAAGTCCCTGTTTCTGAATCTTCTCTGGTACAGTGCTTGGCAGGTAAGGGATATGGGAAGATGGGTGCATGGAGAATCATGTAGAATATGTTCTTCAATGTTGGCAAAATACATTGTGTCAAACACTTAAACGATAATGAAAAACCCAGCCTATCAAACACATTGCAAACCAATTGATGTCCACATGGTATGCACAATCCATAACTTCATTGCAGAGTTTATCATGTAGCTACTAAATGCTAAGAATTATAATAAATATGTAGGGACAGAAATAACTGAACTTAGTCCACTGAAAAGCCACTTGTGTATGGAGAGACAATGATAAGAACTATTTGCTAAACATGTAGATACACTGCCTGTACCCAGCGTATCTATCCATAGTGGCCAATGTTGGCGCAAATTACAGTTGAGAAAGAGAGAGCATGGAGATTGTCCGTGACTTCTTCAGTGACACTGAGTTAACAAACTGCAGTGCAGAAGCTCAAGCCCAGGCTAATGGATATGAAGGCCAGCCATCTTAGCCTTAGAGATAGGTCTTCGTCAGTGATAGAATATGGTGTAGTCATTGAGCAAAAGGCCCTTGGAAGATGACTAGGGTGGGCATACACTGCTGTTTGTATCATAATCATAGGGCAAGACAGGAAGTAGGAATTGAACAAACATGTAAAGCACATGGTGTTTGAGGGAACTGGAGGCATAATGCCAAGGGGTACAGTGAGTGGACCTGAGGAGCCAGCACCAAGAAAGCAACCTGGATGCAGAATTAAAGCAGTTAGTTATTTAAGCTGGAAGGAAGAGCCCACTCATCCACACCTGTGTATACACCTGGTGGTAGCCACACAGCTTGACTTGGAAAGGCACACCAGAGAGTTGGGTAGAACAAGAGGGTGAAAAACCACATGGTATGAGGCAAGGAGACAGGACAGTCTAGTCCATGTGTTAGGATCAGGACATGGTTAATCCAACCATCCCAGCCTCAGACACTGACTGAGCTAAAGGTGATGGGAAATGGCCAACAGGTTGAGCAAGGTAATGAGGTTGTCTTTGAAGATCTGGCAAGACACTTACCTTTTCAGAAAAGGAGAACAAGGTCTTCTTAGTTAGGCAACCTGTGTGGATCAGCAGGGTCCACATAGCAGGCCTGTGCTGGTCTTTTTTGCATGCCATGACAAAGTGCCATAGGGTATGGGAGACAGCTTGAATGTGTGTGTGTGTGTGTGTGTGTGTGTGTGTGTGTGTGTGTGTGTGTGTGTGTGAGGTATGATGTGGACATAGATGCAGTTTGTGTGTGGCATAGTGTGAGTATGGTACAGTATGATTAGTGTGTGTGGTGCAATGTGAATGTGCAGTGTACGTACAATGTGAGTGTGCACATACAGTGTGAATGTGGTGGTATAGGTGATATAGTCAGTGAGCCCATAGTGTGACTGACTGTCTGGTATAGTATGAGTGTGTGAAAGTAGATGTGGGGAGAGTATGAGTGTGTGTATGGTATAGTGTGTGAATGCTGGTGTGTGGGTACACTGTTACGGTGGGGGTGGGTGCAATGTGTGGGTTGGGGTAAGTCAGGGAAGTCTCCTGTCTGAGCCAGCCCTGTAGTGATTGTCCCGTGGGTGCTTCCAGACTGTGCAGAGGATGACACCTGCAGCTTCCTCACAGTGTCCACAACGGGGTCAGAAGTCTCATGTGATTTCTATGCGTGGACGAGTGACAACTTTGTCTGCACAACTTCTGGGCAGGTAGGCATGATGGTGACGCTCCTTTTCCATCCTGTATCTGATAGGCTCTATTGTCTTCTGCAAATCATCAGGTGACAGAAGAAGATGGCTGATAGCAGTCCGTTTTTGTTGTCTCTGGTTCTTTAAAGCCCTGAGCCTTTGGAGTTTGCAGCTGCCACAGGCCAGAAACTGACAGAGAAGGCAATGATGTCAGGAGCAGCTTCCCATCCTGACAGAATTAGAAGGGCGCCTCAGTGTTCTCGCCCCTCAGGCCCCGATGCCCTGGGGTCACTGTCTAGAGTCCTAAATACCATCTGCCCTTCTGAGTCCTTGGTCCCAGCAGCCATTCCTTTGTAGAATCTACCATGATTATGGCTCAAAGATTAGAAGGTTAAGTATTCTCAGAATCCCATGAAATTGCCTCTTTTTTTTTTTGGCCGGTCGTGGGGCTTGGGCGCTGTCCCTGCGCTCTTCAGTTCAAGGCGAGTGCTCTACCACTTGAGCCCCAGCGCCACTTCCAGTTTTCTAGTGGTTTATTGGAGATAAGAATCTCATGGACTTTCCTGCCCGGGCTGGCTTTGAACTGTGATCCTCAGATCTCAGCCTCCTGAGTAGCTAGGATTACAGGCGTGAGCCACCAGTGCCAAGCATGAAATTGCCTCTTTTGTAAGCCAAAGCTGGTAGAAAATTGGAAACATATGTGGAACCATCAAATTAAGGTAGAAAGGTATCTTCAGCCCATATAAATCCCCATTTTCCTCTGTGGATTCACATAGGCTCTTCCAGAAAATGTTTCTGTATTTATAAGCATGTTTTTTGTTTACATGCGAGTGTGTTATCATCTGTGTTATTTGCCTTAATTTCTTTTTGGGATTGATGTTTCTGTACTGAGAAAATAATTCTGTATTTTCTCTCAATGGCAGCCTACCAACCCCCTCTGTGGGCACATTGTCTATGCTATGCCTTCTACTAAGGACAAGCAAATCTACTAAAGACACTTTGCAACATCACTAACAGTGGTATATGTCATGGCCCTGTGCCATAACTTTTTAACCACTTTGGAAAGTAGTGTGGAGATTCCTCAAAAGACTTCACATAGAGCTCCCCTATGACCCAACAATACCACTTTTGGGCATTTACCCAAATGATCTTGTACAAACAAGACCATATTAAAGCTACCAGCACAACCATGTTTATTGCAGAATTATTTACCATATCTAAGATATGAAACCAATCGAGATGCCCCTCAGTAGATAAATGGATCAAGAAAATGTGGTATATATACACAATGGAATTCTATGCCTCCATCAGAAAGAATGACATTGCCCCATTTGTTAGGAAATGGAAAGACTGTGAAGTAAGCCAGGCCCAAAGAAACATAGGTCCCATGGTTTCCCTTATTTGCAATAACTAGTATAAGTCTGAGACAAGCAGAAATGGTCAGATAAGTTGATGTTAGGTGACATGAACCCCAAGATAAGGACTCAAATGTTTTTCTTTCTTGCGATTGTTTGTAACATATTTATAAGATATTTCTTTGTTGCTTTGTATGTCCCTCCTCCACGGTATAACCCGTTTCCACTGTATTTGATATTGGTATAATTTGTGGAGGGGAAGGGAAAAAACAAATTGTTTAAATAGGGATACAGGTGGACACATTGCAACAATAAGATGAACAAGACATTATTTCAAAAAAAGAACTTTACAACTTTGGTGCCGGCGGGGGGGGGGGGGGGGGGGGGAGGTAGGAGGGAACACAGGGGAGCGGCAGGGGAAGATGGGAAGGAGAAACAAAGGAGGAGGCAACAATGCTTGATAAGAAATGTACTCATTACCTTGCCCATGTAATTGTAACCCCTCTGTATGGTATTTTTACAATTAAAAAAAAAGTATTCATAAACAACATGATGGAAGAAATCTGGAGAGAAGGCTTTGTCCCTGAGTTTTAGGGCTTTTGAGCCCAAGTTTATAGTTATGAGATACAGGAAGGAAGGCCATGGGTTCAAATCCCAGCCCAATACTCACGTGCTGCTATTTAGGCATATTATATGGGAGCCATAGTGGCAACTATGTCACCAGATCATTGAGAGGACTGAGCAGTTCTTACGTGGACCATCTAGGGATTATTATGATTATCATAATTGCTCATAACTACCAACCTACTCCCAAGTCAGAGCAGAAAGGAATTCCAGCAGGGCCATTATTAAGGATTTTCTCCAGTGCCTTGGGCTTTCCATTCAGTTCTGGAGCAGTGGGTGGGACTTGGCCATTGGTCATCCCTGGTTGGTCCACCTTGACCAGTGTGAGTCCCAGCTCCATAGTCTCCTTCAGCCTCACTTCCTCAACTCCTTCCCCAGCACTGTGCAGAATAGAAACTGCTAAGGTAGGAGCCCAGGGTACTGGGTTTAATCTTCCCAGGTCCAGCCATCTGCCTATCATTTAAGAACCTCTGATCTACCAGGACACAACTAGAGAAGGGGCAATGTTTCGACTAGTCTAGGTCTCCTGCCTGAGACCCTATCAGGTCTGCAGCAGCCTGTTCTCTCCTTATTCTCCAATATCTCTTCCCTTGCTCCCAGGCCTTTACCTCTTCAGTGAGTGCAGGCTTCCTGAACAAGAGGACCTGTCTACAAATAGCCTATGTGCTAGCCCCTACCTTCCAAAATTTTCCATAGCAAATGCCAAGCTTTTCAGCCATGAGGGGGAGGGCAAAATACTGGCAACAAAACACAAATTTATACTGTCCCACTGATGGCAGAATTGTTAGAAAGAAACCAGAAGAGAGATCAGAGATAACTAAGAATATCCGTATGTATCTCTGGGGTCTGACTGGACCATTTCCATACTTAGAGCCTTCGTCTGGATAGAAGTTTTGTGCTTACAAGCTGGCTCTAGTGTTTCCTCCCTGTGTGGTCATTTCTGCTCTAACTAGACCTAGTCTCAAAACACCCAAGGAATTCCAGGTCTCTCTGCTTAGTGTTTCCTCTGATTGAAATGCCTCTTCTCTTGTTTCACCTAGTCTACTCCTACTCATACATCAGAACCTTTCCCAGATTCACTTTCTCTGGGAAATGTTCCTAGGTCCTGATTGTCAGTGGAATTAATCACTTCCTCCTCTCTGATTAAACATCTTTGCCATTAACCCTGGGCAGGAATTTATTGTTCACAGGTCTGTTTGCTTCAGCAGACCAAGAGAAACTAAGGGGCAGGACTCTTAATTTGTCTTTGAGGCCTCAGTGCCTGGCCACGGGTAGAGTTTGCTAAGTGTGTATTGAGTTGAACTTTCATTCACACCTCAGGGTGATAACTTGGTGTCTTTCCATCTTCAGGAACAAGATTCTTTGGGGAGCTCAAAGGCTGCAAGCTTTGGAAGTCTTATGTGCCAGGTGAAAGTGAAAAATGGTGATCCAGATTCTCTGGCTGTGTATTTGAAGAAGGGTAGGTTGGCAAAACTGGAGTGCTTATGGCCTCTATGACTTCCCTTGGCCCTGTTTGGAGCTGGTTTCCGGTAGGATGTCTTTAGCATCCCTCTCATTGACTCCGTGCTCTGGAGCTGGTTCCATCCAGCTGCTTCTGCAGACAGATAGTGGTCTCCAACTGCTACGAAATGATTTCCACACTACATTTATTTGGACCATCAGATTGCATTCCCATCACATCCTTCAGGGACTTTGTTCTACAAATGAGGAGCCAAGTTGCAGGCACCTGAAGTTAATGTAGTGTGCAGTGTGTAGCCCTCATGCAAGGCCAGCATACCTCCTGTAATAAGAACATCTAGCAGGGGGCTGGGCTCAGCTTGCTGCAGATGTCCCTGCCTTCCTGCAGCTTCTCACCTTCCTGGATATCACTGAACCTCTAAGGGCTGCCTCCCTCTCTGTGCTCAGGGGACCACCCATAGCTGCAGTGCATGCTTGCAGCTTGAGGAGCTATGAGTTGCAGACTGTGAGCTGGGGACTACAGAGAGCTGAGATACTGAATTTCTAACAGCTCTGAGGTCTGGTGCATACTCCTCGTAGCAAGAATGATAAGACTTTAGATCTACAACAGATTGACTGTTTGGCCCTTCAGTTCTACCTTCCCTTGTTGAAAGGCAGAGGGGAACAGAATCTCCCTTATTATCACATGATCATTCTGTTACCAGTTTGAGGACATGGGCTTCAGCCTGCTCTGCTGCACAGAGGATGACAAGAGACAGTTGTGTCCACTGGTTACCTGTGGGCTACCCAGCGTCCTGTAGCCTACCTTCTGCTACCTGACCAGCTGGTCTCCTGCCCTCCATCTGCAGTGCAGTGAGGGGACTGTAATGTGGGACTCAGTTCTGGACTGTGGTTCATTGTTCCTCATTCCCTGTTCTTTTTTTAAAAATTGTTATTGTAATCTTGGTGCACAGAGGGGTTATAGTTACATAGGTCAGGTAATGAGCACAAAAGGTACAGAAAATAAAACATCAATAAAGGGGAAAAAACTCTCTTGTTTCCATGTCTTAGAATTCTTTTAGATAAATATCATGTTATATGATCCTATGCACATAGCTATTGAGCCTTTGTGATCCTCTCCTAAGAATATCCTCCTTTGGTCTCACTGTGTGAATGTCTAGAGTCCTGTACAGTTTATCATGTCCAAGTGTAATTTTTTTGTCTTTTACCATCCAATGAGTTTACTTGTAGATTAATAGGCAGATTCTAATTGTGACAAGTGAGGGACATTCCCTGCTCTTCAGGCCCTCCCCTCTCTGTGGTTCTGAGAGTCAGGATGTGAGGCCTTGGATGCTTGCTATGTTTCTAGTAGCTGTGTGATCTAAGGCACATTCCTGGACATTCTGGGTTTTTATGTTCTCAGAGTGAACCCAGATAAGGGGGACTGGGAGAAGGTGGCCCATGTGAGGGTCTCAAACAAGCAGTTAGAACTCAGCAAAGGCCTGGAAAATGTGAGTATTTTTATGATGACTCTTTCTTGTTAAGAAATGTCCTAGTGGCCAAAAGACAGCTAGTAGCAGCTAGAGGTAGGTGGGTAAGAAGGGGGATGGGGTTATTTCTTTTAGGTTTACAGCTAAGAACTTTGGATTTCTGTCCTAGTATGTATTCTAATTTCAAAGTAGGGATTGTTTTCTAAAACTGAACACCTAAGTGAACAAAGAACCCCTACTAAAATGTTCTTTAAAACCGTAATTTGGGACTTTTAATTACATGATTTTTTTAAGCAATCATATTTCTTAAGTGTTTGTTGTTTTGCTCTCTTCCTTCTTGTCTTCTGAAAGTTTATACTTGGAGAAAGATGACAGGGGGCATTAAGAGCCTATCTGTTGCCAAACTAAACCAAGAGCAGAACTTGGTTTGCTTTCTTTGCTCTGTTTTGTTTGCTGGTTTGTTTAAAGCAGATTCTCAGAAGCAGCACACTGGCTCTACTGTCCTGAAGACATAGGGTGGCTGGTTCAGGCAATCTGCCTCCAGGCTCCTGTCTCCTCAGTTCATCTCCATCTCGGATCAGGAACAATTTTATACTTTTCCTTGTAAATGGGACCATATGTCACCAGAGAGGAGGGAGGAATAGTGTCTTCATGGCCCTTGGCACCTGCAGGCTGCTAATCAAGTCCAGTCATTTTTCTCACCCTAAGTAACCCAGAAGGATGGGACCAAAGGACAGGACAGAGACTCCTGGCTTGATCTGTCATCCAGCACCATCCACATTCTGTTCCTACTTGTTGTATGTGAGCCTGGAACTTGAAGAAGAGTGTGTGAATCTCCGTGTCTGAGAGCAGGCTTCTCCAACATTGTGTAGCTCAACCCTTATGCACACATAAGGGGTAGAAAGGAGACCATTTTGCCACCCACTGTATTTAGGAAGACCCGCTCTGAATTCAGAAAGATCTCCCTGATCTGCCACATTGTCTAGGATCTGACTGCCTGATGAAGCACAACCTTCACTGGGCACCCACCAAGGGAAAGAGCTTTGGTGTCTCCGTTGATGAAACATGAGCAGCCAGAATTACTGAGCGATCGAGGAATGAGTTCAGCAATGCAGTCATTTCCAAGGGCAATAAGTGCCTAGAATAGAGTGAAGTGGAATGATGGGATGAGGATGGCCGTGAGCTGGTCTGGCTTGGTCAGGAAAGAACCTCAGAGGAGGGAGCACTGGGACTGAGACTTGAAGGATGGGGAGGAGTCTAACATGTAAAGATCTGTTTGGTGGCATATGCCCTGAATGGGGGATACTGAAGTGGGGCTAAGGTATGGTAGGTACTAGATCAGTAGAACTCTGTGATGAAGATTACCTATGCGCCCTTTGAACCTATGCTTCCCAAGTGATGGTCATCAGTCAAATAATGACATCAGACTTCCTTTTAAGATCAGTGACCCCTGTTCAACTCTACATAGTCTTGAGGTCTTTTTAATCTTCCTTCTGCCTCTCCCCAGGCCAAGACTCACTGACAACAGACCAGAAGCACTTTGAACCAACTGGTTTCCAGAAGACACTCTCTGGGTTGTACAGCCCCATGGTGTTCTCTAGAGCCAACCTGACTGATGTGCACCTCTTCTGTCTGCTTGCCTGTGACCATGACCCCTGTTGTGATGGCTTTGTCATCACGCAGGTCAGAGCAGGTAAGTCTGAGGGTAAGGCCAGGTCTAAGGAGGGACAAGATACATGTGGACAGCAGAAGTCAGGACCTACAATGGGGAGTCTGGTTAGGAGTGGAGAATTTGCAGGTATAAGGCCACCATGCTAAAAGACAGGACAATATTCACACAAGAGAAGAACATGCACATGAAGTCAGGGGCCAGCCTCCCTCTGCCCATCACACACTAATGCCAACCACTTCTTCTTGTCACATTGGCTTATTTATTGTTGCTGTTTTAAGGTCAAGACAAAAAAATCATAGACCCCTAAGAGATGAAATCATTTGCTTTTCCAGGATGGGTTTGACCTGAGGCCCATCAGCAGCAGCATCTTATTGCCAGCAATAGTATTACACAGCCTGATGGCCACAACTTGTTATAAACTGTCAGCTCATTGCCATTGCTCATGACAATCCTTTATCTCTGGTGTGCCTACTGGATTCCAGGTCCTTGTCATTTTCAATGGCAGTGGTGCTTATAGAGACAAATTAATGTACTTAGTAATGTGGCCTAGTGGTTGGGAAGATGGATTCTTGTTACTGCCCTGTTCTTCAATCCTGGGCAAGTTGCTTAAATGAAGTTGCATTTCTATTGTCTATAAAATAGGGAGGAGGATTCTTCCTATTTGACTACTTATAAAGGTGATGGGCATAGATGCTGGCGTGGATGGACTATGATGTGCTACTAACCCAGTAACCCATTCACATGACAGCCAGATCCAACTCACCTCTGTAACAGAACGGTGGGACCAACTGTGAAACTGGTGGCATTTGCTTCTAGAATTAAAGATTTAAAAGAAGTCAGAGTAGCCTTTGTATGGCCTTCACCTTGTTCAACATTAAACTTTAAGGAATTGTTATACATTTGCAACCCAATGAGTACACAGTGGATATTAGAAATAAAGAAAATGGGCTTTGTGTCTAGGGGAAGACAGGGTGTACAATGACCTTTATGATTGATTGAAGGACACCTTCATTTATTCCCTTAGGCCTGTGTGCTGTCATTCTGCACATACTAAGCCTAACTTGGCCAGGCTCAGTAACCAAGGTTGTATCTGATTCCCAGTACAATTAGAGAATAGGAGGTTTAGGGGATGAAGGAAGGTAATAACTAAGGAGATTTAGTGACCATCTGGGAAAGGAGAGTCTGGGCCTGGTTGTGTGGGATGGACAGCACTGAGATGATGAGAGAGGCTCAGGAGTGAGATCCAGAGCCAGCTCCTTGGGAGCTGAGTGAGAGGCAAGGAGACACTCTGTCTGAAGAAAATTAACTTAAGATATTGAGCTTCTCAGTTAGAAAGTATTATTAAGCACCTACATGTCAGTCCCCAGGGCTATGGCCAGCTCCAGGACTCTGCATCCCAGCTGCCTCCATGAAGCTGGAACCACTTATTTCCACCTTCTCGGGATCCTACTCTTCTCTCCTCGCCACCTCCTTCCTTTCTCCCTATCTGATCTCCATAGCCCAGTGCCCTCTCTGGCTCCCTGCACTGAGCACATGCTCTATTCTTACCCTCTCTCTTCTTAAGAACCCAGTGAGTTAGCAGAGCAGAGCTTCGCCCTCCAGCTTTCCTCTAGCTTCTATTCCAAGCTCTCCTTCTAGCCAGACCAAATGCATTAAGCTTTGTGACACCCTGGAGCTTTGTTCCCTTCTGCTAACTTCTTGCTGCTTCTTACCATCTTTGGGATCCAGCTTTGCTACACTCCATCCCTGCTGTGTCTGGTTAGCATGCACTCTCTTGTTCTTGGTAATTGTGCCAGTTCTTAACTACTATCTCACTACCCACTCTTTTTGCCAATGTCTTAATTGGCTGTGCTACAAATGACCTCCTTCAGCTCTAAGCTCCACTCATGCTTTGCTCCCTGTATGCCACTACAAGTACACAGGCCCCTCCCCCTGGTGGATCAGGGCTCCACTAGCTGGACAGAAGCCATCTATCCTAGGACAGTTACAGCCCAGAGGTAGACTGACAGATCCTGAGAAAGGTAGGAGCTTCCCTAGTGCTTAATCCCAGTAGTCTGCACAGTTCACTGGACTCACCTTTCCTGAAGCATAGTTCCAAGAGCTGGTGCCTCTCCCAGTGCCAATACCTTTTCTCAGGTCCTGAGGGAGAAAGGGATAATGGTTAGTTACTGTCCCCTGAAAAAATGAAATACTACTTTGCAAGCATATAAGTTTAACCCTATTTAGAGAGATACATGGAGACAATGTTAGACAATGTGCAGATTTTTTTGTCTGCTGTGGAGCTTGATCTTAGAACCTGGCTTCTGTCCCTGAATTCTTTTGTACAAGGCTAGTGCTTTACCACTTCGAGCCACAGTGCCACTCCAGTTTTCTGGTGGTTAATTGTAGATAAGAGTGTCTCAGACTTTCTTACCTGGGCTGGTTTTGAACCATGATCCTCAGATCTCAGCCTCCTGAGTAGCTAGGATTACAGATGTGAACTACCAGCAGCAGGCAATGTATAGTTTTTTTTAACTTGGTGAAGACAAGAGGGAAGATAATTGCACATGGAGAGGGTAGCACACAGGAGGCCTCTGGGAAGGGGGAGAATATGAAGGAAAAGGCATTTGGAGCTATCTGTGGTACAGGGGCAGGGAGCCCAAAGCGCAGGCCTTGGCTTGAGAAAGGCAGGGGGAAAGGCTGGGCCATTTCATGGAAAACTTTGAGGACTATGCTAATGGATGATTCTCTTTTGAGAGCCACTGGGAGCCACTGAAGGGTTTAAACCCAAAGGTATCAGAACACCTCTGGGTTTGGAAACCAGCCTGAGGCAGGAGCACAGAGAAGGTATTTCCAAGTAGCATGGAGCATCCGTGAGGCACTTGCCCAGGAGCTGGGTAGGAGGGCTGGCATCAGTGAGGAGCTTGCCCAGGAGCTGGGTAGGATGGCTGGGCATCAGTGAGGTGCTTGCCCAGGAGCTGGGTAGGATGGCTGGGCATCAGTGAGGCGCTTGCCCAGGGGCTGGGAAGGAGGGCTGGGCATCAGTGAGGAGCTTTCCCAGGGGCTGGGAAGGAGGCCTGGGAATCAGTGAGGAGCTTTCCCAGGGGCTGGGTAGGATGGCTGGGCATCAGTGAGGAGCTTTCCCAGGGGCTGGGTAGGATGGCTGGGCATCAGTGATGAGCCTTGCCCAGGAGCTGGGTAGGATGGCTGGGCATCAGTGAGGCGCTTGCCCAGGAGCTGGGAAGGAGGGCTGGGCATCAGTGAGGAGCTTTCCCAGGGGCTGGGAAGGAGGGCTTGGCATCTGTGAGGAGCATCCCCCGGAGATGGATAGGAGGGCTGGTAGCTTAGGTGACAGGATGGAGGAAGGAAGATTAATTCAACAGGGCTCTGAATGTGGGCTGAAAGAAGCAGCAGGTGTGTACCTGGCTGCAGAGTCTGTTTCTGTGGAGCATAACACCAGGGTCAGACTTGGTGACAAGGAAGAGGTTTTAGGAAGGCCAGAGGTCCTTTAGGGGCCCATTAAGACCTTTAGGATGCCATCAGAATGGGAGACCAGCTTTTGGATGTGGAGTTCCAGGGCTCAGAAAGGCCATGTGCAGGGGGCTGTCCAGGTGAAGCTCAGCAGCATGAGGTATTTCAGAGGCATGGGAATGACCAAGTTTCTTAGGAAGAAAAAAGGTAAAGATAGAAGACAGGTGGAGCTGATCCCAAAGAACACCCTCAGAAATGGTCATGAGTCTGTCCACTGACATGAAGGACGCTGCCAGGCGGGAAGTGGAGACCAGGAAGGGTTGCCTGCTGGAACCACAGTAGATGGAAGGGATGGGCTTGTAGGGGAGCTGTGGGCATCTCCTATGTTGCTGAGAACTCCAGAGATGACTCTTGGAAAATGCTGAGGTTACCTCACAGTGGTATATTCATGGATAAAATAAGAGTGTCTTGTTGGAGAGGTGGGGCTGGAACCCAGACTAGAGTAAGTCGCCTCCTAAGGTTATTTCCAGTTTCAGTGTCCTGTGGTTGTTGTGTGGATTCATGGTAGTGCTTACACGAGAGGAAGTGTTTTATAAACACACATGCATATGCACATACACTCACGTCTTTCTGTGTATTTAGGAACTCTGCAATTCAAATCCAGGATGTCTCCTTGAACTAAATATATTTTCTGTGAATGCTGCAATTTCCCCAGATGCTCAATTACTCCCTATCATCTTTCATGCTGGAAAGCCTGACTTCATTTTCCTTAGGATCATATATGGAACAACTGCCCACAAAATCCTTTTTCCATGACATTTCTAGCTGGAAGCTTGCTTGCTCTTCCCCTCAAGTCTAACCTGCGGTTTGTGAGCTGTGCTGAGCTGAACCATGCTCTCTTACTGCAGGAAGTTAACCCCCTCCCAAGCACACAGGAGGAGTCTGGTTGATATTCATTCAGATTTACCCAGTGGGAGGATGAGAAGTTTTCATTTGCAGAGCTTTGGCTGAATCTGCTGGCCACTGGGGAATAGAATCCCACCACATCCTTCTACAACAGCCTGGAAAGTCATTTAACTTTCTGGTAGATTCCTCCTCCCCCTTTTCCCCCTCCCAAGTCTCCCATTTCTAAAACATTCCAGCCTACTCCCACCTCTTCCAACCTCCAGCCCCAAATGACTGTTTCCACATGCAGTTGTGAGTGCACATCCATGAGGATCTGAGCTGTGTTTTAGTTGAGGGTACTTGGAGGTGGGGTCCCGGGGGGGTTGCATGGCCTGGGGGTCATACCAGTATAATTGAAGCTGGCAGGGTAAGATCAGCTCCCAGCTCACATGTATGTAGACTTCTAGTTAATATTACAACCATAGCAGAAGAGGACGCTGCCTGTTTCTGATTTGGTGGCAGGAGGAAAAATATACTTTATGTTTGTTTCATTCCCTTATTCTATTTGCGATAGAGGGGGAGGGAAAAAGAGGGGGAAGAGAGGGAGAGGATAAAGAAGAGGAAGAGGAATGGGAGGTGGAGAAGGAAGAGAAGGGGAAGAAGAAGAGGAAGAGGAGGAGAAGAAAGTATAGTAGGAAGGGAATGAGGAAGGGGGAAAGATTAGGAGGAAAGGAGAAGGAAGAAGAGATAGGGGAAAGGGGGAGACAGGGGAGATAGGAAGACAGGGAAAGAAAGATCAGGGCTAGAACGAAGGGACTTAACTCAGTCTTCCTCTGAGCTCCTACTAGCTACTGCTCCACCCTGTACTGACTTTGGGCTCCATGGCTGGCTCTGTCTGCACCGTACAGGGCTCCTGCTGCCTGCTGGCCATTCTGCTATTGCTAACAGCTAGGATAACTATTCATCTTTTTGTTGCCTCGGTTTCCTCCTCAGTCACATGAGGTGATCTAAGGAGGTCAGGGATTCTTGAACCTATCTGTGCCCCTGTCTTGAGACTGTGAACAGACTCTCTACAGATTTTGAGTTCCAAATGCCACCCAGGCTCCCGTGTGACACTGTCAAGTTACAGTCACTATCTCTATTTCCACATCAACTAAGTACCCTGGTTTGGGAACCACACACAAGATGATCTCTCAGGTTATATTGAGAAGATGGAAGTTTAAAGGCTTGGGGCTCCAATGTGCTGTCTACTCCAGAAGCATTGTTACCTGTCCCTGTACTTGACTACCATGGCACGCGTTTGTCTCTGAGTGGCCATCCTGGCCTCTTTCACACTTACCTCTCCTCTCCTGTGGCTTTGCAGGGCCCATTGTCTGTGGACTGCTGAGCTCCCCTGATGTCCTGCTTTGCCACGTCAGTGACTGGAGGGATGCTTCTGGTGCTGAGGCCAGTGCTGCGTGTCCCAGGGTGACATACAACCAGGAGAGCCTCCAGGTGACATTGCGTGTGGGAGGCCAGGAGCTCATGAAGGGTAAGTCTTTATTTTTTGTCCATATCTGTTCAATGTTATTTTTCCCACTGGCTAGGACCTCTGCTAACCTCTCAGGAGACTCCACTGCCTCCTGAGGAATTCATGCTCTGGAAGGAAAATGGTACCCACAGTGCTGCCCAGGATGCAGCTTCAGCAGCTCTGCCTTTCACGAAAGCATCCAGGCTGCAGGCAGGTCAGCCATGGAAAGGAACAGGGTGTCTGCTGGGTGCATCTGCATAGCTCACAGTCTCACTGGGGAATCTCAAGTCGCTGACAGCTACATGATCCAGGCTGAACATGGCCAGGAAGCCTGGCCTGCCTCCTGAAGGTTTCACTCACCTTGGGCTGAGAATATTTTCTGGCAGGCAGTAGAAGTGGAACAGAACAAGGCTCTCGTAAAGCTGAGGCTGGGACCTGACACGTCACCATGTCTACCTCATTCTCATACCTTAGGAGAATGATGTGGTCAAACCAGAAGCCAAAGGGTTGGGAATAAACTCTGGTCTTCTCTATAGAGGGAGGAACTGTAAGCTCACATGTGAAATATCTGAATACTAGCAAGGATGAAGGATGAGACCTAAATGTGTGGAATGCGCCCCAAACCTGCACCCCCTGGCATTTCTCCCAGGGAATGAGGAAACTCCAGGTGATTCTGCTGCTATGCACATTCTAATTGCAAGGCATAGCAGCTGCAGCCATCTTTTATGAGGCCAGTAAACAGAAAAAAAGAAACATGGAGCGTTCTCCTTCCTCTGCTTTATTTCCAAAGCATTTATAACTTATTTTACAGACCTATAAATCTTACGCTAGATCCTCCCCCTACTCACCCCTTAATTCATAGAGTGGAAACTGAGTGTCTGAACTTCAACAGCCCTAACTGCCCCTTCTAGCAGGCCCTGTCAGGAGAAGCGGCATCCCTCTCTGTCCTGAGCTGATTACTAACCAGGCTAGTGCAGCTCATGGGGTCATCCAGCAAGACGAACATCACAAGAAACTGGCTGGACACCCAGGACTCACGCAGGACACAAAGGACACCCTAGCATTAGGAATCTGTATTCTGACAAGCAGCTCCAGCGATGCTTACCTCTGTAACATAATGCCCAGAAGTTTCCTTCCAGCCAAGGGTTGGATCATTGTGAGAATGGGGTCCAGGGCTGGCTCCCATCTTCCAGTTCCAGGAGAGCTGAAGGGGACTTATTCCTCTCTCTTCTTCTCTGCTCTGTTTGATCCCTGGAATCTGAATTCAGCACTCAGGGCCAAGCTTCTTTTCTACCTTTGAAGTCAGTCAGGTGGCTGCAGTCAGATGGGTGCCTCTGAGGGAGCAGATTGGAGGATTTGACCTCTGGGGCTCCTGAGCCATTTGTCACTATAGGAAGTGCCAGGGACTGGCAGAGGAAGATGCTGAGACCCATTCTGCAGAGTCCTGCAGTTTTCAGGTCTCATGGCAGGAGAGTCTGTCCCCTTCTCCTGAGGACCCACAAGGTCATGGCTTCCTCTGCTGCAGAGCTTCTTCCCACAGGCCCCCTACACTGAGGCCATGTCCTTGGCTGTACATTTACCCATTTGGTATAAGTGTCCTATGGTGTCGGGTCCCACCTTTGAACACCAGTTATGTGATGTTGTACAAGTCAGGGTGTCTCTTCAGATTTGGTTCTTCCTTCAACAACTGGAGTGATGGTCGTAATGAGTTCACAGCACTGTGAGATGAACGCAGAGGATGACAACGACAGGGCTCACAGACATGTCTCATGGGGATTTTCTGCTGGCTCACTGTGAGTCAGACACTATGCCTATATGCACGCCAGAGAATGCTGCCACTGTCCCATTTTATGGCTGAAGAAACTGAGCTGCATGGGAGTTAGGAGACTCCTTGGGCTTCCTGAGCTCACACGTGGGAAGGGTGGGGTCTGAAACTTCTCCTGTTGGCTACAAAGATGGCAGCCTGGCCACTCCTTCCTTGGCACTTACCAATTCTTAGCACATGGGATGAACTTTGCACAGTACTTGACACACAGCACTGACATTAGCTTTAATATGTGTTATTCTTTGCTAAATTGTAGGAACTGCACAATGTCTTATTAACTTGTGCAGCCACACCACAGGGCATAAAACCTGGCATAGAAAACATACATGATACGTGGAGGAATTATTCTGAAGCTTGGAAAAAATGTTGAAGAATCTGGTGGCATTCCCCCAAGCCTAAGTAGTTCCTTTTGGAGTAAATACAATCCAATAGCTTATTTACATGATGTCTACTAAGCATATGGCATTCATTACTCTGCGAGGTAGCCCAGGGTAAAAGCAGGCATTTCAGGAAAGACATATGACAGAGTTGTGGGCAATGAATCACAGTGACTTGCTTAAGCTAGAGCGTGTGCTGTGTGTGTGCTTGAGGAATGAGAAATGTGCCCTTGCCCGGCTGTCCAAGACAGAGGGATGACTAACTGACATGTGAATGCTCTGGAGGTTGTAGGGCTATGTGTAGACATGCTTGTATTCTGGGCTGAGAGCAGGGTTAGGAAGAATGTCTTGCGATTTCACAACTGCATGCTGCTTTATACAAGTCAGAAAGCTATCTCTGTTTTTCTTGGTTGGAGTGATCTTGTTTTCCATAATAAGAAGTCAATATTTAAGTATAGACCAATGCAGGAGAAAAAAAAAGGAAGAGTGGCTTAAGTTTTTGCCAAAGTAAGAATGGCTGATAGATACCCTTTCTTAAGAGCTAGTATTGACTTAGTTTTCTTGAAGAAGTCCATAGCTCCTCAAGGGCTCTCCTATATCATGTCACAGGTTCTCAACCTCTTGCCACACAGTCCCTCCATTTGGTGCTTTGAACTGATCCACCTGGCATCTAACCAGCTCTTACTTTGTACCACAAGGGTTAGAATAAAGCTCTATGAGGGTTTGGGGGGACTTCATGTGGGAAGCATTTCTCAGGCTAAGGAGGCTTCAGGGGGAAAGGGGAAAGTGGGTGATTTGGTAATGGTGGGTGCTCTATGAGAGCCAGGTATACACAGTCACACTCTTCCTTTTTAGATCTGACTGACCTAGAAGAAATTCAAGATGCTGCTGCCAGTTTCCAACAAATTTATCTCTGGAAAGGTGAGCCATGGAAAGAGGTGGAGTTGGAGGGATGCTAGCTCTGAGAGTGGACTCAGCTGTCATTCACAGAGCATTCAGACATCACAGAGGCAGTGCACAGACCTGATTTCTAAGGAAGTTCTCTCAGAACTGCATTCTCCATCAGCTCCATTACACAGTCTAACAGGAGGATATTAGACAGGATGGACTTTAACAAGAATGGGGAAATCAAATGACATTAATTGCTACCAAACTGTCATTTAAATCATGAAGAAATTAGCCTTAAAGTACTAACTCAGGAATAATTCTGGACTGATACTAAGATTTGAAAGGTACTAGGTTGCTAGTACATTTATACTTATTAAAAACTTGCTACTAGTCTAACTACTGAATTAAATGTAAGAGAAAACAAATTAATCTAAAACTTATACCCAGAGACATTGTGATGGATATTAGCAAAGCAGTGAATTTTCAATAATGCCTACACTGTAATAAATAAAAATTAAAATGAATAGCAGTTAGCTAAATTATGCCTGAGATATTATACATTTTTGAATGGATCATGTAAGTTGTTTTCAACCTAAAAGTATTTCACTTTGTGAGTTATTTTTATGTAATATGATTTTTAAATGGGCTTTTGAAAATATTAATAAATTTATAAAGCAGAAAAAAGAAAGGATGGAAGCCTGGGAGATGGAGTTCATTAGTTACAGAGTGGGAGCTGGGAGGCAGCCACCATCTACAGAAGACATCTGTTAGGGTGACCTGAGGCTCAGGCCCAGTGGACAAGACCCTCATTGAGGGATGCTATAGAATTTTGCTAATATTTTTCAAATTCCAGCATTTTGCCCACTATTTGAGGGTCTTAGGATAACTTTCTTCATTTCTCTGAGTCTCTGATTCCTCCAAAGTAGCATGCAAGCCTCATTCCTCATGTCACAGGTCATAACCAATGTTTATAAGCATTTCATTTACTGCAGAGGGTTATTTGTTAATAACCATAGCATTATAGATGAACATAGATAGCGCTATCACAGAGTAGTTGGTTGATGTTTGGAACCAGATCATGGGGTACATGCTGGGCCCCTGCTGGTCCTACATCTTGTTCTGTGGACCATGAGGATTTCCCAAATTGCTTGTACCATCTTTCATCAAAAGAATACCCCTCCTTTTCTGTATCACCAGTATTTGTCTTTTATCCTCCTTAGATTCGGACATGGGGTCTAGGCCTGAGTCTTTGGGATGTAGAAGAGGCACGGTACCAAGAGAGGAATCTCCAACAGAAGCAGGTATCAACAGACTTCCAGGGAGGTGTAAACAGTGTGCTGCTGGAGGGTCACCTGAGGTAGTTGGGTGAGGGCAATGTGCATGTAGACCTGGTAGAGAGAAGAACTTAGACTTCATACTTCAGTTTTGAGGTAGTGAGGAACCCAAGAAGAGTCTTAGGCTGGAGACCATAGCGTGTGAAAATGTAAGAGAGACCAGGAGAATAGTTAAGCCATGATGTTCAGGTCTGGCACTGGGTAGAGCAGATATCTGTCTTCAAAGATGAAAGTGGCCAATGGCTTAGCAGTTGGACTTCTAGGTGGCTTCAACAGACAAAGGAACATCTGTGGTCCAAAGTTACAGTGGGGTGGACCTGACTCCACAGCTCCTTGATGATAAAAGGTTTCTATGGTCGTTATAGACGGGTAGATGGGACCACAAAGACCAGAAATCTCATGGAGAATACCCTGCCTGGGGATAAAAAGGCCATCAATGAGTTTCTAAAGTTTCTTTCAAACCAAAATTTTAGATTTGCAAATCTATACTTTTTAGGCACTTTGGAACCTTTTTAAGAACCCCTCCTGGTTTGGCTCACAGATTTATTGGTTCCAAACTGGCTCTGGTCTCCCTTCACCTGGAATGTTTCTGTCTCTGAATCACTGTTTCATATTCCCAACAGAGATGGAGATGAAAGAAGTTGACTCTTTTTTTCAGGTTTGGTGACAGATCTTTTCTCATCCGTGGACCTCACCCAGATCATCATCAGGACAAACATATCACTACGCAGCCAACAGCACTGGCTTTTCAAACATTCATTTTCAGCCCAGCAGGCAAGCCTGTGGTGCCTTTCTCGTAAGTGTTGTTAGATTTCATCCTTTTTTTCTCAGACATTGGATCATCATAGAGCTTTGTTTGACAGCTACTAAGATACAAGTAACACAAAACTCAGTGGCATAATTTAAGGTTTGCTATACTATTCGAAGACAGACTTCTAGGAGTTTTTAGTGTCATTTTATTCTCTACTTTTCTCCTAAAGCCTATCTTTTGTTTGTTCCTTCGTTCATTCCTTTGTTCGTTCGTTCCTTCCTTCCTTCCTTCCATCCATCCTTCCTTCCTTCCTGCTATTGTTGAATTTCTTTTCTAGGCCTTCTATATGGTTTTGAATCAGAATCAGTGGTGTTCCTTGCCCCCAAGTACTCACCATTACATTGACAAAGACTGGTATGGATGGTAGATAGGGGATCCGTCTTTACAGTTCAGGGACTATGGTGTTCAGACTCTCCCTGCAGCCCTGGACAGAGTCAGTGGAATATTATCCCTTGCCTCCTGTATTACTGAGTTTGAGGTTTTTGTCTCATCCTACATTGGCTCTGTCTTTTTCAGGACCATAGAGCCCCTTCCTCCCAAGGCCCAGTATTTTGGGCCTTCCAGACTGGAAAATTACTATTATCCTGGGACTCTACCCTAAGAAAGGTCCCTACCAGACATTTCACTCATTTCACACCCCAATACTCAATGGATAACTGTCAAGAATTAAAGACCCAACTTTTCTCTTGCCTCTAGGGTGTATCCAGGAGTCCACTTTCTGTCAGTTGGCAGAGATAACAGAGAGTGGTCCCTTGTACTTCACCTGCTCCCTCTACCCAGAGATCCAGATGTGTGATGATATCATGGAGTCCAGCACCAAGGGCTGCAGCCTGATCCTGCCCCAGCAGCCTAATGCCCTCTTCCGGAAGAAAGGTGATCTGTACAAGGCTTCTTTGTCTATTGACATCAATCATTGTATTGCTTTATTTTTATTTATTTTTGTGACTTATGGGGCTTGAACTCAGGGCATACATGCTGTCCCTGAGCTTTTTTGGTCAAAACTAATGATTTACCACTTTGAGTCACAATTCTAGTTCTGGTTTTCTAGTGATTGATTTGAGACAAGAATCTCACAGACTTTCCTGCCTGGGCTGGCTTTGAATCATGATCTTCAGATCTCAGCCTCCTGCATAGCTATGATTACAGGCATGAGCCACCAGTGTCTGGCCTGGGGATTTCATTTTAACGTGCTCATTTATGTATATACACTATGCTTCTTGATCATAATCACTTCTCTATGATTCTACTTCCTCTCTCTCCTCCTGAAACGAGCCTCATCAAGTTACCTTGTTCCATTTTCACACAAGTATGTAAAGTATTTCATCTATATGCACCTCCCCTTTTGTCAGCTCCCCTCATAATGGCTATACTCCAAACAAGACATGTCAATTGCTAATTTTACTTACTAATATTCACTTTTGTTAAAATGCATGTTACTTGTTCAAGAGGTTTCTTTCTGATGTCTCACACATGCATTCTTTGGTCAGATTAATTATACATGTGTGTATCTATATATACATATACATTTATATTACAAATGTGAATGATATATATATATTATATATACATAGCCACATATGTGTGGTGTATGCTTATGCTTCCATATATATTTATATTTTAGGTTAACATCTCCATACGAGGAAAACACCTGTCATTTGTCACTCACAGCATGAAACCATGCTTTCACTAAATATGACAGTGTCCAGTTGTATCAATTTCCTTGCAAATGATACCATTTCATTACTCTTTATGTCCAAATAATATTACATTTTGTAAATCCACCACATTTTCTTGGTCCACTCAACATATGTAGGACTGGGCTGTTTCTATAACTTGGCCATTATGAATAGTGCTGGAACAAACATGACTGTATAAGTGCCTATGATAAATCTAACTTACATTTTCTATATTTAGGGTTTTTATGCTTTGAAGAACTGGCATATTGATTCCCATAGTGTTTGCATAGTTTATAGGCCCCAAAACAGTATATTCATATTCTTTTCTCACCAAATACTTGCCATCATTTGCTGTTTGTATTCTCGAGGCTAGCCATTCTTCCTGGAGTGGGAAGACATCTCAATACCATTTCAGTGTGCTTTCCTTTATAGCCAGAGACTTTGAGGATTTCTTCACTTATTTTTTGGCAGTTTATACTTCTTTTGAAAATTGTCTGCTTGGTTCATTTGCCCATTTATCAATTGGATTCTTTGATCTTGGAGGGGTTAGTATTTTTAGCTACTTGTATGATGTTATGGTTATTAGTCCTTTAGCAAATGTATGGTTGGGGAAGATATTCTCCCATTCTGTAGACTCTCTTTTTAGCTTAGAAACGACTCCCTTTGTTGTACAAAAGCTTTTCAGTTCAACACAATCCCATTTGTCAATCCTCTCTGCTATTTCTTGAGCCCTGGGAATTATTTTCAGGAAGTTCTTTTATATGCCAATTAGTTCTACTGTTTTCCTTACTTGTACCTCTAACAATTTCTAGATTTCAGGTCTTATATTAAGATATTTAATACACTGTAAGTTGATATTAGTACTGGATGAGAGATAATGACCCAGTTTCAATGTACTACATTGTACTACAATGTACTACAGTTTTCTCAGCATCATTTGTAGAAGATAATACCTTTCTCCAATGTGTTTTTGGCTCCTCTGTAAAAAATCTCTTGTAGTGTTTGTGTTGTATATCTTGTAGTATGTGGTATGTATGTTTCTGGGTTTCCTTGTCTGTCCATTCTCTAATTTCTAATCCATTGACAGCTCCATGGTGTCACAAATACCACATGAACTCGAGTTTTTACAAAGACATGCTCTTTGTAGACATGTGATGCTGCTTGGAACCACATGGGATGACCCTGGAGGGCGCCCTACACTGAACCCCCCAGAGAGCCCCAGCTGAGGCACATGCCTACGAGGCTCCACGTGACTGTCACAGGGAGCCTTAAAATCAGCTCTGCACACCATCAGAATCCATGTTTCTCTTCAAGGAGACCAAGGAGACCGTATCTGGGGATTCAGTCTCATTTCCCCCATATGTTGGCTCCTTTCACTTCTATTCCATCTTTCTTGATGAAACACTTGAGGTCTAGTGCCCTTCAGATTTCTACGAAAGGGAAGACCACAGGAAAACCGAGAAGCTCTGTTTACTGGGAGCTTGCTGTCTGCATGCATTCTAGAGGGGTGGTTGGGCCACCTTCTAGAGTGTTCTGTTTGTGGTGTATTTCTAGGTCCTTGCTCCCGAGGAATTTACAGTTCCTAATGAGGCACGTTTACCTGGCTGCTTGTGGGACCTGCAAGGTGATAAGGTCTCGGGATCACCAGGGAGCTTGACATGAAGGACCTTCTCTAACTGAGCAATTGTTTCCACTGCCCTGGAGTACTCAGGAGACCCTTTCTTCTGTCCTCTCCTATCTTCTCTGTCAAGAAGACATTTGTCAGTGATAGAAAGCACAGCTGAGACCTAATTCTGCTGAAAGAGATTCTCAGGCCATCCCTGTGTTTTAGGTCACCTTCCCCCTCCTTCCCCAGTACCACCCACACTTGATCTCTGGGAGTACAGACAGAGGCATATAAACTTTAGTTTTTGTTCTTTCCACTGAAAAGTGGAGTCTGTGCTTACATCTATGGAACCACGTTTTTCTCTTTAGTATGCTTTCCAGCTCCTGAAATTGTGTCACTCAGTTCCTTCTCCCATGTACTCTCTTTATCCTCCTGGGTTCCTGCTTTTACAAAATTCCCTTGATTGCTATTTTAGTGAGATGTGGGGTGGGAGATGAGAGTAAATATGTGAATTTAATGTGCCATCTGTCATGGGAACTGTTGGTTTGGTTTGTACTACACGTCTTCTTATTTTCACAGGAATTATAAATTTCTCTCTAAATAAACACTATCATTTCTTTCTTCTTCTGTGTAGTTATACTGAAGGAGAGAGTGAAGAGCTTTTACACTCGTCTGCCATTCCAAAGGCTGAGGGATATTGCTGTTAGAAACAAAGTACCCATGTTTGAGAAACCCATTTCCAATGGGTAAGTGACCTGTGCCATAAAAAATTGATACAGGATATTTTGTCTTGAAATTTTTGCTGGCCTTGACTGTGTTGACGGTCAAGATGGATATGAAAGACCTGGAATCAGCCTGACTCTGATACTCAGGTTGGGGTGAAGGGGAGCTTGTATAGTCTGATTCAGGGAGGAACGGTTAGCTGGGGGAAATCATGGTCAGAGCTGGGGCTTAGAAGTATTTATTATTAAGACTCATTGGCCACCACAGAAAAAGTGGTTCTAGAGTAGGTGATGGGAAAAGCCCAGCTACAACTTGAAGCAAATGAGTCTACAAAGTAATAAGGAGGTAATTATACTTAAAAATCATTGGCTAAGGGCTAGGTGCTGGTGGCTTATACCTATAATCCTAGATACCCAGTAGAATGAGATCAGAGGATCATGGTTCAAAGCCAGCTTAGATAGAAAAATTCAAGAGACTACATTTCTAAAGTAATCAAGAAAAGCCTCCCTAGGGGTTTGCCTCAAATGCTAGAGCACCAGCTGTGTAAGTGAGGTGAGCAAGTACAAGGACCTAGGTTCAAGTCCTGGTACCCCCTTAAAAAGTGGGGGATAAGGCTGGAGGCATGGCTCAAGCAATAGAGATCAAGCACAAACCCTAAGTTTAAACCCCAGTACTACCAAATAAATAAAAACCCCAATGAAGACAAGTTACTGATAATAACCATTAAATTTAGCTCTGAATCTCCATTTAGCTGAAAAAAGAATAGAAACATTAAGCTGTCAAGAATTCAACCCCACCCAAAGCTAATAAACCAATCCCTAAAGGAGCAAAGGAGCTAAGGAGAGAGGTAAGAATGGCAAAAAAAATACACGAGGAAATGCTCATCATCCCTAGCCATATAGGAAATGCAGTTAGATTGGCCAACATCATGAATTTCAACATCAATAAATGTTGGCAGGAATATGGGGGAAAAGGAACCTTCCTGCACTGTTGATAGGAATGTAAACTAATACAACTATTCTGGACAGCAGCTTGGAGGTTCCTCAAAATGCTAAACATAGATCTTCACTATGACTCAGTCATAACACTCCTGAGCATCTACCCAGAACATCACAAGCCAGAATACCATAAAGACATTTGCACATCCATGTTCATTGCTGCAAAAGTCACCATAGCCAAGTTGTGGAAACAGCAAAGATGCCCTACAGTAGATGAGTGGATCACCAAAATGTGGTGTCCATACACCACATAATTTTACACAGCTATTAGAAATAATATAATGTCATTTGCAGGGAAATGAATGGACCTAGAACAAATCATGTTAAGTGAAGTAAGCCAAGCTCAGAGAGACAAACAGTACAAGTTTTCTCTCATATGCAGAAGCTAGACATTCAAACACAGTAAGACCAAAGGAGGATACTCTTAGGAGAGGAACACAACGGTACAATGCCTGTGTGCATTTGACCATATAAAATAATATTTATTGAAATGAACAAAAAATACTGAGTTGTATTTTGTCAGCTAGTAAAAACTACCAATCACGATAATAGACTCGATCTTCAAAGCCTGATGATGCTGTATGCAAAATCTGGAGAGCAAGTCATGTTCAACCTAATCTTAAGCTTCTAAGGATGTTTTTTATTTGATTGGTTATTTAAAAAATTTGTTCACTGATTTATTTGCTTTGTTCTTATTTATTTGCTTTTTAATATTAATAATTAATATTATTGTACTGTATAGAGTGATTACAGTTACATGAGCAAGGTACTGAGTACATTTCCTATTGAGCATTGTTGCCTCCTTTGTTTTTCCTCTACCATCCCTTCCCTCCCACCTCCACACTACCCCCCACCCCCACCAAAGTTGTAAAGTTCACTTTCAACATAGTGTCTTGTACATATCATTGTTACAATGGGTCAACCTGTATCCCTATTTAAGCATTTTGTTTTTTCCCTTCCCCTCCCCGAATTAGAGAAGTGTATATACAAGATGCAGGGCATCAACATCAAATAGAGTGAAAACAGGGGTTATACCATGGGGGAGGAAAATACAAAGAAACAAAAAAAATTACATGGTACATTATAAATATGTTAGAAACAATAGCAAGAAAGAAAAACAATATTTGTGGCCCTATCTTGGGGTTCATTTTGCTTAACATCATCTTATATAGTCATATGTGTATAGCTTTTGACCTTTTCTACTTGTCCTACACATGTACTTGTTATTGCAAATAAGGGAAACCATGGGACCTATGTTTCTTTGGGCCTGGCTTACTTCACTTAATATAATTTTTTCCAAGACTTTCCATTTCCTAACAAATGGGTGATATCATTCTTTCTGATGGAGGCATCAAATTCCATTTTATATATATATATATATATATATATATATATATATACACACTTATATACATATATACACACACACACATATATATATACATATATATGTATATACCACATTTTCTTGATCCAGCCATCTATTGAGGGGTTGATTCCATATCTTAGCTATGGTAAATAATGCTGCAATAAACATAGTTGTGCTGGTAGCCTTAGTATGGCCTTGTTCGTGATCGTTTGGGTAAATGCCCAAAAGTGGGATTGCTGGGTCATAGGGGAGCTCTATGTGGAGTCTTTTGAGAAACCTCCATACTGCTTTCCAAAGTGGTTGAATAAGTTTACACTCCTACCAATAATGCAGTAGGGTTCCCTTCTGGCCACATCCCCTCCAGCATCTGTTGTTACTAGAGTTCTTGATTTTTGCCATTCTAACTGGGGTGAGGTGGAATCTCAATGTTGTTTTGATTTGCATTTCTTTTATGGCTAGAGAAGTTGAGCATTTCTTCATGTGTCTATTATTGGCCATCCTTCTTTCCTCTTCAGAGTTTAAGTCTTTAGCCCACTTATTTATGGGGCAGTTGTTTCTTTGAGGATTTGTTGTTGGGGGATTTAATTTTTTGAGTTCCAAGTATATTTTAGATATGAGATCCTTGTCTGTTGTATGGCTAGTGAAGATTTAACTGAAGGTGGGTTTCTCTAAGCACAGCCTTGAACATCACCCATCAGAATCCCAGTAGGGCTATTCACTAACTTCATTCATGGTTCTACCCTGCACCTACTGAATCAGTGTTCTGGGATGGGACTGAAGATTTTGTATTTTAAAGAATTTTAAAGAATCTCCTCAATGATGCCTCTGTGTGCTGCGGGTCATTGATCCATAAACTGTTCATCCTGGAGGTGATTTGAGTTCTGAAAGTGCCTCATGCTGCTGGCATTATAGTTTACTTTTGGAAATAGAGGCAAAAAGATGATGCAGGCTGCCTGTTTTGAGATCCAGCTGGACACCACCGTACTGATATAGGGAGTAGTGCAGACAGGGAACAGCCTCATCTCAACGCAGGGGACATGGCTTATACAACCCAACTCAGGGAGGCGTGGTCAGCCGGAAAAGCCCATGGTCCCATCTGGAGCCTAGCAATGGGCTTCCCAGGGAGGAAAGGAAGTGGCACTTGGACTGATGGGCAGAGGTCTTGGAAAGAGAGAGTCAGGCAAGGCTTATTCGACTCAGGGCAGAGAGGGAACCAGCACTATAGAATTTCCTAGCACATGACAACTTCAGTCTCTGGGACGTGACGTGCTGAGGGAAAAAGAATAGCAGGAAGAAGATGAGGTCCTCACACTGAAAGACAGAGAGCTCAAGGAAGCTCTTGGGATTTGGGTATGAGTGATCAGGACAAATGGGCAGGGTCAGAGGAGTTAGAACCAAGTGCTGACAGCTCGGTTTGGAGCTATTAAGTCTTCCTACCGTGATTGGTAATAGTAGCTGAGAGTGATGCCAGTATCCACACTGAGAGATGGACCAGATGGGGATGGACTGTCTTCCTGGAGTGTGATCTGTCCAAGGAAAGCAAAACTCAGCGATCCTTAATCAGACCCAGGTTGAATTGCCCTGACTGTATGCCCTTGGAACCCCCCCCCCCCCGCTTTCTAGAAGAGCCTCTCTGCCATTTCTTCTTTTTCCAGAGATGAAAACCAAAGTTTCTTCCTTGTCTGTAAGACTTGTAGGAAGTCATTCAGGGTCCAGATTAGCTCAATTTGGAGCTTGGCAGGTAATATGTGTAGATTATATTCTTGATCAGTGAATGAGTAGATGAATGAAGGATGGCAAGACAGCATTCCTGAGAAAAGAGTAGAATTTTGTTTTCAAAAAGCCTCAAAGCATTTTGTCATTTCTCTTCCCCTCTCCAAATTAGAAAAATGTATATACAAGATACAAGATACAGGGCACCGACATCCAAAACAGTGAAAACAGTTGACCCATTGTAACAATGAGATATACAAGACACTATGTTGAAAAAGAACTTTACAACCTGGTGGGGGGTAGGGGAAGAGTTGGGGAGAGAAAGGATGGTAGGGAAAAAACAAAGGAGGAGGCAACAATGCTCGATAGGAAATGTACTCATTACCTTGCTCATGTAACTGTAACCCCTCTGTACAGTATTTTTACAATAAAAAACGTTTTTTTAAAAATCTCAACGCTAGGCTACTGATGTACCAGGTAGTTTGGATTGTTATAAAGAAAACTCTTCTCCCAAACTGAGAATGAGAAAAATTCAGAGCCGCCTGGCCCCCAGAAGACCCTGGGCCCCCAAGAAGCCCTCATGCCCTCTCTTTCTCTTTTCATCCCAGGTTCTTCGAATGTGAACGGCTGTGTGATGCAGACCCATGCTGCGTCGGCTTTGGCTTCCTCAACGTTTCCCAGTCAAAAGGTAATAATGGTGGAATATCTCTTTCCCTAGACTCAGCACTTGTAGTCTAGAAAACACATTCCCACCTGTGAGCTGTCTCATCCTCAGCCTCCCCTCAAGGAGGAAAGAGAGGGTTAATGCTTCTTCACAAGAAGGAGGTGAGGGCTAAGCAAGGCCTACAGCTCACTCACAGAGAGCTGGAGGATAACTCCTGGTCCATGATCCACCATAGCCCTCAATCCTCCCGTGCCTCCCTTAGCTCTCTGCTGCTCATCTTTCATACTCTGGCCAAGAGGCATGCACTTTGAATGCATCTACATGATGAATTTTTAGCATTTGGCTCAGTGACTTACTCTGAAGAGGTTACTTACAACCTCTCTGAACATTAGTTTCTTGAACATGAGTAGGAACACACATCTTGCCTTTGTCACTGGGACCAAGGAAAGTGAGGCAAATAGAGCCCAAGAAGGCTCTGCTTCAATGTGTTTCAAGTGTTCAGTTGGTATCAGCTGCCTCCATCCCTGACCATTTAGTTCCTTAAATGCAGGAGCCAGGTCTGCCTCAGGGGCTAAGATCTTACCTGGAAGGCAGTGGTGAACCCCGATGTCTGCTAATCAGTTTGTAGAATTCCCTTTGCCTCCGAGTCTCACCTTCTTGGCTCTTGGCTGTGTCTTTCTATAGGAGGAGAGGTGACGTGCCTAACGCTGAACAGCATGGGGATCCAGACATGCAGTGAAGAAAATGGAGCGGCCTGGCGAATTTTGGACTGTGGTTCCCAGGACATTGAGGTCCGCACCTATCCATTCGGATGGTACCAGAAGCCTGGTAAGCAACCTGTTCCTAACAGCTGCCCAGGCCTCTTAATTAGTGGTCTGTGTTTCAATCCTGCATTAGGACAACATCCTTGACTTTGGAAGTAGATTTTTCAGCATTCATTGGATGCTAGCCAGAGACACTGATTTTTATTTCACAGAAGCAAAAAAGAAATGCATAGGTTATCTGCTCATTAACTCAAAGGAAAGATGACCAACTTTCCTGGTTAAAGATACAACTGGACATCCTCCAGGGGGTTACTTAGCATGAAACATGGCCATTTTCTTCAATGTGACAAATATTACTGGCATGCTCCATATGAGCTAATTGTAGTGCTCAAGCCTTAAATTCAAGGGAGAAGATGTGGCCCAATGTGGGTTATGAGACCACCCACTACTATAGAGAAGAGGGTAGGGGAAACTTGAGTTACAGTCCCAACATATCTAGATGTGTGGGGAGGACATGTTCCCTGAAGAATGGTTAAGTTCTTGTTGCTGGGGAAGAAAAGTCAGTGTATGCCCACTCAGCCAGGTTCTCTGGGTCATTTCACCACCTTCATTGATCACAATATTGTAGCACGTGGTGATCTCAGGGAAGAAGACAGTTGCCCTAGGTGGACTGATGATATACATCTAGTTAGGATCTCCGCACCAAGGCAGTGTTGGTTCAGGTGTCTCTTGTAGACAGGTGTCCTTAAGGTACATAAACATGTATTCTGGCACCTTCTCAGAGCTGCATCTGAATCAGTGAGGGAGGAAACAAAGGAATGCCCCTTGTACTATGATAAGGTACAATTAGAGTCACACAAAGAAACGGTTGTATCTCCTCAACTTTGCTGTCTATATAGACTTGTCGGAATCCTGAGACCTCTTCTCAAGTGCTTTATTAGTGAGAGTCTCTGAAGCCTCATTACCTCTTGCCTTCCATTTGTTTATGGTGTGTGTAGACTTGGGTAACCAAGTATGACCACATGCAAACTAGGTAAGACTAGACATCTGCCTGTAGTCCAGGAGCAATGTCACAAAGGGACAGACCCCGAGAGTTGAAATCCTCATCTCAGGAGGAGTCAGAGGCACAGGCTGAGCTTAGGATAGTAAAAATTGCCTTAGGGTACATTTGCCTTATAGCAATTCTGCTTTTTCTGGATTTCTTTGTGTTATACTTTTTGACATTACCAATTGGGCCTGGCAAGCTCAGGTCTGATTGGCTTACTGCATCTGGGTCACTGTTGTTTAGATGTCTGTTTTCCCCAAACATCCTTTCAAACACAGCTTGGCTTTTGCCAGATGCCCTTTCAAGGTTAGGTACCCTTCTTTGGCAAAAACTTTTGTGATCAAAGGAGTCATTTTACCAAAGGTTTTCTTCCTGGGATAAGTGGCTCTTTCTTTTGGGGGGGGCGGTCGTGGGGCCTGAACTCTGAGCCTGGGTGCTGTCCCTCAGCTCTTCAGCTCAAGGCTAGCACTCTACCACTTGAGCCACAGCGCCACTTCCGGCTTTTTTCTTTTTGCTTATGTGGTGCTGAGGAATCGAACCCAGGGCCTCACGCATGCAAGGCAAGCGCTCTACCACTGAGCCACTTTCCCAGCCCCAATAAGTGGCTCTTTTTAATAATTAAATGTATGTTTCAGCCAGGCATTGGTGGCTCATGCCTGTAATCCTAGCTATTCGAGTGGCTGAGATCTGAAGATCGTGGTTCAAAGCCAGCCCGGGTACCAAAGTCTGTGAGACTCTTACCTCCAATGAACTACCAGAAAACCAGAAGTGGTGCTGTGGCTCAAGTGATAGAGCACTATATTTGAGCTGAAGAGTTGAGGGATAGCACCCAGGCTCAGAATTCAAAAAAAAGAAAAAAAGGAAAAAAATGTATGCTTCAGCTTAGGAAAAGCAGTGTGAAGCTTTAAAAAGTAGTGACTGGCTGGCGCCAGTGGCTCACGCCTGTAATCCTAGCTACTCAGAAGGCTGAGATCTGAGGATCATGGTTCAAAGCCAGCCCTGGCAGGAATGTCTGTGAGACTCTTATCTCTAATAAACCACTAGAAAACCAGACGTGGTGTTGTGGCTCAAGTGGTAGAGTACTCGCCTTGAGCTGAAGAGTGTAGAGCAGTGCCCAGGCCCAGAGTTCAAGCCCCACAAACGACCAAAAAAAAAAAAGTAGTGTCTGTGTAATTTTAATCAAGGCATTTACTAATACAATGAATACCTCCGGATTCCTGGTCCCTGTTTCCCATGCCTCATTTTCCCCTGTTCGATCCTACCTTGCTGTCTCCCTTTCAGGATGTCTCCTGCCAGGTCTTCAGGCAAGTGCATGTTAAAAATGTCCAGCAACTTTGTCTGACTGGTTTCTTCCCAACTCAACTGAAGAAAATGATGACTAACTGGCAAATCAATTCCTTTGTGGTTTGGCCTCTATCTAGAGCCACATTGGAGCTACAAGTCCAGCTTGGGCTCTAGGCCAAGTTCTGGTCGTTGACCTTGCTCGGGAGCCTGACTTCATGTTCCTCGACTTCATGGCAAGATTTTTGTCTTGGATTTATCATTTCTAGGCCAGAGGGATCATCTTGCTCTTGTCTGCCTCAGCATCTTGTGATTTGATCTAAAGTCACTTTGTTGGCCTTGACTTTAACATCTTGGGTTATTTTAGGAAAGCCACTGGAGTTATGTAATGAAATGGTCTCTGTGGGTTTCTATTTAGGAAGGATGTTTTGTATATAGTGGTCCTGCCTTTACCTCACAGGCCAGAGAGAAGAGAGGGTGGCCTACAGCTTCAGTCCTGAGGGATGCTGAAGGCCAGCTGTGGGTGTCCAGGCAGCTTCAAAGCTGTACTTAAACCCAATGCATCTTCTGCCTGCCTTCTGACCTCCTCACCCCTTCAGAGTCTGGAAAATGTCAGGTTCCATCTTCAGATAACTTTAGAGGAGAGTTAGATAGAAAGAAGCTTACGCAGTAACTCATGGAAATGGAATGGAAATCAGACCAGAGTGTTGCAACATCTTGACAGGGGTTGGCAAGGAGAAGAACTCAAGGTGTTCCTTGTCCAGCTGCTCTGCTTCCTTTCATCTGCCTGCCCAAACCATTCTCATTTTCCAGCACCTACTCCATGGGGTCAAGCTGGGGACTCAGAAGCCTTGGCCAGAAGAAACCACAGGGCAGAGAATGAAAATTCAGATGGGCTTTTGTTCAGCCAACTGCCTGAGTGTTAGCTGGGTAACAACCAACTGCCTGAGTGTTAACCTCTGTACGTGGGGCTCTTACTACATGGCTGGATACCAAGAACCTTGCCCTCATAGCCTTGGCAGATGAAAACACAGGCCAGGGAAGTAGAGTCCCTTGCTAACAGTCACACAGCTGATTAAGGACTGAGTTTGGTTTCAGACCCAGTTCACTGTGACTCTAAAGTGCCATGGCATATGACTGAGTATGGATGAGACATAGACATTCCCTAGGTACTCACAGTCTAAAGAGGAGTCTCTCATCTTCCACCCAGGTCCCTGGATAGAAACTACCATGAGGGGATGGGAAGGTGGCTCAGTGGTAGAGCATTTGCCTGGCATGCATGAGGCCCTGGGTTCGATTCCTCAGCACCACATAAGCAAAAAGAAAAAAGCCGGAAATGGTGCTGTGGCTCAAGTGGCTAGCCTTGAGCTGAAGAACTGAGGGACAATGCCCAGGCCCTGAGTTCAGGCCCCACAACCGGACCCAAAAAGGAAAAAAAGAAACTACCATGACATGCACAAAGCTCATAGTTACTCCAGTGTGAGTAATTCTATGCTCCATGCCAGCACAGAGGTCACCACATAGCGTCTCTCTATCTGAGCAGGACAAGTGCTTCTCTCGTAACTGGTCTTCTTCAGCAACGAGGTAGGGAAGTCTTAAGACTCTGTGGTTCATACCCTCCTATGGGATAGCCAAGCAAAGGAACTCACTTAAAGAGATCAAATGAATAAATTAGACTCCTCTCCTAGCAGGTCATGTTGACCAGCACAAAATCATCTTTTGTAGCAGGGTCCAGCACATTTAAAGCATCTTGGAATCTCTTTTCTCTAGCAGACAAAGCTCTACCAGTAGATGTTTAAAAAGCCCGGCACATCAACTGACTCAGGAGAGACTGTACACCAGCAATGGCAACCTAATCCTTCACAGCCTAGCTGTGTTCACAGAACAGAGGATACAGTGGAGTCTCCCACTGTCCAGGAGGCAAAGGCACAAACCCAGAGGCTGCTCATGGATTCCTGAGTGTGGCATTGCATGAAAGCAATATTATAAATGAGTAATGGGCGGCATTTATTTAATGCTAACTGTAGGCTAAACATTGTAATACAAACTCCTATAAGCCTCACAAGAATAAGGTAGTACTATAAAGCACTATTTAAAGACAAAGAAAAAGAAACTGAGGACAGAGGGATAATGGCTCAAGATCACACAGAAGGAAAGTGAGCTGCTAGTCTCAGAGTCCTGGCAGATGCTTATTGACCTTGTCTTGCTGTAGCTCCAAGGTAGCATGTGCTGGGTTCTATCATGGGGTATTAGAGGAGAAAAGAAGGACAGGGCTTTGCAGATTTGGATGTGCTTACTAAAGGAAGAACTCCTTCAGGGAGGGAGATAAGCCGTATCTGGGAGTCACCTACTGGGTGGAAGTGGCTTCTCATTTAACACTTTTAAAAAAAATTGTTATTATAAAGATGATGTACAGAGTGGTTACAGGTAAAGAGTACATTTGGGAGGGGGGATGATGCCATTCCTTCCCTCCTTCTCTCCCAGTTTTCCTTCCTATCCCCACCCAAAAGTTGTATAGTTCGTTTTCCACATAGTGTCTAGTGAGTACCACTTTGTCCCTCCAATTCTGTGCTTCCCCACCCTTCTAAAGATAGATAAACAAACAAGACAAAAAGAAAAGAAAAACAGCAACGAAGGGAAAAAACCTCTTGCTTCCATTTCCTGGAGTTCATTTTGATATATATTATTTTATAGGATCAGATGCGCACAGGCATTGTGCCTTTATGTTTCTCTCCTAGGAATACCTTCCTTTGGTCTCATTGTGTGTGACTGCCTTGAGTCCTGTAGAAATTATCATGTCCCAATGCTCATTTAATTCTTGTATCATCTTCATCTTATGAATGCCAAGACTGGGGTAGAAGTTAGACAACTGTCACTTTACATCGCTTCTCTATGTTATATTGAGTTCAAATCCAAGCCTATATTTCTTCAAAGTCCAGGTTATCTCCTAGCCATTGTTGAGCTCTTATGCTGGACCTAGCACCAAATGTCAGACATAACATCACTGATCACTGTGTATAATCTTAGTATAATCCTGGAGGTGGACAAAACTACAGTATGGATGTGGAAACTGAGGCCTAGGTAAGGCCAGGTTCACAGAATCTGGAGATGATGGTGACAGATGTTTGCCATGTGATTCCAGCAGTCCATGGGAGGCATGTACTTCAGGCTCTCTCGGCCCTGTGTGACAATGGTTAAAGCTCCAGGGGAGATGGAACCTTCTTCGCTAAGTCCCAAGGGAGGAGGACATAGAGCGGAGCCCCAGCCCTTCTGCATTAGGGTACATCGTGATCAAGAGGCAGCCATGCTGTTTAAGTGGCTGGAGGCTGTTTGTTACTTCAGCGTCGTCCGGTCCATCCTGCCTGGCAGGTGCTGCAGCCTACCTGCTGCAGAGCCTGGCTTCCCCATTGCCATCCTCTGCCTCAGATCCCATTTCTGGTTCTGAGGGAGCCTCAGGGCTAAAAGGCTGCTCTTCTTTGTTTCAGTTTCCTCGAGTGATGCTCCCAGCTTCTGCCCTGTGGTTGCCCTGCCTTCCCTCACCAAGAAGGGTAAGTTGGCTCTCTGATCGTTCTCACAAGAAAGAGCAACTACTTTCTCCTCTTCACCTCTACTTCCTCCTTCCAAGCTGTGCTTTTGTTCAGTGTCACGTTCGTGGATCCCAGCTCTGTGCTCAGTTAGACCTAGGAGGGGAAGTGCCAGCTGTGTGCACCCGCTCTCCTGATAAAGGCACCAACCCACAGAATTGGTGCGATGCCCTCAGAGTACAGAGCTTCCAACCAGAGTGGCATCTGAGCCCCTTCCCCGTATACATCCATTTTATGGATGCTTCTCCATCCCTGGTCCTGGTGAGACCCACACAGCTCCATGTGATATGAGTGAAAGAGGACAGATGTTTTGGTGCAAAACAGCTGGCCCAGTTCCTGGGCCCCCTGAGGGGGACAATGAAGGATGGAGCTCCAGCCCTGTGCCAGGAACCCAGCCTAGGCTGGGCTTGCAGTATGTAAGTGCTCTAAGCAGCTCTAAGTGCTCTGAGGGAAGGCCTGGGCTGGCATGGAGTGAGGTTCAGGGCTGCAGGCCAGCATAGGCCTCCTGCACCAGCCCCTCTTCTCCTTCCCTCCGTCCGGAAACACACTTGGCCTGGAATCTAGGTCTCGCTAAGAGGACTTGAGATGTTAATTCCTGGTCTGTGATATGATATCAGAGGGGCCCTAGACACTTGTACCTGTGGCCCTCGCTGAACATAGCTCACAGAATAGCTGAACACAGCTCACCAAGGCTGTGGCTGAAAATGTAAAAATATCCTTAGGTCATTCTATTTATCAGCCTCATGAAATCAAATAGTTAAATTTGGAGATCTTATAGCTCATTTGTGTATATTTCCTTCCTGGGCATTCTGTATCAAATGTCTGCCACACTGTGAGGTAAGTGACATTATTTGTGCGTGGTGATGGCACAGGTGGAGCTCACAGGCAGGTCACAATACCCAGGGATCAACAGGAAACACGGGCCCGAATCAAAACAATAGAGACATCCCAAACATTTATGGTTTATATAAAACTATTTCCCTATCTTACTTCTTCCCACCACTTCCATCATCGTCCATTACCTTTTCTCATTGTGGATTCCATGTTTTTTTGTGCAAAATACTGTACAGAGGGGTTACAATTACATGGGCAAGATAATGAGTACATTTCTTATCAAGCATTGTTGCCTCCTCCTTTGTTTCCCCTTCCCATCCCTTCCCATCTCCCCCCTCTCGCCCCCTACCCCACCAAAGTTGTAAAGTTCATTTTTCAACATAACGACTTGTACCTCTCTTTGTTGCAATGGGTCTACCTGCATCCCTATTTAAATGATTTGTTTTTTTCCCTTCCCCTCCACAAATTATACCAACATCAAATACAGTGAAAACGGGTTATACTGTGGGGGAGGGACATTCAAAGCAACAAAGAAATCATCTTATAAATGTGTTAGAAACAATCGCATGAAAGAAAAAAACATTTGAATACTTATCTTGGGGTTCATTCCCCTAACATCAACTTATCTGATCTTTTCTGCTTGACTCAGACATATACTAGTTATTGAAAATAAGGGAAACCATGGGACCTATGTTTCTTTGGGCCTGGCTTACTTTTTTCCAAGTCTTTCCATTTCCTAACAAATGGGGCAATGTCATTCTTTCTGATGGAGGCATAGAATTCCATTGTGTATATATACCACATTTTATTTGAATCTTCCAGTTCTTTGATTTGTCAAGTTTAGAACTGGTTTATTTCCTTCCAAATGTGGACTGTTCCACAGGTTCTGACACAGTGATGTTTCCTCTCTATGCCACAGTTGATACTTTTCATTGTAACAGTGACCATCCTACAGATTTGGAAGCTGAGTCTCATCAGGTGGGGGGTGGGATAGGGGGATGGGAGAGGAATGAAAGCCATATGACTAGCTCTAATGATAGAGCTGCAACTCAAACTCAGTTTGAATCCAGGCTCACAGTCTTCCCATTGGTGCCGTGACTATCCACAGGAATCTGCACCGGAAGGGAGTTTGATATGTAGACTGATTTTCTAGTAATTTCTTCCAGCTGGAAATGAGGGGGAAAGGGAGGAGGCTGAGACTTGGGCTGAGGGGGCTGTGGGGCTGTGACACCATCTCAGAGGAGGCTTGGGTAACCCTGGAGGGGGCTGGCCTATGGGCCCAGCCAGATGTGATCTTACCTGCCTTCAGTAGCTATAAAAGCTCTCTAACATTAGTCCTAATTTTTTCATCTTGGGGCCTAAAGGCCAGCGTGAGCACACACTGACTCTAAAAATGTAGCATTTTAAATCTCCTTTCCAGATATGCAGAGCTGGTGTGACTACGTGCACACAAGCACTCCACACCCACTATGTGGCTTTTTTATGAGATCACAGTCTGGGGATTGGTGCCATGTTGCAGGCCAGCAAAGCAGGGCCGACTGGCACAGCACACTTCCTGTCATGGCTGGCAGTGCTAAGAGCAGTGCCAAGGTCACAGCTGCAGGGCTCCGAGCAGCTACTGCCACAGGGCAGCCTGAAGCCAAGGCCTGTGTCAGCCACATACTGGAATTGCTGTGATGGGCAGGGCTGGCACCATCACCCAGCTGGACTCCTGGACTCCTGCTCTGCCTCCCAGAGACCAAAGAGCAGAGCTGGGTCTAAGAAAGATGGGAAGAGCTGGGTGCCATTGGCTCACATCTGTAATCCTAGCTACTCAGGAGGCTGATATCTGAGGATCACAGTGCAAAGCCAGTAAGTAAAGCCTGTGAGACTCTTATTGCCAATTAACCACTGGAAAACTGTGGCTCAAGTGGTAGAGCACTAGCCTTGAGCTGAAGAGTTCAAGGACAGGACCCAGGCCTAGCGTTCAAGCCCCATGACCAGCCAAAACAAAACAAATCAAAAAGATGGGAAGGATGAGAGAGCTGGTCCTGGCCTGGAGGAATCTCTTCCCATCACAGGTGCAGAGGCAGCTAGGAAGAAGATAAAGCAGGGACAGTTATGGCTTTCTCTGCTTCTGCTACCTTTCTGCTTTTTTCACTCACTTATTTATCCAACAAACATTACTGTAACCAGCTGAGTACAAGGCATCAGGTTGCTGGGACTATGCCAGCAGATAGAGGTGAGGCGATTCCTCCTTTGCTATGAGCCCTGGTTGTCCCTTCAAAATGACCTCTAGTCACTGCTCCACCGCAGTCCTCAGCATTTGCTGCTCCTTGCTCTGCTTCAGTGCCTTTAGACATTGTTTCTTTACCTGTCCAGTGTGTCTCTCCAGAAGGGGCCTTTAGGGAACAAATAAAGCTCCTGCTGGAGCTGATGTTCAGGAACTACTGAATGTTGGTTGATTGTGCTCTCCTGCTTGTTAGATTCTGCGCTCTGTGCATGCTGTTTTGTAATCTGTGGGTGGATTCTTCACACCTAGCAAAATGTACAGTACATGGTAATAATACTTCATTGATAGATAGTTGTTTTTAAGTATGTAGATACAGAATTCCACATGGATCTAGGCTAGTGTACAAAGCTAACAATAATTCAATTAATGTTTGTTAAAAAAGAAATAAAGGAATGAACAGAAGAATGAATGGTGGTGGTTATGGAGTTCTGTAACATAAATGCAATAAACCAAGCATGGCACATGCCTGTAATTCTAGCACTGGGGAAGCTGAAGCAGGAGGAAGTTGTGTTCAAGGCTAGCCTAGGCTATATAGAAGCCATTCTCTAAAAAATCACAAAAATAAAGGAAAGAAGGGCAGATAGCAGTAGACTGGGGAGAGAGAGAGACAGAGAGAGAGAGAGAGAGAGGGAGGGAGGGAGGGAGGGAGGGAGAGGGAGAGGGAGAAGGAGAGAGAGAGAAGGGAAGAAGAAGAAGAGGAAAATTAGGGGGAGGAAGAGGAAGAGGAGAAAGAGGACCACACATGATATCAGGTTAGGCAGGTTGGCTGTGAATTGTCTCTTTGTTGCTCCTTGGTCAAGTTCAAAGCTCTTTCTGGGCCACTATTGCCTCCTGTGTAGAGTTGATGCGTACCTCAGGGGACTTTTGTTATGAAGCATGGAAGAAGTATGGCATATATGATCACTATTTCCAGCCCTCACAAAGGTGGCAGTGGTGGATTATGTGTGCTGGCATTTCTATGGGGTCCCTTTCACAGGAACTTTGTGGATACTGGCTGCAGTTGAACAGCATGCATTTTGCACAGCTGAACATAATGGAGCCTGGATGGTGCTTGATAAGTGTTTTCCTCATGATAGTATCTTCAACTATTGTTAGTTGTTAAGAGTCTCAGAGGATGGAAAAGACAGGATTCTCCATAGGAGCTTCTTCCCCAAACAGTTCCAGGTTTGTACTCAATCCATCAAGAAGTTGATCAATTGAACCTGAGAATGATGCAGCCAAGAACTATATGTGCCAACTGAAGGATGCTTTTTAGTCTAGAATCAATCTGCAGTCCCATGATCAGAAATGACCGCCATCAAAAATCACAAGGTTAGGGAACTGACCTTGGGTGCTCTGCTTCTTGCCTCCCTCTGTCATCGGCCTCGTGACTCCTTGCTCCCACCCCTGAGCCTACCACCCAGAATGGCTGATACAAGGCTGAGCATCAGGATGGAGGAGGTTCTTTCTTCCCTCTCCAAGTTCACTTGACCCCGTCACCATCATGTAGCAGATGAGCCTGGTTTATTACGCCATTCCCTAGTGTCATGTCTGAGCCATTTGTCAAACCAAATGAAATTGACCAAGTGACTCACTCTAAGATAAAATGTGTCTGCTTCAATGAGATATTTTCCCAGGAGTATTCTTGATTTAACAAGTGTGAAAAGCAGGAAGATTTCACTCCTAATGTTAGAAAGTCAGAAGATTTGGCAAGCATTTAAGAGACCTATTAGGGTATCCATTCTGCCCCCCCCATCCTGCTTTGATAGCTATACATTAGACTATCCTAAGTCCCCATCCATCAGCAGAGATATAGGTGACATGCATATGTGAAATGCTTAGCACAGTGCCCGGCACAGCCATGACAATAACAGCTGTTCCTACAACTTCTGTGGACTGCATCAGGCAGCCTGGGTCTGACCATCTGAGTTCCAGCCAGCTGTGCGTGAGTAAACCACCCAAGATCCACTGGGTACATCACACATCAGTTACACACATGCATTCGAGTCCTCTGTTTTGCTGCCTGGCTAACCCAATGCCCTGTGACTCCAAGAAAGAGGAGCTTGATGCTTCCCACCTCCAGGTAGCCTAGGATCCAGGAGGGAGGGCTGGGTAGGATATTCAATCATAATCAAACTTCTTAGAGAGAAATTAGACATTTAGAGGAGCTTTTGTACATCCACTAGCACTTTTGGCTGATGAACTTAATAATTTTTCATGAGGGCCTAAAGGGTTTTAGATCCAAGGGTGGTTTTCCTTAGTTATAAATTTCTGCAGATCTGCGTTTGAAGTTAGTGGGATAAATGATTGTGCAGCAGCCCACAAAGCTCATAACTCAGCAGATGTGGAGCACTTGCAGATGTCTCTGGAAACTTCTGTCCTGGGTGTGCCATTATAGAATGGCTTCCCACATTAGCTAAATCCATCTCAACTGGGAATGAGGGAGCCTGGCAGAGTGAAGATTGGGAAAGAATGGTGCAGGCCAAATATCTGGCACAAGCTCTAGAATTCCTTTGAGCACCAGCTCTGTACCCTGAGGATAGTAATACAGTCATCAATATGTGGGTTGAGGTAATCATTAGTTCCTATAGTAAATGAAAGTGTTTTCTAAGCTGAAACAGGCCAGATAAAAGTAATATATTATGAAATCAACAGCTCTTTGTGTGCTTTCTGTGTGACTATTTTAACTTATCAATTATTAATTATTTATTACTTCAATAATTATCTAGGTCTTGTGGTAGGCGAATAATGATTATGTTAATCTGTTTCGAGAAAGTAATGGGGTCTGAACTCATAGCCTAATTTTTGTTACACTGGCCCTCTGTCACTCTGTTACTGTTACACATCCAGCCCTGCTTTTTACTGGTTATTTTGGAAACGGAGTCTATTGAACTTTTCTTTCTGGGCTTGCCTTGAACCACTATCCTCTAGATCTCAGCTAGGATTAAAGTTGTAAGTCCACAGTACTTGACTAATTGTATCAATATTTATAGAGCTGGGGAAAAAAGAATTATGGCTCCATTGCTTAATTAAGATCCTTGATCCTCAGTTCTCAGCCTCCTGAATAGCTAGGATTACAGGCATGAGCCACCAGTGCCTGGTGTGTGCTAATTTTAATGACACCAAATATTCAACATTAAATTAAAATTACAAAACAAACCTATGTTTAACTTTGAGACACTTCCAGATGATAAGCCAAAGGAATGTTCTTGAAAATTGACCAAATAGTTTTAAATTTCATCCAAAACCATATATGGTCACATAATTATTTTACAAAGCAAACTGACTTGGAGAAAGTAGTCACCAGATGTTAAAATTCGTTATAAAATGACTAGGTTTAAAAGTGTGAGAGTAAATCCAGAATTTTTAAAGAGATTAATGAAACGTAAGTGGTACCCACCAAAGCAACTTCATTCATAATATTAAATATATTATAGAATATATTTCAAATTCCCAGAGATTATATTTTAACAAATAACAATGGTATTACAAACCATAAGCAATTTTGAGGGGAAAAGAAGGAAAGGAAAATCAAACCATCAATTTGCTGTGTAGCAGTCCTCCCATTGTGTCATCCTAGAGCATCCTACCTCGCTCAGCTGGAGAGGCAGTCTCTCTGATGGACTCTGGGTTCAGAGCCAAGGCTCAGCAAGCCAACATCACCTGGTTGGTTAAGCTGACACTGGTTAAGCTAACAGGAGCTACTGTTTACCTGCTTTCCTGACTGTAAGACATGGACAGTGCTAAGAGCCCCCTCGCAGGTCATCCAGGGCAATGGTGTTGCAATTTCCTGGAAAATAGTAGGCTACCCATGAGAACTTCCACCAAGAGTCCAAAGCTCCATGCTTCAGAATCCTTTTGCATCTACAAAGACCTTGTTCTTTGAATGGCCATGAGATGCATATGGTCCCCTGGAGGTTAATGTGTGCAAACATCAAAGTCTCATCCACGGAAGTCATGGAGCCCAGGGCAGAAACAGGTGGAAGCATGCCAGGGACTTGGCTCTAGGCCCTGAGACGGTGGTGACACATGAACTGGCTCTCATGTCTCATAGAGGAGAAATTTACTCTTCAATTATATTGTTTTCCACCAGACAGTAACCTAAACATGGAGTATGGTCAAGGTTCGTTTTTAGAATGCTAATTGATCACTTGGATCCTGAAACCTGTCATCACCTCCCTCCTAAACTGCAGTATTCTCACTAAAAATACACAGCTCAGTGTGATCCTCTTGCAAAAATGCCATTTGGGCTGACCATGAAAATAGCAGCATGTGGCATTTGCCTAAGAAAATGAGAGACCAGAGCCTCTTCCCGCCCAGCCAGGTGCAAGTGTGGCAAGACCCAGGTCCTGAGTCTGAGGATGGTGCTGTGGTTCCAGGATGGCCTGAGGGAGGGGGAGGGGCTTTCACTCTGAGCCCTGAGAAACTGAATTTCAGTAGTTGACAACTTCTGTGGCTAAATCTCTTTTTTTCTTTTTATAAAAAATGAGTAGCACATCCAATGGCCATGTACTTCTGCCCCATTCCTGCATTGAAACAATTGAGACTGCCGTCACCATCCGATAGAATGTGTTAGGAGGTGAGACTGGAAGGTGACATGCGAGTGGAGGCTTCATGATGACCTTACCCTTCAAGGAGACTTGGGAAAGGGCTCGCTTGTTCTCTCTGCCATTTGTCATGTGGGATGTGGGGAGAAACAAGCATCTACAACCAGGAAGAGGAGCAAGAACCCAGCTACACTGGCTCCCTCTTAGGTTCCCAACTTCCAGCTCCAGAATTGTGAGAAGTCCACGTTGCTGTGTGAGTCACCAGTGTGTGGAGTCCAGCTACACAGTGAAGCTGGATTTGCCCTCTTGGTGAGGGAGTTTATGGTAAATGTACTGCTGAAATCTTAGTGGCACTCCCACTCATCAGTGCTGATGTTAAAGACAGGCTGAACTCAGAAATTACAGGCTTTCCAGACAGTGAAGAGCTCTGGGCTATCAAAGGAAAGCCACTCCCGCACTAGGGGGAATGTTCTGGAAAGAGCACTTGGGGACAGAGACTCAGAGGGGCAGAAGACTTAGAACCAAGAGCCCTTGTGTCATCTGAGGTGAACGCTTTTCAGCTTCTTGGTAAATACACATGCCTTTGGGTTTTTGTTTGTGAGGTAGCATTAGAGTCCCTACCCTACCCGACACTTAGGAGGCTGTGGCGATCAAAGCTGGTGAAGTTGTGGACTGTAAGAGATGGTCATACCTGCCCAAGGAAAATTCTCACAAACATTTATTAAAAGGATAAACTTCTGTGGTCTCTGAAAAAAAAGAGGGGAAGAAAGGAAGGAAAGAAGGAAAGGGGGAGGGAAAGAGAGGGAGAGCGGGGGAGAAATTGTTTCTTCACTAACCTTGACCAGTGTTCTCCCTTTGCCTTTCTCTGGGGTTCTGGAATTATCTGTCTGAATGCTTGAGGTGGTCTCCATAGGAAGCAGAATTCTGAGTGCTTTAACACTAAATGCCATCACAAACCTAGATCCAGTCCTTCCTCAGCGTGGCTCCAACCTAGATCCAGTCCTTCCTCAGAGTGGCTCCATCATCCCACTGCTTGTGGCCACCTCTGTCCTCACAGGGACACACGGCTTGGCTCTAGCCAAAGCCTTGACACCAAACCAGATGTGTCCAGGAGACCTCATTCCTCTCCCAAGTGGTCTCTCTGGCTGCCTGCCCCACAATGTGCTATGTGCAGGCCTCGAGAAACAGCCATGGAAGGGCACAGGCTACATAGTTGTGGAGACACAACTGCTTTTACTGCTCCAGAACTGTGCAGCCCTGGCAAAGCCACATAATGTCCCTGGGCCTTGTGTCAGTGCTAGGCTGTCCAGGATGCTGACTGGGTTGGAAATTCACTGAAATGGATTCGATATGAAGAGTACGAGAGTCTGCAGGGAAGGGAATCTGCCTGGGGAGCAAGGGAAGGACTGAGTAGAGAAGAACCTCCATGAGATCTCCCTCTCCTCCTACCCTCATGTCCTCAGAGAACAGAGCCAGGGTGTCTCTCAAGAGCCATGCAGTGATGAGGTCAGCACCTTCCTGGGTCTGTCCATGCTCGCTTTTGGACACAGTCATCTCTGGAGAAGCAGCCACTTCTCCTAGACCAAGGACAATTCCCGGAGCACTCCATTGGGAGCCATGAGTCTTCCAGCAGTTGAGAAAATGAGAGTACCATTCTACAGGGGACTGGGCAGCATCTCAATATCCCCTGGAGGGGACAGAGGGCTTGGGTTCTGTGAGCACAGACTGGTACACCCAGCAGGGCTGCTCTGGCATCATTACCATGACTCTGGCCATCATTATGCCACAGTGACACCAAGTTCTTGATTCCTCTCCTATGTGTCTCGGCTGCTCAGCAGGACACTTGGTGCTTCTGCTTGCTTATTTTGTCTTGTTTTCTAAGCTTTGCACCCCTAGGCTTGAGCACAGAGCTTGTCTCCTAGAACCAACTTAAGAAATAATTATAGAATGGAGAGAGAAATGAAGAAGACACAGGGCCCGAGAGTGGAGACCACATGGAGGATGCCCCTGGGGCAGCCTTGGGGGACATTGGTTTGACCATCCCCTCCTTTCTCTCCTAGTCCCTCTGGACTCCTGGCAGTCCCTGGCCCTGTCGGTGGCAGTTGTGGATCCTTCCATCCAGGACTTCGATGTTGCTCACATCAGCACTACTGCCACCAGCAACTTCTCTGCAGCCCGTGACTTCTGCTTGTGGGGTAAGAGAATCCTCCCCCAAGAGAGTCTCAGAAGCAGACAGGGGATTCAGGAGGGAAAGACCTTGCGGGTAAGAGGTGGGGTGTCTTCCTACGCCTCCTCACTTGGCAGTCTACAGACAAGGTCTGCAAGGAGAACAGCTAGATAGCTAATAAATGACCTTGAATGAGGATGAAGGAAAGTCAGGGGCCGGAATTAGAGTTAGTGTGAGTTAACAGAGTTCCATGGTGCCTTGGTGACCATCCTTAGACAGCAATGGGCCAGCATGGAAGGGAGGAAGTTACTTATTCTGGTCAGGACCTTTGTGTAAAATTCAAATTTCAAGAGGTGTTTTTCAATGCAATGGGAAGAACTTCCTGTTTGTTTGGTTGTTTTTGTTTGGGGGCAGTATTGGAATTTGAACTTAGAACTTCATATTTGCTAGACAGGTATTCTATGGCTTGAGCCATACCTCCACCCCTGGAAGATCTTTCTAATAAGCACAGTTATCCAAAGATGCACAATTCTTTTGGAGAGTTTTTAATCATTGGTGGTACTCAATAAAAACCTAGGCCTCTTGTTCTGAAGGTTCTACAAAGACTATTAGCTCCTAATAGTAGCTGAGTTCAGATTCCACTTACCCAGCTCTAATACCCCAACGCCTCTGTGAGTCCATGAATTTCAAGCCTCTCCTCTACAAGTTTGGATAGCACAGTGCTCAAAGCCATGTTTATCATGATGAGTCGGTGGTTATGTACAGATTTGAACCATGTGTGCTACACAACTCGGGATGGTGCATTCACAGATTGTGCTCTCTCTTGGGGCCCTTTGACCCATGCACAGTCTACCCAATGGAATCAAGCTGCACTATTTGCAAAGCTGGTCTTCGTACTGAATGGCATAATGTAGGTAACATGCTCATGCAGTTCCTGGCTTGCAGGTAAAAGGGCAAAGACCTGATGGCACATGGCGACTGTGATGCAAACTATGCAGATATTACAAAGGAGGTAGAACCCAGGGGACAGTGGCTCACGCCTGTAATCCTACCTACTCAGGGGGTAGAGATTTGATGAGCACAGTTCAAAACTAGCCTGGCCAGGAACGTCCATGAGATTTCTTGTCTCCAGTTAACCACCAAAAAGCTAGAAGTGGTGCTGTGGCTGAGGTGGTAGAGCTCTAACCTTGAGCAAAACATAAAAGCTCAGGGACAGCACCCAGGCCCCTAATTCAAATCCCAGGACCAGAATAAAAACAAACAAAACCAAAAAGGAAGCTGATGCAGATGAAGCTGAAGAGGACAGCATGGGATGGAATTAGCACCATCTCATCCTGAAGCCCAGAGGAGCCATTGAAGTGTTTTTAAGCGAGGGACACACAAGGGCACATTGATAGGGTAAATAATAAAGAACTGACTAGTGTGGAAACAGTTTGGATTGAGAGTTGGGCTCCTTCCTAACTAACACCCACACACAGCACATTGAACTTATTGTACGAGTTCAAATAAATGAATGACTGCCCAATAAATGGATGTGGGAATAGGTGTAAAGATCTAGATGTGGATGGTCAGATGGATGCATGCATTCATGGAAGCATGACTGGGTACACAGGCCAGTGAATGATGGGGTGGATGGACAGCTTCTGTGGGTGGATGCACGGGTGGAGACATGCATGTGAGCCTACGGGCATGGGTGAAGTGGTGAGGTCTGGGGCCCTGCCTTACTCCCTCCTCTGCCCTGCAGAATGCTCCCGTCACCAGGCTTGCCTCATCACCACTCTGCAGACCCAACCTGGAGCTGTAAGGTGTGTTTTCTATGCTGACACCCACAGCTGCACGTACAGTGTGCAAGGCCAGAACTGCCGGCTTCTGCTCCGGGAAGAGGCTGCCTACATCTACCGGAAACCCGGTGAGTCTGGGCCTGAGCCTTTGCAACCAGCGCTGGGGCCCTGAGGTGGCTGGGAAGACTGTCTGCTAGCTGACTCAGGGGGCTGTTGTCTGACTCAATGGAGAGTTGCGCCAAGGCTTCCTGAAAGGAGGACAAACTTCCACTTCTGCATCACTTCTACTCATTTATTCCCTCCAGTGATAAAAGCCACTGGGGCCTTTGAATTTCACAGTGTAACAATCACCAACAGGACATATTTTGGTGCCATTTTGTAGTTTAGAGAATTATTACCCTGACTTGTCTTGTTTGGTCCCCACAGTAATCCTGCAATAGGATCCTGCGGCAGAATACGTGCTTTCTCCCTATTGTGTAGATCAGGAGACTATAGCCCAGAGAAGTTAAGTTACTTCCATGATTTCACACTGCCTACTACTATATCATAAACACTTTGGAGAGAGGACCTGTTCCCATGGTGTTGAGGGTAGATTCAGTGCTAAGGTTGCTCAGCATGACAAGGCATGGGATTGATGCTTCACACTCCCCCCAAAAACAATAAGTAAAGAAGAAACTTATTTAGTATGGAACTGTTATGTGTCAGACTTCATGTTAGGCATAGGACACGGAAGATGGACACTATCAAGGGTAAGCAGCATAAAAATCTATCACTGACTCAGAGCTGCAGACCAGAAAAAAAATTGAGAGTGAGGAGTAAGGTGCAACTTATCCCCAGATGGACGTGTTCATTGAAGAAATGAGAGCTGCTATGATGTTGTCTGAAACTACGATCTTGTCCTGTAGAGAAGGTTGTATATTTTCCCTGCAAATGTTCAGATTAGAAATAGTTTAGACTTTACACCATACCTTCATGACATTTCTGTGACAACTATTCCATGGCTATTACAATAAGGAAGCAGAAGAAACAATAGGTCAAAGTAATGAGCATGACTGTATTCCAATAAAATGATAGCAAAATACAAAGGGAGCCTTTGGATTTGGCCTTTCCTCTGTCCTGCATGGACAGTCCTGCAGTTCCATCTGGAGATCAGGGATCATCAGCCTTCAGACTTCGAGAGAATATCTCCCAAGCCTGGGGATGTCGGGGGCCCTCACACTTGTCTTCTGAGCATCTGGACATGGGTAGCATTGAGTGAAGCTGGACAGATTTTTAGCTTTATTTCACCTCTCATGTAGTAGTTGATATGAGTGGTGGTTCTGCTGAGAAATGCCTTAATGTTGAGCTCTGCAAGACAAGTTAGCTACTTTTCTCTTAATTTTGTGAGTAAAGCTCACTTCCTATAGAAGTAGTTAGCATATATGTATGTATGAAGACGTGATACTTTTCTTATCTAGGGAGTCCCATGGGTAAATATGTTGGTAGTATGGAGGGAATCTATTATTTGTGCCAAAGAATTCTGAAGGGAAAAGCACACATCTAGGTTTCACCTCACATTTGATCTCCTGGGGCTGCCTGGCGGGGTGGATCAAGTGCTACAGTCATGGGAAACAGATCTGCATTCCCTTGGACCCACAGGCTTTGTGTCTCTTTGGCTTTGCTCCCATCTTAGAGCGAGGCTGTGATTGTGAAATCACAGCCTTTCCTCCTGCAGGAGAAAGCTTGGCTGCCTTAGCAGCCACAGTCCTGAATGCCTGCCTGAGACCCTTTGATTTAAGATTGTAACAGGAACTGAGTGAGGAAGGGGCGTTAGTCAGGGCTTGTGACGGAGCCAGATTAGAAAACAGCAGCTATTTCTTTCCATTCCAAGTTTCCATTGTACTTCTAACTTTTACTCCAGAGCTTTTGTCACAAAGGCTCCCCTCATTCTTCTATATGTTTCTCTTTCTTCTCTCCTTCCTCCCTCTTTCTTTTCCATCTTCCTTTCGTTTATCCATCCATTCATCTAACCACTCATCCATCCAACCATTCATCTATCCACTATTCGTCCATTGTCCAGGCTATCATACATCCTCCCATTTAATCTTCCTATCGCCCTCTGTCAAATCCTCTCTCCTTCCTTCCATTTCTCCTTATACTTGTGGAACTCCGGCACTAAGCCGGAGCAATTGCCAGTATGGCCCTTTCTTCCTGACACCACTGTGTGGCAGAGTGGCCACCAGTCCTAATACACACAAGGGAAACTGAGTCAGAAAGCTTACAAAGTTCTCTCAATGAGCCACTGGTTCATGTGAACCACAGGTGTGCTTTTCTCCCCAGATCATCTCTGGGTTCCACCTCACCTGGCTGATCCCCAGTGGCAGGAAGTCATGTCACAAAGAGATTTGTACCATTAACCTCAGAACCCACCACCACTCTGGGGTAGAGAATCCTTTTTGAGTGTGTGTAATGGGAGAGTGACGCGGAGATGCACGGCATGACAGACCGTCCAGGCTCTTACAAGGTGCTCAGGATTTCCCGTCAGATGGCAGTAACTTTAGCCACCCTGTCCTCAGATATGGTCGAATATTCCTTTAAGGATCAAATCATTTCCAGCTCATATCAGCTCTTAAAGAAAGGATAGGCCTCTGCCTGCTTGCTTGCCTTCTCCCACACCTTGGTTATCTACTGTGACATACACACTGGGGTAGAAGGAACAGCACAGGGGCAAGAAGAGCTTTGCCTCTCAACCAGTCCCACCCCCAGCACAGCTGTCTCCACCTAGCGATTACCTCTCCCTGTCTACGTCCTGGCCTTTTAATCCATCTCCTCCTTCATCTCTATTTGTCTTTCCCTTTCTCTTTTTTTTCTCTCTCCCCATCTCCCCACCTCGTCATCTTCCAGAACCCCGTGCCTCTGTGCACAACACATATACAAAAACACCCATGCCTGTCTGTTTTCACCAGTGGAGTATTTATAGTATCCTTGTTCAAGGTCCTTGGTCCTATTTCAAAGTCCCTGTAAATAGCATTTGGCAACAGAGCCTGGGCCCGACTAAAGTGTACTGAATTGATGAATGAATGCAAGGAAACACAGTGGCAGAAATACGATAAGGTGGCAGAGGAGCTGATAAGGGTGGCTGGCAATTAGCCCTGCAGGAGGGAGGGGGGAGTCTGTGCCCCAGAGAGCAGGGCTGGCATGGCAGGCAGGTGGCACCAGACTTGGACTTTGCAAACTGGGCCAGGGACAGGAACACCCAGCAGGGAAGCCTGGGCCTGCACCCATAGCCACAGGAGCTCTGCCCTGTCCCTGGCTTGTGTAAATGGGGTATGCGTGGGGCTGGGCTTCACAAGGGTGATCTTTGAGCCTGTGTCACCTTGTGGCCCTATCAGGCTAGCCATCCCCAGCACACACATCCTTCCATCCTTCCCCAGGAAAGTGTAAATGAGACTGGATTTGAAGATCCTAGCATGCTGAAAGTTCACTTTTTATCTAGTGAGGTCATTTGTTTTAGATAAGTTCTCTGCAAACTCACTTATTGGTAAAAAAAAAAAATCTGATCCACAGTGACTGAAGAAATACTCATTAGTCATCTCTGCTAGAATGGACAGTATGTTCACTTTGTCCAGAAGTAATTGATATGTTTGATGACAAGCTCTAGTCCAAAACCTCTGGGAATGGACTATGTATTCCCCTGTCCCCCTCCCAGGCCCCAGGGCACAGAATAAGGGGTGTGGTCTCTGGTAGCACCTCCCTTTAAGGCGCATTGGGAAGAATTCAGGTGATAATCTTCAAAGAAGTAGAATTAGCACCATGCTTCACACATATTTGATGTCTAATAAAATCAGCTTATCACTGCTGTTTTATGTTGTTGACATTAAAATCTAACTTGAGATCTCGGATCTGGATGGACTGCTGACGTTTTCAAAGTTAAAAAGAGAAAGTATTTTTCTTGCAATGAAAATGCACCGGGCAGGAAAGCCAGAGACAGCGCACTCACTTCCCTCTCCCTCCGCCCCTACTCTGCCCCTCCTCTCCACCAGGTGTCCCTGCACCCCGCTTCTCAGCAGCACCTGCTCCTTCCGTGACCATCGCCACCCGTGGCCAACTGCTAGGCAGGTCCCAGGCAATCCAGGTGGGCCCTTCCTGGAGGCAAGTGGACCAGTTCCTTGGAGTTCCATATGCCGCTCCACCCCTGGCAGAGAGCCGCTTCCGAGCACCAGAGCCTTTGAACTGGACAGGCTCCTGGGATGCCACCAAGCCAAGGTAGGGGGTGGTGGCATGCATTTGGTGACTGGGCAGCAGAGCTGTGCATTGTGGGTTGCACAGTCACCTCATGGGGATGGATTAGTGAGAGCTTTGTGCAGGCAGCGCCCATGTGGCTTCTGCCGCCCTTTCTCTATCTCAGGCTATCGGGTCAGCACAGCTCCCTCCAGGAGCCCACAATACCCCTTGGGAATGTCGCATCACAGGGGTCAGAGAGAGCCATGAGCCCTGCTACCCCTTCTGTTCACTAAAAGCCTGACTACCACAGATCAGGTGGAATACCAGTTGGGACTGGGCAGTGGCTGGTCATGGAGGTGGGTGGGAGGAAGATGGAGCATGTCCCCTTGCTTTTTGTCCTGAAGTCACACCTTCTGTCCCTGCAGGGCCAGCTGCTGGCAGCCTGGTGCCCGTACACCCACGCCCCCAGGAGTCAGTGAGGACTGCCTGTATCTCAACGTCTTTGTCCCCGAGAGCATGGTGGGTTCCCAAATGTCTGCGATGTTTGTCCAGTGAAGTCCCCTTTCAGGGTCCTGTCCCCACTGTGCCCGCGCACCACCCCTTCCCTTGACTCTGCCTGGTCTGTGCTTCTGCAGCACCAGGCCAGCCTGGTTGCCGGCATCTGACTAAGAAGCCACTGCAACCCTGCTACTGAGGGACTGAGTCTCCTGTATATGGAAACTGTTTTATGGGGGAGATCAAAGCCTATGAGAGAGAAAAGGAAGAGGTGTTGGGAAACGAGTCTCTAGTGACATCAACCCAGTGCATGATGAGTGACCACGCCACCTTCCTGGGCCTCTAGCTAACTAGCAGTGAGAATAAATTATACTTTGGAGGTTTGTTCACCACCAGTTGATCTGAACAAACTTTGTCATAGCCATGAGAGCTCTCCCTGGCTGCAGTAATAGGAGCGTTGAACCTTGGGTGACTGAGGTGCTAGAGTTTCATTCTGCTCAGTACTAGTCACACTGTATCCTTGCCATGCTGAATTAAGCAGCTCTGGCACCCACTGCTACTTCTTCATCACCCTGGAGAAGGTTCTACCTGTACCAGCTACCTGCCTTACCTGGAGAGGGAAAGATCTATCACACTGCCTTCTTAAAGCTCTGTGAGAAATGGAGACACGCAGAAGTGAGTGCTCAGACCTGGGTGTGCCCCGTGCAGTGGAGCTGAGCTGATGGGGTGGCACCGGAGCAGGTCACAAGACCACTCCACTAAAGGAGGAGGCATCTCCCAACCAGGGAGAGAAAACACGTGGGCAGTGTAAGCCACCTTGATGGCAGGAGGGTCACCAAGGTCATCAAGGTCATCACCAATCATCTTGGGTTAGAGACCAATATATGAGCCACTTACATATAAGCTCTACCTCCTACCTCCTTCCTTCCTTCCTTCTTTCCTTCTTAGATCTCCAGATCCAGGCACCTTCTGAGATATGAGGGTTTCAAGTTTACGATACAGAGTCCATCTAAGTATGCCACTGATTAGTGCTAAGTATTAGTACCAAGTAGGGCTAAATATGCCATTGAGTATGGCCACATATACCTCCAGGTCAAATTTTCAGGAGTGAGGGTTTATAGCCTAGATCCTCTCATGGAAAAGTGCCTCCTCGTCAAAGTTTTATGAAATAGAAACAAAAGAGCCTTCACCCTTTCCCACAGGCCCCCAATGCGTCAGTGTTGGTGTTCTTCCACAATTCCATGGAGGTAGAAGGAAGTGACGGACCACTGATCATTGATGGCTCCTTCCTGGCTGCAATTGGCAACCTCATTGTGATCACTGCCAACTACCGAGTGGGTGTCTTCGGCTTCCTGAGTTCTGGTGAGTTTCTAGTATTGGTGGGTGTATTATCCAACTTTCCATCTCTATAACAAAACACCTGAGACGACTTACTTATAAAGAAGAAAGGTTTGTTTGGGTTCACAGTTTCGGAGTTCTTGTCTGTGATTGATTGGCACTGATGCTTTGGGTCTATGCCAAGCAGGAATGCTTACCTTATGACCAGGAAGAGAAATAGAAAAAGGAGAGATGGATGAAGTACCAGTATCTCCATCAGGAGAATGACCTCAGTGACATTTGGACCAACTTACAGCCTTACCTCTCAAAGGTTCTACCAAAGGAGAGGCCTTGCGGGCCTTTGAGATTTAAACTGTAAGAGGGCTTAGGGTTAGGCCTAGGATTACCCTGGGCTGAGCCTAGCTCCTGCCACAAGCTCCTTCCTTCCTTGCTTCCTTCCTTGCTTCCTTCCTTGCTTCCTTCCTTCCTTCCTTCCTTCCTTCCTTCCTTCCTTCCTTCCCAGAGCCATTGAGCCCACGCCCCATCTCTAGCCCAACTAGACTCATACCACAGAATGGAAACTTGAGCATTCCAAGGCCCTCCAGCAATACTGATACCCACCCTTAGGTGAGAACAATAGTTGTTTTTCATTGAGAACTTGCTGCAGGTTTGAAACAGCTCATGCTTCACTTTGTGATGGGATGTGACATGTGCATATGTATGTGCATGTGTGTGTTTTGTTTTATTTTATTGTACAGAGGCTGTACAGAGGAGTTATAGTTACATGAGTAGTGTAATGAATAGGTTTCTTGTGTTTCATTCATTTCAAAGAGAAAAAAATGAGGTCCAACGAGGTTAGAAATGTGCTCAAGTTAATGTAGTTTTTATTTTTAAAAAGCCATGCTGGGTGCCAATAGCTCACGCCTGTAACCCTAGCTACTCAGGAGGCTGAGATCTGAGGTTTGCAGTTTGAAGCCAGATGGGGCAAGAAAGTCTATGAGATTCTTACCTCCAGTTAACCACCAAAAAGCCAGAAGGGAAGCCCAAGTGCTAGCCCTTGAACACCAAACTTCAGGACAATCTTTGGGCACAAAAGTGCAGGACCATACCCAGGCCTTGAGTTCAAGTCCAAAGACCAGTACCCCCCCCCCAAAAAAGGGCATAACCAAGCCAGGACTTCACTGTCCTGATAAGCTCTATGGAAGAAGAGATTACAGCTCTTATGCCAAAGGGAAGCTATCAGGTTTGGAGTGAGAGCTGTATCAAGAATGGCATTACCTCTTTTATTTTTTATCTCAGCTGGCTCATCCTATCTTCCCACACCAATCTGTTTCTGGAGTTTTGCCCTCTATCCTCCCCAGCTGCTGGGCAGAATAGAGCTGGACTATCACAAACACCCTCCCCCTATCCATCACCCTCCCCCTATCCATCACCCTCCCCCTATCCATACCTTCTTCTCCTCCCCAGTTTCACTGGGGGGAGCATCAGGCAATGGAGCAGGTGGTGTGGTACAGATACATCGGTCTTAGAATCTGAAGGGCCAAGAGCCAGCGCTGCTCCTCATTGGCTGTGTGAGCTTGTATCAAACGCTCCCTCTCTTCTAGCGTTCAGTTTTCTTCATGGGAAGTTTACCTACCTTCCAGTATCTTGAGGCTCACATTTTTAGAGGCCATGTAGGTTTTCCAAGTACCCAGGCACAGAGGGTGAACTCTGTCTCTGATTTCTAACATCTTCTTTAAGCCCTGGGCATTTCTCATGCTAAGTGTGAAATGGCAGGTTGCTGTAAGTATGAAGACAGGCTAGACTAGAATGTGTGTATGGGAGGGGAACCCAGCATGTGCCGAAGCCAGGGGCATGAGGTAAGGCTGCTAGGTGGTACAGGGTCTGAGGCTTGAGAGCCTCAGAGATGTTAGATTAAACAATACGCAAGCAAATTCTTGGCCTAAGAAGCAGGCAGGAAATTAAGGCAAAGCACTGCCCAGTGCTGGTATGGGATTGAGAAATGAAAAGTAGGATTCAGTTTCTGATGGGTAGAGGATGGCTGGGAGCCAGCAAGAACGAGTGGGCAGAGGTGAGGAGGGATGGGTCAGGCCTCTGCTTCTTCCTGGTTCATTATTTTCTAAGGAACTTCTGAATGGTAGTGAGAAGTGAGCATGGTACCTGGAATTTTGTGAGAGATTTGAGGAAGTGGGGAGAATGATTCCCATCGAATTTATGCTCATTACAGAGAAGCAGCCCCTACAGGGGTTTTCTGGCTTCTTTTCAAACACAAGGCCGACAGTAATGCTAAACCAGCCCCTGCCAAGCAGCTGCAAGCTCATGAAATTCAGGTTTCAGCTGGTTGAAGCCAGTCATGGGAAGCTCGTCCCAGACATGGCTGACTTTGGCTCAGAAAGTTTCTAGACAGGAGGAAAGTGAATTTCCATATGTCCTCTATCCCACAAGGGCAAGGGATTGTAATTTCAGAGAGTGCACTCGTGTGGAAAACTCATGTGCTCCTGGAAAGGCAAATCCATTCTGGATGCTGACATGGGCAGTCTGTGGGGAGGATAGGGAAGCTTCCAGAATACTCAGGGAACTGACTTGCATCAAGGCTGCCCGACCATTTTGCTTGGAGGAAAAAACTATCTGAAAGAGCAGAGGGAAGTTACATTTCCCTAATGCCTCTCTTTCCCCAGATCTTTCCTTTACATGATATTTAATTCTCGATCAGTGGTATGAAGCTAGTGTCATGTGTCCACTTTGCAGAAAAAGCTGAAGCCAGGTTTTTAGACCTCAGGCACAAAGTCCAGAAGTCCCAAGTTACATGCAGCCACTCACCCCCATATGCCAAATAAAGGAACATGGCAAAGGGCAGAAAAAGATTTATTTCATGGCACCGTGGGAAGATAGCACCTCAGTACATCTTCAACCATCTTTGGAATGATAAACATTGGCTTCAGATTAAATAGAGAGAATTGGGGGCAGGGAATGAGAAAGGTATGCAGAGTTAAAATAGTCCCAAGTCACAGATATGGCCAGTTTGACCTTTAGCTCCGTCTGTAGAGGAGTTCTGGAGAAGTTATTACTTTGTTAGTGGAACAGAACAGGAACAAGATAGTCTCCTGAATTTGTTGCTGTTTGCTTGAAGACATTGCTCATTTGAAGGGAAATTTGCCTTCCGTACAAGAATGCTTATCTGGGAATCTGGTCTTTTTTGGAGCCCGTGGTGACTGCAAAGTTGATGAAGCAGAGAACAACTCAGATCAAAGAGCACAGACTCCAAGTTGAGGGCTGTTAGTTAATCCACAGTACCCAGCAAAGGCATCTTCTAAATCTCCTCTGACAGAACAAGGAGGCCTGGAGAGGCTTTGAAGCTCACTCGCCCAGTGTCTCATCAGAGACTTGCTGTACTCTGCTGGGCAGCTGGACTACAACTACTGTTTGATCTTCAGGATCTTTGATACTCTCCCCATCTGGGGAAGCTTCCTTTGGTTTCTTCTCCAGACCTCTCTGAGAATCCCCCATACTGGACCTCTCTGGACTCTTATTTGAGCCTCCCTGCTGTTCAGCCCAGAAAAGGAGCCAGACCACAAGGCCCAGCTCACCCAGGTACTGAAGCACAGACAGGTGGTGGTGGCAAGGCCGATGGTCCCTGTCCTGGTGGCCGCAAGAGGCAGCTACTCACATCCTGCAGCCATGTTCCTACCGTGGAAGGGATGGGGCAGTCTTCTACCTCAACCTGTACCCAGTAAATAGTTGCAGATCAGCAGTCTTTGTGTGTACAGAACAATTAAATAGAAAGTGCAGCGTATCCCCACACACTCTCTCCCCTGCCTCAACTTGCTGTACAGGAGCTCACCTTTCTTAGCTGGAGGGGTCCTGCAGGGACCATCTATCACTCTTAGGTAGAGCACTCCAGGCAGTACTTTCCAGTCACAGGCTGTGGCTCCAAGAATGGAAGGTGCTAAGATGTGTGGAGTAGCTCAGCTCATCTGAGATAAGTGGATGGCTGCTACCTAGCAGCTTCTGTGCATGTGTGCGTGTGTGCATGTGTGTGTGTGTGTGTATGTGTGTGTGTGTTACCCTTTGCTAGGTATGAGCACCTTCCAGGCAAGCTGTGCATTTACTTCCAGCCCAGCATGTGGTCTGTGCCTGCTCATTACAGAGTCAGTCTCAGAAAGGCTGGCTTTCCCAGAGTTGGGCTGAGCCATTGCTTGGGCTGTTTCCTTATTTGATAGTGAGTGTCACATCTTCTTGGGGAGCCCAGAGTATAAATGATCCCTGGGAGTCTTAAACTACAGAGATACTTTACAAAAGAGATAGGTAACAAAGGAAGGCAGAAGGTCAAACCAGGTCTGAGCCTCACAAGACAAACTTTCACTCTGCAGAAGGAAGGACCAGGCAAGGCCAATTTTAGAGGAGATGTTAGGTCCTGTCAAAATGAGAAGCTAGAAAGAAAATGGGGATTGGAGATGAGCCAAACAAGGCCATCTCCTTCACCTGGGTTCTACAAATGCCACAGAAGATGCAAGGCATCGGGTCCCAGAGATTGTCTTTTTCTTCTGGCCTGGGGCACTAGCAGTAGCATAAGGACAGAGGAGGAGAAAGTGGGTGATGTGCTTTCAGACCTAGGCAGGGTGGGAGCAGAGGAAGTGTGTGTTATCCAGGGAGCCAGACAGAAGACTGGACAGCCATCATAATCACACATTGCCCTGTTATTCCCCCAGGCACTCGGGGATGTCTGCATTGGTCTGTTATCCTCTTGGACCAGAAAAGTAGGCAAGCAGAGTCTACCTGTGTGGATACTTCACATAGCTACATCTGCCACTGAAGAGGAGGCAGACCCACTAAGGGGATTAGAAAGACAGTTTGGGGACTTAGCCTGTTTTATATTTAAGGAAACAAAATCCTATATCTTCTGTAATGCCCTATGAACAGTCTGTGGCCTTCACAAATGCTAATTGATTTAATCACTGACTACTGAATGAAGCTGGCACTATCCTGATCTCCATTTTATAAACAGGGAGAATCAAAGTCCAGAAGTATTCATTAAATACTAGCCTGCTGTGCGCCCCACACAGAGTAAGGACCGAGTCCATAATGAATTCTGATTGTGAATTGGGATCTGAGTCCTAACTTGACCACACATGCAATTCTAGCTTTTAAACCAAGTCTTTCACTCCCAAGTTTCCCTTTCTTCTTCAATAAAGGCTAGGCTGAGCCAGATCATCTCATTGCCCTGATTTTTGGTCTCTGCCTCCAGAGCTGCCCCCTAGGGGCTGATCTCCTTTCTGCCCTCAGCTATACCTAGCACAGTGCCTGGCTAGGAGTCCAGTTGGTATTTGTTTAATGGTGACCTCGTGCAGCACCTCAGCACTGGCCTCCTTAGAGACTGTAAACCTGGAAGGTCAGTGCTGGTCTTCTTCACTGAGTAGGAAGTAGATTCACAAGAAAGTGAAAGTCAGAACATTCCCCCCACCCCCACTGTCACTGGCCGTGCAGGCTGTAGGTGTCACTACCTGCACTTGCAGGACTTGGTGCTACTCAGTTCACACCCTGCTCTCCTGAGCTGCCTGAGACCTGGAAGGAAGGAGATGAACACATTTATCCTGATGAACGGAACCCATGAGCCATCTAGAAAAGCCCATCGTGAGGGTCATGCTGTGTCAATGGCTTCACCAGACATAGAACATGAAAAGCACTTGAAGAAATTCTGCAAATCTCCCCAGCTGGAAGAGTAATTAGTGTTGCCAGCATATTCCCAGCTGGGGTTCCCTTCAGCTTTGTCAATTCTAGCTTCCACAATTGGGATGGAAGCTTTTCCTAGCTTTGTCTATGTGGGAATGTGGAATCTTGACAATAGTTTCTTGTTCAATACCAAATCCCATTCATCATAAATGCAGTGCCTTCTGGAGACCTGTAAGGGGTCTGCTGGTCAGGCTTCTGGAGGCCTAAGAGCTATGTACATGCAAGTTGAGATAGGAATCACGGAGCCTGGTGAGCACAGAGTCAGAAATGAAGGGTGCGAACCTCAGATGAAGCCAGAGCCAGGCTTCAAGGTTTGATGCAGAAGAATAAGTTCATGAAACAGAATGGCAGGGCGGATGCATGGACTCACAATCAGAAGGGGGAGGCAAGTCTCATCCTCCAAAAATAAAGAGAAATGTTTATTTTTGCTATACTTCTTTTGTGTCTCAAATATTTCATTAAAACTGTAGTGTGCCAACCTCAGTGAATGGTTCTTGAATTCTGTGGAAAGGAAAGAAATATCATTTCAGTTGCATACTGTTAAGGCTATAGGCAGTGGAAAGGCCTGAGATCCACAGCCCCAGCCTGACTTGGCCAGTGTTTGAGAGAACCAAACTGCAACGGGAAATGTGGGACAGGGACCATCTTCTTCCCTCAGATCGCTGAGACAAGTGGAGGAACTGAGCATACAGTTCTAGTTCCTAAGAAATCCACAAAGAAAAAAAGATGCTGTAGCTCAGAGTGCTAATAATATTCAAGGTCTCTTAACTAGCAAAGGCCAAGGTGGAAGTCAGACCAGATCAAAGCTCATGTTCTTCCCCATGTCCTTCCCTGTACTGATCTTGAGGACCAGAGCGCAGGCTCCCTGGAGGAGACCCCTGCCTGACCTAAGCAGTACTATGTTTTTGGTTTGCTTTGCTTTTGTTCTTACTGGTTCCAGGAATTGGACTTGGTGTCTTGTGCTTTTCCAGAGCAGCTTATGTTTATGCCAGTCCTGAGGCTTGAACTCAGGGCCTGGATACTGTTCCTGAGCTTCGTTGCTCAAAGCTAGCCCTTGAGCCATGGCTCCACTTTCAGCTCTTTTGGTGCTCAATTAGAGCCTCAAGTCTCATGGATTTTTAGTTTCTAACCACAATCCTCAGATCTCAGCCTCCTGACTATCTAGGATTACAAGCAGGAGCCACAGACCAGCTCAGCTTTTTGCTGGCTAATCAAAGATACAGACTTTCCTTCTTAGACCTGCTTCTAAAAGCAATCTTCCAGGTTTCTGCCTCCTGAAAAGCTAGGATTACAGCCCTGAGCCACTGATTCCTGGTGTGATTTTTAAATGAAAAGTTGTAAAATCACAAAAGACGAACAGCTTTCTTCCTTTCCGCAGGCTCCAGCGAGGCGACTGGCAACTGGGGGCTGTTGGATCAGGTGGCAGCCCTGACCTGGGTGCAGACTCACATTGGAGCATTTGGTGGGGACCCTCTGCGTGTGACCTTGGCAGCAGACCGGGGTGGAGCTGACGTAGCCAGCATCCACCTTCTTGTGACAAGGGCCACAAGCCCCAGGCTCTTCCGGAGGGCTCTTCTGATGGTGAGTGGTCTGCCCTGCTTTTGGTCTGGCTTCCATAGTTGGGTCTTCTCTTATTTTTGTGCTGGGTGTGGATCCTGCTATCACTCTCTTCCCAGGTATGATTAGATCCAGGAAGCTGAGAACTATTCCCACTCATGTTCAAAGTATCTGTGCTTCCTCAGAGAGCCTCAGTAGAGTTTGGTGTACGTATCAACAAATGGAAGCCAAAAACAGAACTTGACTATTCAGGATTCTACTGAGCAGGCTGAGATGTTTGCTGGATGAGGACAAGGAGGAGGAGGAGGAGGAGGGTGAGGATGATAGTGCTGCTGATGGTGATGATGGTGGTGGTGCTAGTGATGATGTGGTGTGATGCTGACAATGGTGATGATGAAGATAGTGCCGTTTATGATGATAGTGATGGTAGTGATGAGGGTAGACATAGTGGTAGTGATAATAGCTCTAATGTTGATACGATGATGATGATGATGATTATAGCGCATGATGATGAAGATTACAGAAACTGCAATCAAAGAAATAAGCTGGCTGGCCACAGTATGAGAGCTCTGGTGTTTATGCTTCTGACATTAACTTCTAACGAGCAAGCTCCAGCTTCCAGCTTGAGCAAGATGCTGTGCCAGCTACTTGAAATGCTCCAATAAATAAAACATGTTCCATCTCCTATGCGGTTTGCAGGAACTGGGCATGGGGACACTTAATATAAAGATTTGTACAAGGATTTTGGAGCAGGTCAAAGAGGAAGCCTTAAACAAAGGAGGAAGTGGGAGGAATATGTCTCTGGAGATCACTCTCTGGAATATCTGAGCTAAATGTTGAAGGCTGCAAGGCATTAACCTCATGCAGATCCTGGTGTGAGGAACGGATGGAGGATGGGCTCTATGGGTGACATTGTGGGACAAAGGAGGGCCAGATTTCCCTGGGCAGCTCAGGCTTTGTGCTGAATGTATGCAGAGCTATGCAAGTGTCTTGTTTATGGGACAGTTTTTTTTGTTTTATGATTTTTATCCATTTTTATGTTGTTCATGAAGCATAGTCGCAATGCTGTGTAATCACGCTCACTATCTACCATTATCCCAACTAGAAACTCTGTACCCACTAAAGGTTAGCTTCTCACTCTATCCACTGAGCCCCTTAGAAGCTACTTTCTGTCTCCATGGATTTACCAACTCTAAGTACCTCATTTTAGCAGAATTGTGTGAGATTTTCCCTTGTGTGTCTGGCTTATTCTACTTAGCATTTTGTCTTCAATGTTTATCTATGGTAGAACACTGTCAGAAAAATCCATCCACTTTCAGGCTGAACAGAATTGCATTGCAGGGATGAACTGCATTTGGTCAGTCTGTCCATTCACCTGTTAATAGATATCTGGTTGTTTGCTCTTTGGTTATAATAAATAGTGCTGCTGTGAGCATGGTGTGCCACTGAAGACTTTTTAAGCTTAGATATTCTCTGGAGGAAGATCTCCCTTGGAGCTGGGTGGAAAGTGATTTGATGAGGTTGAGGCAGAGAAACATTCTGGAGACTATACAGTAGGGTTATAAAACAATGAAGAGTCATCACAACCACCCTAATGGACAAAGCTCCTCATTGGCAATTCTGATCCTGTAGCTACACACAAGTCTTCTAGGGACCCACACCCTTGATCAGGAGGAAAGGAGAAGGACATTGCTTACTCATGTCTGATGTTGCATCAGTGTTGTCACCATTTCTGAGTCATCAGTGCCTCTTGCCAATCTGCCTCCCTACCTTTGATGATCCTTTTGTCATCTTGTATTGGGCTGAAGTGTTAGCATCTCAAACAAGGAATTAAATGGAAATACACACAAAAGTAAAGAAGCAAAGCAATGACTTTAATAGAAAAAGCAGAAATTAATTAAGGGAATCTGTGGGTATCAGCATCAAGGTTGCTATGGATTTGAGATTTTATAAGGCTTGTGGAAATGTGGGAGGAATCATAGGAATGGTAGTTGTCTGGTCTTAGGGAAATGAAGATTATGATCAACAGATGTGTGTGTGTGTGGTGTGTGTGTGTGTGTGTGGTGTGGTGTGTGTATGTGTGTGTGTGTGTGTGTGTGTGAATCCTGGGGTTTGAATTTGGGGCCTGGGTGCTGTCCCTGAGCTCTTTGCTCAAGGCTAGCACTCTACCACTTGAACCACAGCTCTATTTCTGGATTTTTGTGGTTAATTAGAGATAAAAATCTCTCAGCCTTTTCCTGCCAGGGCTGGCTTTCAACCATGATCCTCAGATCTCCACCTCCTGAATAGTCAGGATTACCAGTGTGAGCCACTGGTGCTCAGCTTAGAATTTTTAGGATGTGCTTCGGGGTTTAGCATGTGCAAGGTGGGCATTTCATAATTTTACATATCTGTATCAGATATAGTCTGTATACATGAAGCCTTAAGTAGGGAGTTTTATCGTAAAAAAAAAAAACAAGCTGGGGACATACTGGTTTCTACCATCATATGCCACTATCTGGTTAGAAAAAACTTGATCTCTTCTTACCACCTAAGATCAAACCAACAGCCAGGAGGCGTGGTCATGGGCAGGATTAGAGAGGAGGTGGAGCTCCTGGGGGTGTCTGAAAGAGGGTTCCATTAGAGGCAGAGAAGCAATAGGGAGACTGTACAATAACCTAAGTGAAGGAAAGACAAAGCAGCATGGAGATCACCACCGTGGACAGAATCCTTCTGTGGCTTGGCAACGGTGACCACGTAGCTGTCCCCACACGTTCTAGGGGTGACCAGGAGAGGCATGGTTTAGGATCTCTTTCCCTGGAGCTAATTCGGCTGGCTTGGGTTCGTTTTGCCCTTTGCCTGCCCATTTGTTTAGGAAAACCTTCCAACCTAGAACTTGACTTTTGCTCTAGCCGTGGTATTGGGACTTCTTTTGTACAGCATGTATCACAATTTTCATCAGTGATTAATTGTTCTTAGGACATCTGCTTGGTCATCAAAGAAGCTCCAGAGAACAAGCAGCAGTGTACCTTGCTCTCCACAGAGCCCTGGACATCACACTCAGCACAGCTTGCCATGAGCAGGTGCTCTTGGCAGCAAGTGTACAAGTGAATGGGCCAGTCTCCTGATGGTGCTGCCAAGGGCTGTGGACCACAGGCTAGCCTCTGATCCCCCATCCACACCCCTTTCTTGGGATTCTTGTCTACTGGCTCTGGTTTTCTGCATTTTTCCTCTTCAAGTTGGTCTGTCTTAGAGGAAGGGAATAACAGCTTTGGCATCCTGGTATAGAAACCAAACTTCTCTCTCTGAGTTGATCCTGGAGAGCCTTCTCCAGGGGCTTCTCAGCAACCAACCCAGCACTCACTAGGACCCAGGAGGCACCCAAGTGCCTCAAAGGGACCCAGAAGGCAGGCTTTTCTTTTAGGCTTAGGTTTGGGTGTTTGGGGAATTTCAGAAATGAATCTGTTTTAACAAGGTAGTGTGTCTAAAAATATACTCACTCCATTTAATAATTTGGAAGTGGCTTTCACAACGGCTCCCAGAAGTCCTTGGATGTGTGTGAGATTATGAAATCGAGAGGACTAAAAGCCTTCAATATAGAAATATCTTGTAAGCATACTCTTAATCAACAGATGCTTGGGGAGTGGATGGGAGTTAGCAACTTATTCTTTGGTAAAAATCTTAAGTCTGTAAATCTGGAGGCGAGAACCGTGGGAACCTCCATCAAAAGCAACTTCAGATGGCCACTCATGGCCTGCATTAGTTTAGCACAGTTTGGGCTATAAAATGCTATATCTTATCTTGGATTCCTCGCATTAGTTGGCACAGGGTCTTTATTTTGTTTCCTGTAAAAAAAAAAACAACATAAAGTATAAAATAATACAAGAAATCTGAAAGTCAGGGAAGTTTAGGGACCTGGCAAAGGACACTCAGCAAAGAAAGGACTTCATTAGGGCCTGAATGCTAAAGCCAAATCCTGTGTCCCTGAGGCTGGTTTTGTAGGAATTCAGTGTCTCAATAAGTAAGAGGTAAGGGAAAGGCCCAAACTGAGAGGGGCGGGGGGCAGCAGGCCTAGCTAAATATGGTGACCTTGGTCAAAAACCTTCCACCCCAATTCTCATGTAAAACCTATGATTACTTCTGTCTCCTGAGGCCTCGGGAAGGCAGCATGGTTAAGTTTGCAAGGTGCCCTGTTCACCATAGGAACCCAATACATTCATGTCTCCCTTCCTCTGCCTCAGCACATCACCTCCAAACAGAAGCAAGCCTCATACTTTACCCGCCCTGGGGCCAGGTTAGAGGAAAGGAACTTGTTACAAACATGGGTTCTGCAATGTTGAGCTCCTGGCTGGTTTAAGGAAGGGAAGAGGAGAATTTGCCCCAGGAGAGACTGTCCACTCTACCTACTGCATTGCCCCAATTCTGTATCCCTCCAGACAGCCCTTGGCCTCCTGAATTGCCTGGAATGAGATTCTCTGCTCCCTTTCCTGTTTCATTTATGGCGGTACTTGCAGGACTTGCCCACTGCAGGTGCATTGGCTATATCACACCTACAGAAAGCCACAGCTCCTTGAAGGCCTTTCTGTCTTTGTTCTGTGCTCAGCATATCCAGTGTGCCCTGAACATTCAATACTTCTCATTCCTCAGGGCACAGAAGAGCTGTGACTTAACAAGATTTTCCAAGTCTCTCAACACAAAGGAAATCTCATCTTATCAGAGAGACTTTTATTTACCAGTTCTTTGTTTTTTGTTTTTGTTTTTTTGGGGGTCCAGTTGTGGGGCCTGAACTCTGGGCCTGGGCGCTGTCCCTCAGCTCTTCAGCTCAAGGCTAGCACTCTACCACTTGAGCCACAGCGCCACTTCCGGCTTTTTTCTTTTTGCTTATGTGGGCTGAGGAATTGAATCCAGGGCCTCAGGCATGCAAGGCAAGCACTCTACCACTGAGCCAACTTCCCAGCCCCAGTTCTTTGTTTTCTGTTTTGTTTTTAGAAATTCTGTCCAGTGCTTCTTGCCTTTTGGCTAAGAGAAGAATAGAAATTCTGCCGTACATTTATTTTCTTTTTTCCTTCCTTCCTTCCTTCCTTCTCATCCTCCCTCCCTCCCCCTCTCTCTTTTTGGTGCTGGTCCTAGGGCTTGAACTCAGGTCCTGAACACTAAGATTTTGTGTTCAAGGCTAGTATGCTACCACTTGAGCCACAGTTCCATTTCTAGGTTTTTTGGTAGTTAATTGAAGATAAGAGTCTCACACACTTCCTTGCCCAGGCTGACTTCAAACTGTGATCCTTAGATCTCAAACTCCTGAGTGGTAAGGATTATAGGTGAGAAAACTTGCATAAGTTTCATTCTCCTAGTGCATGCCTAGTTTGCACAGGCACCCACTCATCCAAGACCTGGATAGGGAGAAGGTGGTTTAAATGCAAAGCTCTACATCCTGTGAAATCTCAGAGTGAATGCCCTCTCTGCGCTGGCCTCACTCAAAACTAGCCCAGCTAGACCTTGGCATGGATATTTCTGTCCAAATCTCAGAATGAGGTTACTGAAGTATGTGCTGTTCTCATACTCCACTTGGGAATCTGAGTGCAATTTCATAGAATTTATCTGTTAATTTTAGAAAAAGAAAATCATAATTTTTCTGATGTCCAGTCTTGCATCTACAAATTAGGGTAACACAAGAGCCATAAACATAGAATTTTGACCTCCCAAAGTCTTTATATGGAGCTTTGAATGTTTATCTACAAAAGCTTTTCGTGATGGGTTGTGAAGCAGGCTCCTTCATACAGCACAGCCCTCCTGGCATTGTGAAGGGAATCACATTCTTCCTTGGAATCTCCAGTTGGAAATGCTGGTGTTGGGAAATACATTGATCTGGAACTTTCCTGAGTGTTCTTCTCACTTTGAATATGTCTTTTGGCTACAAAGGATTCTCTGTGAGGTTACTTCATCCTCCACAGATAATATCAGGTTTCTTCATTTTTAATATTTTTTTCTTTTCAGTATTATCTTTAAGTAGTTTTACAAAGGAGTTGCCAACTAACAAAGCGATTTATGAGTACAGTATATCTGTACCCATTGCTCAGCTGCTATAACAAGACCCAACGCCAAAGCATCTTAATGAAGGAAGAAACTCCTTGTTTGGTTTCTCATAGAGTTTCCCAGAGCTGGTTATTTTCTTACTCTGCTCCCTTGGTTCTTCTAGGCACTTCTGAGTCATCAAGGGCTTTGTTCTCATCTGCAGGGTTGAGTTTTCTCTGGAGAGAGGAAGGCTGCCCCTTCCCCCCTCCCTTTAGAGTTTACCACAACGGGCACCCCTCCGGCAGAATTCCTTACAAGCAGGCTGGACTTGCCTGGGCTTGGCTTGCCTCTCTTCTGCTTGTTCTGCTTCCTGATTGTAGGGGTTCAGGTTGACACCTACCATGCTTATCTTAGTGTTTGAAGATTGTCAATCCTGGATATCATCACTCAGAGCTCTTGAGTTAGAAGACAGCCTTGTTTCCTCTTAATCTTTGTTTTTTGGTCAATGTACTATATTTCCACTAATAAAATTCACCCATACTACTTTAAAAGCTATGAATCAGCTATTTTGAAAAAATAGCAAATGTCCCTTGAATATTTTTTATTTTTTGCATTTTTTTGTTCTTTTTTATTAATTTAAGGTTCATTGTGGGTTTTTGTAAATATATACATACATATATATTAGGTTTGATCCTCTATTCGTCTTTATTAGCCCCTTCCACTTATTATTGCTTTTAATGCTTTCAGTGGGTCTCATGATGCTGTTTCAAACCATATTGTTTCCTTTTCCTACCCCCTACAACAGTCTCCCTTTTACTACTCATGCCATCTGTAATGTTTTGGGTCTAGATTCCAAATATGAGAGAGAACCTGAGCTATTTGTCTTTCTGAACCTGCCTTATGTGACTTAACACTATAATATCTGGTTCTTTTTTTTTTTTGTCAGTCGTGGGGCTTGAACTCTGGGCCTGGGCGTTGTCCCTCAGCTCTTCAACTCAAGGCGAGCGCTCTACCACTTGAGCTATAGCGCCACTTCCTATCTGGTTCTATCTACTGTCTTGCTAACAACATAATTAAATTAGGGGTTTTTTGTGTTTTGGTTGGTCGTGGGGCTTGAACTCTGGGCTTGGGAACAAAAGCTTTTCATGATGGGTTGTGAAGCAGGCTCCTTCATATAGCACAGCCCGCCTGGCATTGTGAAGGGCATCACATTCTTCCTTGGAATCTTCAGTTGGAAATGCTGGTGCTGGGAAATACATTGATCTGGAACTTTCCTGAGTGTTCTTCTGCACTGTCCCTGCGTTCTTCAGCTCAAGGCAAGCGCTCTACCACTTGAGCCACAGTGCCACTTCCAGTTTTCTAGTGGTTTATTGGAGATAAGAGTCTCATGGACTTTCTTGTCTGGGCTGGCTTTGAACCACGATTCTTAGATCTTAGCCTCCTGAGTAGCTAGGATTATAGGCATAAACCATCGGCACCTGGCTTTAAATTCCTTTTTATGGACTAACAATATTCATATATATATATATATATATGAATATATATAATCCAGTAGAAAGTACATATGTATGTCTACATACATAGTAGAAAGTACACAATAACCAGGAGACCTTTCAAACACCTGAATGAGATGTCACCACTTCCCTTTCTTAGACCCTTACCATTGCTTCTTATTTCTCTCAGACAAAGTTCTAAGCCTTTCCCCTTCTCTGCTAGGACCCTGCAGGCCTCCTCACCCTGAGGGCAGACCTCTGTCCTAGCACCTCCGGGGCTGGCTGCCCTCTCCATCTCTTAGTGTCCTTGCAGACCCTCTCCTGCCTGCAGGAGTGGCCCTGATACCTTGTCATCTTCATAATACCTCTGTACATAGTTATGTGCTGCGCTGTTTCAGGACTCAGCTCAAATGCTGCCTCTTCTTGCAGGAGTTTCATTGTCTGCATGTCACTCCAATTCCTCAGAAAGCATCCTGCTTATCTATGACACCAGCATTTGTGACATCAGCGGCTGTGGCCACCACGACAGTACCAGCACCTAGAGAAGTCTATTGAATAAGTGTCCTGAAAATATTTGTGGAAAAGGATTCTAAGAAGAATGGTAGCTTGGGTACCAAATGAGTTTTTCTCTTTTTTTTGGCAGTACTAGGGTTTGAACACAGAACACTATGCTTGCGAGGCAGGTGCTCTACTACTTGGATGAGAGTTCCAGCACATTTTGCTTTTTATGTATTTTTCAGGTAGGGTCTTCTGTTTTTTTCCAGGGTGAGCCTCAGGTCTCCATCCTCCTATCTAGAACCTCTGCCATTACTAGAACCACTGGTGTACACCAACACATCTGGATTGTTTGTTTGTTGATTGAGATAGAATCTTGTTAAGATTTTGCCCAGGCTGACTTTGAACTATGGTCTTTCCCATCTCACCCTCCCCAGTGTGAGCCTCTGCACCCAGCTCAGACATAGAATTTTCATAGTGATCAACGAAGAATTGTTCTCTCATTCAACCCATATCCCTGCCTTCAAGAATGATAAGCAATCCCAAGACAAGAAATACCTTTGGCCAGGATAGTTTTGCTTTCAACCCTTGCCCCTGCCCTCCAGTTACAAGCTTCCTTAAGAATTCAAAACCCACTGAGTGTCTGAGATGAGTAGAGGTTTACTCATCTCATCCTGAAGCCATCTTATCCCAAGGTTAAATATTTATTAGGTTTACATTAGGAATAAATACACGCTTCCACAAAATGTAATGCTTCCCACTTACATGTCTCCCCACAGCCTCCCTCCAAAGTTCTCATGACATTGACCACGGGGAATAGGACACTAACAATGCTGAGCTGGCATCTGGAGTCTGGAGGTCACCTGTCCTGCAAGGCGGGGGGGTCCCGCTCTCACTATGACATACCTCCCTCACTGCTGGCCGGTCACTCTGAACCCACCTCATAGGAGGGGTTGGAACTGCAAAGGTCCTTGGAGTCAGAGCCCTGCAGGCTGAGCTCAGGACTGGGGAATGAATGTACCATAACAGGCACACCATACCACACACGCACCCCTCCATCCCAGAATTCTTCAAACCCAGATGGGGTGGGGAAGCTGACATACGCATGCATCTTCCTTGTCTGGCTTCCAGCAGGATCCGTCTGGCAGCCTCCTGGACCAAGGCTCGCCCGTCTCAGGATGCTTTGCACGTTCTCCGTTACCTCTTGTAATTGGATTTGGCAGAACTCAGCCACGTTGGCTCCCCCTTTTCCTGGGGTGCAGCATTTTTATTCACATGAATGCCAGACTGACCCTCTTGAGAATCAAATGCAAGGGGCATTAATTCTTTAGAATGGCTCCGTTGCTTTTTGAGAAGAAAATCCAACCAGTCTCCTCAGTCCAGCAATCCCTCCATGGTTCCTGGTTGCCCTCACCTGAACCTGCCCTTTGCTCCCTGTGGGTGGGTCTCTCCTATCATGTCCAATGTCCACTTAGCTGCTGATCTGCTTTTCCTGTCTCCGCCATGACATATTGTTGAGGGCTGGAGATTCTTCATGCTGCTCTGGCCTCACACCATGCAGCACATTTCAGGCTCACAGCACCTTGCCAGACCATCCTGAAAGACCAAAGGTGCCTTCACACAAGCCCTAGAGCCCCAGCAGTTCCATTCCGGCCATGGAGGGCTATGTGTTCCCGAAGCCTGTGCCATGGCAGCAATTTCTGCCTGTCCCCCAGCAGCCTCCTTTTCTCCCATGTTCCCTCCTGGGAGAAGGACAATCAACTGCCCACTTCCCACAGTGGCTTTGACAGCAGAGAGCCCGGGGAGCCTCAAGGCTCAGCACTGCAAAGTCTCTCAGGCTAGTGCCTAGTGTCACAAGACCCCTAGAAAGAGATGGGGTGCATGCTCGGGTGTCCCTGGGCTGGCGACAGTGGCTTCATCAAGGGCCACTCTGCGGACCCAGCTACTCGTCTGTAGCTGCTGCAGCCTGTGGCTCATCTTCCTCCCAGGCTTTATCATAAAAAACGTTCTCCTGCGACAGTGGAGTGGGACCCTCTGCACTGTACACTGGAGCCCGGTCCCTTTGCACATTCTTGTGAATGTCTTGCTCTTCTCTGCACACCAAGTACACACACACACACACACACACACGACTCTCAGGAGTGTGTCTCCTCATCATGAGTCAGCCGTGTGGTATCACAGCACTGGTCAGACACCAAGGAGGAGAAGCTCCTTTGGCCACACTGCAGCCCCTATGTGGCTTCTCTTGGCCTCTGGAGGACCCGCGGTGTCCAGGGAGCAGAGGCCCCTGCCTTTTGGGGACCCTGGGTGTGAGCCAGGCCATGGTCCTCTGGCTAGTCTTCAAAGTAGGGGGGGACTGAGAAGAAGGAGCTCTTGCGCTTGCTTCCGCTGTACATGAGGGAGAGGCTCTTCTTCTTCCTGTCGAAGGGGCTGGTTTCGTCCGTGGTCAGGGACAGATAGGATGCGATGCTCTCCCGAAGGCCATAGCTGAAGAGGGACTCATCCACCCCCAGAGGGTTCTCTGCAACTTCGGGGTCCTCCTGCAGTCTGTGAGTTAGGAAGCAGATGCCAAAGGCAGAGAAAAGAACAGAGTGGACAAAAGGAGAGGCCAAGCAACAAAAATAAATGAGCAGAAGAGGAAAGAAAACGAAAAAGCATGGTTAATCTTTGAGCTTATTGTTTCAATTCTGGTGCTTACATCTGTGGACTGGCTGTATGGTTTTGGACAAGCCCCTTAACCTTTCTGAACCTCTGTATTTTCAGACAAACCTTTCAATTAGAAATAGTAGCAAATATTTACAAGAAAAAGTGTTCTATTATATAATTCTGCTCTCTGATTTTCTTTGAACTTACCAATAGATACCCTAATCTATGTTCAATTAATAGTATGTCTACTGATCAAACTCACAAATAGAAGCACAGCTGAAAATTCAGTTTTAATAGTGGAATGGATACAACAAACTGATAAAATATTGTATTCTTTGAACTCAGGGCCTTGAATTCTCAAGTATTTTACACCTGAGTTATGACCCTAGTCCTTTTGCTTAAAGTTTATTTTGGAGATAGAGTCTTGTACTTTTGCCAGTCTGGTCCCAAACCATGATCCTCTTACCACTGTCTCCCAAGTATCTGGGATTATAGGCAGATACTATCATATTTTCCTCTTAGGAAAAAAAAATGAGTCACCTTAGGACTTTGGTGGTGGTATCTAACTCTTGAGTGAATTTTAAATGATGTTAAATTTATATAAGATCCGTGTGTATGTCACTCTCTAAAATCCTAATAAATAAGAGCAAGGTGGTATACTGCTCCTAGAAAATGTACTATTCACACTGACTAGGGACTCGGTACATGTTTGCAGAGCAGGGGACTGTGAGCCTTGATGAAAAGTTGCTATAGACTGTGTGATGTCCCAGTCTGGGTCTGTGGGATTGAGGGTCTGGGCCCACTCTCGGGATCCCTGGCTGTGGTTTTCGTGTGCCTGGCTCACAGACGTTGAGGGACACACACACACACACACATACACGCACCTGGGTGTCCTCTTCCAGTTGAAGGTCTTCTGGCGCAAGGTGACAGGTGAGCTGGGGGCACTGGCTGCTGGGGTGGGCGTGTTCTGCATCAGACAGGGTGTGGTAAGCACACAGCACAGGCCGTCCGCCACCTCTGTGGAGGGAAGCAGATGATGCTCAGGGTCCCACATCTCACAGCCAGTCAGAAATACGACTTCCTGGGTTGTTGGCATGAAAATTGAGGCCAGGATGGGGAAGGGGCTTGGTGGGGAATGGCAGTGGTTTGGGAAATGTCACCACCCTGAGTGAACTGTGCTCTGCCCTTTGCTAGGGAAGGCAGAGAGAAGGATTTGGCTGTGCCCCAGGTGGAGCGATCTGGAACCTCTCTGAGTTTCATTTGTCTCAGGTGCAGGATGAGGGAAGCAGGGAACACACAGAGAACATCAGGCAGCGGCCCACATGAAGCAGCCGTTTCAGATCTCTAACGGCAAGCTGAGCCTGTGTTCAAGAATGGGGCCGTGTGCAAAGCTCCTAGTGCATTGAGGATAACATGTAGAAGAGCAAAGAGCTCGTGGGCCATGTGCACCGAAAAGAAGAAAACAAGATAGGGAGAAGGAGAGAGAGGCAGGTGGGAAAAAAGAGAGAAATGACACAGGTATCCTGTAGAGAGAACATGCAAATTAAATCCACCCACTTTGTTCTTGACTCAGGAACACCTCAGCCTGCATGGCCTTGGGTCTTCCAGAGCACTGAACACGGGATTCTAAATGGCCTCCACGTATCAGATCCTCACCCCATGTCCGTGCCCTTAGAAGCAACACTGACCCCTGCTATTCTGGGCCCCCAATAAGGCCAGACCCAGACCAAAAGTCCCAGCACCTCCTTCATTCCTGGAAAGACACAGTGACTCAGGATGTGACACCCTGGTCACAGGTCACCTGCTGTCATGCTTTAGGGAGTGCACCATGCTGCTGGTGCCACCCTGCCCCCTTGTGATTTGTGGAGCTGCCCCTATGTCCTTGTGCAAGAACAGAAGGAATCTGACTGGAGAAACCCAGCAAGCCCAGCTAAAGGGAACAGCCCGTGTCTGCTGTGGGTTCTAGTCTGATTTCACTTGAAAGGTCGTGTACATGGAGGAATGGCATGGGGTCATGGAGTCATGTGCTCCTTGTGTAATTGCCACTCTTGGTGGAAGAAAAAAGCACTTTGAGCCTAGGAGAGGAGGAGAGGAAGCCAAACACAATACTCAAGAGACTTGCGGGTGTTCCAGAGCATAGCAGGCCAGGCTCAGAGAGGGTCAGCCTTAGACTGGCTTATGTGAGGAACGAAAAAAGAAGTAGTAGAAAAGAAAAAGAAAGAAGAATGTGGAACAGATTCACACTCACAGCATGTGATACCCAAGTGCTGAGCTATCCTCACCCATTGTGTCTTTCAACCCTGTGTTGTAATTTTTATGTCCGCTTTAGAATAAGGATCCTGGGGTGAAGCCACTTTCTAAGGGGCACAGAAATGTGACCCGACAGCCCCATCTCCTTGGCTGTGAGCCAGTGAGCCAGTTCCACATTCCCAAAGCAACCCATTGCCTGCTGAATGGAGGACAGAGGAACTCTGCATTACTCTCAGGTGAATCACAGAGTCTCATTCACTGTCTACGCAACTGTCCCAACATCCTCTTGAGTTTACACCCTGGACTCCAGCAACTTGCATTCAAACATCTCATTTCCCCTTCATTTTCCTTTGCCTTGTGGGACAGTTCGTAGAAGGAGCCTGGGAAACGTCCTGGGCTTTCAGCCCCTCTACAGTCAATCAGAGGAAGGCTCTTGGATGCCAGGAGGGTCGGCGCCAGTCTGAAGTCTCCCCAGGGCCCCACAGCCCAGGCAGACTTGGCCCCCTGGTCCCTCGGAGCTCTACTGGGAGCATCTGTTTCATGTTTACTGTTGTCTATGCAAACTTGTGGTCTGTACACCCTCAGATGATTGTCATTAAGAGCCAAATACCACAGCCAAGCTGGGTGTGTACCCAGCAAGTGGCTGTCTCCAGGACTCCCTTCCTCTTTCAGTTTTAGCTAGCTTCTAGTCTTTTATCCAGCACAGAGGAGAATGTGTTAGCAATTAGTTTGCATCTGATGCATGACAGACTATGCTGGATTCGGCACATAAAGGTTGATGTTAAGTGATCATCTAACCCTTTGTGAGCGGCCTATTCCTGACCACTTTGCATGAATGAGAACAGAGGCTCTGAGAGGTGGAGGGCCTGCACAGAGCTCCCATAGCCTAGGCCTACTGAGGACCGGCCTCTCCCAGAAGCCCTTGCTCCTTCACATCTGCTGTTTCTTATTGCTCAGAGGTGTCACGCCAAAGGCTGTGGGCTCCTTTGCTTCTTCATTACAAGATTCCAAATCCTAAAGAATACTAGCAAGGTTTCCCATTTCAGCACCTGAAATCCTGAACCCATAAAGGGGGAAGATGATAACACAGTGTGAGGTCCTGTCCCATCCTCCCTCTAGTAAGGCACAGGAAGAGAAGAGGAAGGGCAGCTGCTCTAGGTCAGGTGCCAGCCCATTCCTCAGCACCTTCTACCACCTAGCCCCACGCCCCAGCAAGTAGCTGCAGCTGGTATCTGCACAAAGAGCTGAATAGTCCAGCAAGGCCAGCCACCATGAGCAGACAGAAAATAAACATGGTAGGGAGGGTGGAGCTGGTGTTTTCAATCTCTCTCCTGTCTGTGAGGTAGAAATCCACCTCCTGAGCAAGTTCAGGGCTTTCATGGCCTATCTAAATACTCTCCCTCTGACTCTCCATGTGTCGTACTCCACCAAAATCATGTTGGAAGCTGCTCTCCATCCAGATCAGCCTGAGAAAATCGGGACCCTCTCCTGGGCCCAGAAAATGTGTGCAAATGAAGGTACGGTAAGGGCGCACAAGTGGATATAACACAATCCCTAGTCTTCAGGAGCTCCTTGGTAAACACAGTCTTGCTCATAGTTAACCAGGCCACACGGCACAACAACCAAGGCACGGGGGAGAGGCGCACCTCGACAGGGAATGGAGAGGGTAGAGTCCAATACTAACTCCTAGGGCTGTATCACACAGGCAGGGTGCTGTTGGCCCTCAAAGCTGAAGAGAACGTTGACAAGTAGAAAAAGGGAAATTAGTCAATGTTCAGGACAAAGTCCTGGAAGTGTGACTCTGCCTTGCTGAGAGGCACCTCACCTGTGTTTATGCCTTTGGGCATGCCTTTATTTACAGAGAGGGTGAGCCTGAGGTTCTGTGCCTTGTGATTTCTATGCTGTACTCACAGCTACTCTTGGCCTGAAATTCACTCTCAACAGACACATGGACAAGTCCGTGAGACCCACGTCCTAGCCTAGACCCTTTGTGAGCATGCAGAGGACACAGACCCCTGTGCCTTACCAGAATAGTGGCTCACCAGGTCCTCCAGGCACTGGAAGGTGAGCCGCGGGGAGATGTAGTACCAGTTGTTGGGCAGACGGAAGATACGGTAGTGTCTCACCTGCCTGTGCTTCACCGACAGCGAATAGAAACCTATGGGAGGCAAGGGCCCATTAGTGGCATCCACGTGTCCCCACCCAAGGGTGACCAACAGAGCAGCTCCCGTCCACCAGGGCAGAGAGCCGCTCACCTGGGGACACTGCCAGTATACCAACACTCATCACCTCCAGCACTGACTATTCCCTTAGCTGCTGCTTCTGTCTTGAGCGCTCGGGGTGCTCCCATACCAACCCTCAATCTGCAGTACAGCCATTCCTGGCACCCAGGCCTGGTCCTCTTGCTGTTGAGGTGAGCATTTGGAGTGCTCCCACATCTCTTTGGCTCCAGATGTTGCTTAGTTTGTAGCCTGGCGATCACCTGCTGATCCAGGCTCCGCAGCCTGTGAATCTTTCCTGGGAGTTTGCTGAGATGTGGGAATTGCTGCTTTCCCCCCTGGTTCTCCGCCCTCCAGTGCTACCACAAGACACACTGGGGGAGCTCGGGTCGTTCCTTCTCTCCTGGTCCCTGCTCGCTGTGGCTTTAAGCTTGGTTTTCTCAGAAATGTGGTGTGAGTGGCAGTTAGGACCTTGTACTTCATGTCCCCAAGGTGCTGCGAGGTGACGGCACCTCCCCCAGCTCTGTGCTGTCCATCCGTATCTAGCAGAGATGGAGGCACGTCAGGAACACCTCCACTCATTCTCAGAGAGCTGGGGACCGACGGCCCCAGGTGTTGTATGGGTGGAGACACGGAGCCTCAGAGCTTGTGATGTGCTCTCACTTCTGGGATGCATCACTTGGGGACAGCAGCCCTGGGTGTGGCCTCCGGCCCATCCCAAGCAGCCTGTGGACCTAGCTGTGTGGAACTACCCACTGTGTGACTTCTCCTCATGTCTAGGTGCAAGTGGAAACTCATCAGGACTTTGCATATCCAGGGGCCAAGACAGAGCCTACACACATATCAGACCTGGGACATGGGCATTTTTCAATGAGTTGTACCTCTGTGTAGGCCTCCCCTTCTTGCCAGGCCAGCCTAGGAGGCTGTGAGCCTGGGTGGCCCCCATCAGGAGACCCTTAAGACATGTAGAAGGCATTGTGATTCTGCTTGTATCTTGCTTTCCTCCAGCACATTCAAGATTTGGGGCAAACATTTGTTCTAGCATTCTGAATCAGGCCCCACAGGCTTGCTTCTCCACCAGCCAGGCTAGTGATGGTTCCAGTTCTTGCTGAGGTACCTGTGAAATCCTAGATGCTATTTTCCATTCTCTGACAGCGAGTGGGCAAAAATCAGGCTGACAACCTGAATGCTTTCCTGCATTAAAAGTTATTAGAATGACTCTTTGGTGGGGAGAGCTGGAGCTGTTGAATGTTTTGTTCCTGTGACTTGAAGCCTGGACTACACTCCATGCACCATGCTAAGCGCTTACCTATGGTGAGACCCTGAGCTATAGCTAAGGGAACCTGGGCGTCAGAGAGGGGAGGTAGTTGTAGAACTGCTGAAACTAGACTTTGGGACCCTGGCCTTCAACCACAGAAAGGACAGAGTGTTTTGTGCTCTGTGGCACAGGAAGTCACATGGGTAAAGCTCACAGTGAGCCTGTGAGCTCTGACGTGGATTTGGCCTCATTCTCTGAGCTCTGTCACTTCCGTGGTGGTACAGCCTTGTGCATGGCAGGGACCACAGAATGGGAAATGCTCCCACAAGAGTCAAGGGGAGGCTGTGGCAGGCCGAGCTGATGGCAGTGCCCAGCCAGCTTTACTCCCTGTTGGTAGGCCTCTTGCTTACATGTAGGGCCTTGGCTGCAGGAGCTGACTGGGCAGATCCATTTGTGCTCATCGGGAAGGGGGAGGGGAGCTCAGACCTGCCCGTGAGGTCGAGGGCCTGCTCACCTTTCTTGGTCTCACTCTCTCTGATCATGAAGGAGCCCATCTTCGTGTCTGGCAGCTGCAGCAGCTCCTCTGCCTTGTCCCTGCCCAGCCCTTCAAACAGCCAGCTGGGAAGGACAGGAAAAGGACCTCTTACTCCTGGGGAAGTCATGTCCCAGAGGATGGACAGAATTTGCCTGGGTCTCATCATTTCTGATGGCCAGAGCCGGGGTAGCAGTGCTGCTGGTCCACCCAGCCCCTCCTCCCCAGTGGACCATACCATCTTGAGTCACCCACCTAAAGACGATGAATGATTCTACTGGAGACACGCACTCACCCGTGGTAGACTCTGGCCACACATATTCCAGGAATATAACTCTCCCGGCCAGTGCTCAGAGAAATAGCTTTCCACCATCCCCCTTCGCTGTCAGAACAAAATACAAAGGAACAGGTAAGGAGTTAAATGGCAGGACCAGAGAGAAATGATTTTACCCACCGTAGATGAGATATTACTTTTTCAAGATCTATGATTGGCCAGGTTGGGGTTTCATTTTTAAGTTGAATTTTTAAATATTATTTTATTGGAAAGATGCTGTACAGAGTTATCGCAAATAAGGGAAACCATGGGACCTATGTTTCTTTGGGTCTGGCTTACTTCACTTAATATGATTTTTAAAGCGTGTGTGTTCAGTAGACACTGCATTGCAAGCTACTTTGGGGACCTCCCCGTATGCTGGCAGGGCCCCCCTTCCTGTGCCAGCAGCTGATGACTCCAACTGATGCGTACAGTCAGAGGCTCCTAAAAATAACTGCCTTCTGTCTCTCTTTATACTCTGAAGTATAAACCAAAGATGGTACTTATGTCAGTAAGGATTCATACGAGGGACTCAGACCCCTGTTTCTTTCCATAAAGTCTTTGGAATCCAACTGAAGAGAAGCAGGAACAGAAGATGATACTCTCTATCATCAGAAGCATTTTTTTAGTTGGTCGTGGGGGCTGAACTCTGGGCCTGGGTGCTGTCCTTCAGCTCTTCAGCTCAAGGCTAGTGCCCTACCACTTGAGCCACAGTGCCAGTTCTGGCTTTTTTCTGCTTATGTGGTGCTGAGGAATCGAACCCAGGGCCTCATGCTTGTGAGGTAAGCACTCTACCACTGAGCCACCTTCCCAGCCCCATCAGAAGCATTTTTAAACCCAGACATCTTTTCAGCTTTCCTTGGTATATAGTATTCCACACACAGCATGATGTGTTGTAGGAGGCAAGGCAGGAAGCAGAATTGGGGTCATAAAGGGTCTCATCTGGCAGGCAATAAGGTGCCAACGGAGGTCTAATCATTCTGGCAGCATTAAGGGGGGAGGAGTCACAGTAGGGGCTAAATTTCTTACCTGATGGTAGGGCCAGCTAAACATCGAAGGACTCCCACCTAAAGCTAAGGATTTCCTGTCTTGAAGTGTATGAAAGTTTTGAAAAGCACACTCACTCAGAAATCACACGTAGTTTCTCTCCCCGATGGAATATCGGGGGGCTGATGTCAGGAGATGGGTAGTCACTCAGCACAGCCAGGAAGTCGCTTTCCAGCCCTGGGAAGCAAAGAAGGTGGGTCTTGATCACCGGAAACAGAGAGGCAGGTGGGTGCCACGAGGTCCTGGGAAGTCTCAGGCACCTGCCCTGAGCTGGCGGGGAGGGAGCCCAAAGAACCCAAGAGCAGGCTATACCTCCCATTCGCAGGCCTGCCTGGGACCTGATGCTCTCATTGAGAAATGGGGATCCAGAGACCCACGAATAGAAGTCACACAATCTGCCTTGTATCTACAAGCCTCAGTCTCCCCTTCTTTCAAATGGGGCTAAAACCTGGTTCCAGGGTCCTTCTGAGATGAGATGACCGTGGATGCATGACACCATCTCAGGAATGACAGGCACGATAGAATCCGCCTGGCCTTGTGTCCTCTCCTGGCCGGTGGCCCTACCTCTACATCATTTAGAGGTTAGGAATTAGGCCAAAGAATCTCAAACTTTGAGATTAAAAATAAGTTCAGGCTCGTGCCTAGAATTCTAGCTGTTCAGGAGGCTGAGATCTGAGGATGAGGGTTGGCACAGCACAGGCAGGAAAGTCCATGGGACTCTTATTTCCAGTTAAACATCCAAAAAACTGTGGCTCAAGTGGCAGAGCATTAGCCTTGAACAGAAGCCCAGTGACAGTATCCAGCCCCTGAGTTCAAGCCCCAGAACTGGCATAAATACATAAATACACAGACGCTCTTTCTTGTAGAGAGTGGGCACCAGGCTGGGAATCTATTCCACAGGGACTTTTATTGGTTGTGTGGGGTGGGAGAGAAGCAAAGTTAAGTACTTTTCATTGTGTGTATGTCGAAAGTCACTTCAATGGACTTTGGGGAAGAAAGGAATCCTGTTTGGTTTATGTGAGTGATGACTTACACTGGAGAGAAAATGATACAGCATGAATTTCCCCTTTGACACTAGATCATATCTGCTTTACAACCTTCGTGATTTACCGTAATTGCATTTCCATGCATCAGATAAGAGTAATGTCTGCGTGTATTTGGAAGAAATAACGTCTTACAAAGCAGCGGATGTGATCGTTGTTCTGTTATGGCTCTACCTGTTGCCTCAGGAACTGAGCTCACAGTTCTGGTAGCTGACCCTCTACCCTGAGCCCAGCACAGTGAGTGAGCTGGTGCCCCATGGAGCCCATGTTCTAGAGCTCACGTGGTGGTCAGGGCCTATGCTGACTCTATGCCTGGCCATGAACTGATAAACTCCCAGCACCCAGGCAGGCAGGCAGGACCTTTTCTGTCCAAAGGCATTCCCTGCTGAGACTCCAGCCAGTCTCTTACAGCTCCTGTGTCCTATATACAACAAGTCTCTGAAGCAGGCTGAATGGACACATTGAGCTCCAGGATGAGTGAGGGCGATGAATGGGTTTGGGGTAAAGGGCTTGGTTATCAGTTGGCAAATAAATCAGGAACAAGTTATCAGAGCACACTCAAATGTGGTGCTCACGAGGGGAAACTATGTAAATCTAAGATATGGGGTAGAAACCGAGTGACCTTTGGCATCCTTACACATCCTGGAGAAGAGCCAGGGGTCTGAGGAAAGCAGCACCAAGGCCACGGAAGGACCAGCCTGGCAAGGTCGCTGGCCTGTCCAACTGTGCACCTTCCCTGAGCCTGTTTGTATGTCTATGTGGACCGAGATCTTCCCTCACTCTACTCACTGAATTAAAAGAGAAACTCCGTGGATAGTCCAATGATTAGAAGCAGCACTAATGTTGTATGGATTCTGGAGTCAGAAGACCTGAGTTCTAAGGAGGGGAGATCTGGTGGTTTGTTGAGATGATGCAAATTTAGATCCGTTTTAGAAAAAGAACACGAAGTGGTGCATGGCAAATGAGGTGCAGACCCTAGGAGGGGCCAGAGCTTCCATGGTTTCTCAGCTTTCTGGCAATTCTGCCCAGCCGCCCAGGTGGGCCATGCAGCAATGGGCACGAACCACCCTTCCCATCCTGGACCTAGGCTGAGGAGGATGTCTAGACTCTTCCTGGTCCAATGGCCCCAGCAAAAAGTGACATTTACTCATCAACCCAGCTGCCTTTTAGCCTTCAGAGCCCCTGATGAGAATGTTCCCGCTCATGTTCTCCCCTGCCTCCCCACAAGCTCAGGTCCAGCCGCCTGGAAGAGGCTCAGCTCTCTACTATGCTGTTCATACTCTGGAAGCAAATATCCCAGACTTGAATTGTCGCATGTGTATGGCCCTCAGGGGGCTGTCACCTCCCCACCTTGCTGTGGGGTCCCAAAAGGCAGAGCACATGTCATCATGTCTTCAGTCTGAGCCCAGCCCTGAACCTGTCCTGGTTGGAGGCTCTGGAATGCAAGGTGCAGCTGTCCCTGTGTCACAGAGTCCTCAAGAGTGACTCTGGGATTGGTTTTGGCTGGTCTAGACATAAGGGAGGTGTCCCAGAACCCCTGACAAGAAAGAAGGGCAGAGATGAGAGGCACAGAATTTGTTTCCTGTGCCAAGACAAGGGCCTTAGATCAGTCTGTGTCTATGTAGGGGTTGTAGTTTGGTGTCTGGTTTAACGTTAAGACTGAAACAGAGCAGAATTGCTATCATCTGTGCCGTTGGAAAGCTAACTAACAGAAGCAGAAACAAATGGCATCCCACTGTAGAAACAAGTGTTCCAGTGGGGGAATGGAAGCGATTGGGCTAGAGTTTCAGTTTCGTGGTAATACTGTGAACTTTCGGTGGAATTTCCATGGTGTGTTTATATCAAGAATAGCTAAGCTTCGCCAAAACTACTGGTAAGGCGCCTTTATCTACAGGTCTGGTGGCTCTCTGCACCCTACCAGCAGCATTAGGAAAGCAGACAAATCACTGGAAAATTATTACTGCAGCCTATTGCAGCTTTGTGACAAGCTCAGGTCCAGCTCCATTCCCATCCTCTCTGAGCTTTGGTCCCTACAGGGAAACAAGTGCCAGGCAGGTATTTCCATTTGCCCAAGCTCAAGTACTTCATCACCTCACATTCCCAGATCCCCCTGGGCTTGTGGGGAGCTGAGCACTTGACTCAAACCCGATGCCTAAATGAAGCAGAGGGAGAGAACTCTGCTAAGGGCAGAGAGAAGATGATCACAGATTTGAGAGAAGGAAGCAAATAACAAAGAGATATGAGCCCCGCATGAGAGAAACCCAGAGAAAATTTTCAGAAGGACTTTACTGGAAGAGATCTGGCTTTAAAACTAATCAGGCCTGACTTAAATCCGCCTCTACCACTTCATAGCTCTACAGTTTGGGGAAAGATTTATTTTTAACTGTTCAAGTTCTGCCTCACGTGATGGATTCATGCGTCATCGTGATGTATATGTCTGGCCTCGGTGACTGGCAGCCAGCCCCATTTCCCAAACTGGGTTTAAGTATTATATAACCCACAGCCCATCCCGGCTGCATGTTCCCAACTTTATGACTATCTAGGTGAACAGATATGAATATACTGTGTGATCTTCTTGTCCTCTAAACACAAATCCCTTTGATGAGCACAGAAAACAAAATCAAGACATCAAGTATTTGCTGAGAGTGCAACTCAGCAATGAGGCAGGGTAAACAGAATGCAGAAAAGTGTAAAGCAGCAAGTGATCCAGGACATAAAGAAGCCCAGGCAAACTTCCTGGACACAGATATTTGTCAAGGAAGGACGGGCTTTTTCTAGTATTCTCTTCTTGAGAACAGTGTAATTGTTTCTCAAAGCTGAAAGCGTTCGAGTCACTGTCATTGATACCTGGGTAGGAAGCTAGTCATTCATGCCTTCCAGTTCCCTAGCTAGCCCTTCCAGTTCTGCCAGAATGTGGATTCTGATCTGAACGGTGAAGGCCAAAGCAGAGAAAAACTTAGTGACATGGTCAAGAGACTGTGAGGACTTCAATGCCTGGGGTCACCTCACTGAGGCACACAGTTCTCACTTGCTCTGTTTCCGGGCTGTCCCCATCAACACCTGGTCCTCACAGACCTAAACAAAGGCCCACTCCAAGAGTGCCTTCAAAATGGGGAAAGATGCCCCCACACAGGGTGGGAGCAGGGTTGAAAGGCCCAGAGATTGCCACTTCCGCTTGACGTTCTCATATGTGTAGTACAGTACATATTGTACAACACACACACACACATACACACACACACACACACACACAGAGCCAATCAGATGGAGCCCATAGTCTGGTAGTCTGGCTTGGTAAAAGGACCTCCAATCTGCCCCAGGGGTCTGAGGGTCTTCATCCATATATGAAAGATTTCACTGAGGCCTTGGAAGTGAGACCCAGTAGTCTAGGGAGCTCCCAACTTAGTGGGAAACGTGGAGCTAGATCAACCCTGAGGCCATGAGAGGTCAGCAGAGTTGACCTCTGTATGCAAAGCTGGCAGAATGCAGAGCAGAAGGGAGGCAGCCTGCAGGCCTCAGAGTTTCAGAGTGTATCCTGCTTGGGCACCGTTTTCCCATCCTCCTCTTTCCTTCCCATTACCATTCCCTAGCAGCAGCAGCAGGACAGTTGAGATGCAGCTTTTCAGAGAGCATTAGTGACCAGCCAATGATGCCCAAACAGATAGCTTCTTTTGTCACAGTCAAGACTCACCTAGAACACCGGTGACCAATGATGTGTCTCTTAATATTAACTTTAAAATCTATCCTGCTGTAAGCTAGGCGAGATCATGAATCTGATGGGTTGGTTGTGTTATGATTTTCACTAAATGGAAATTGGCTGTTCTGCCCTGAAACCAGCCTCTATGCCAGCAGTGGGTGAGTGACAATTAGTAGAAGTAGGAATCTAGTCCAACATTTCATATGGGAGGCTTGCTTAGGGGTTCACCTAGGGGCAAATATCTGTGTCATTGAATCTTGTGGCCAGACAGGCTGTCCCAGCTTGAGATAGAACAGCCTCTCTCTGAGCTTCCAAACCTCTTGAAAGCTGCTCTACTCTGTATAAATTGAGGTAGTGAAAAGATAGATGCTAGACTCAGGCTCCCTGGCCTCTTCTGAGCTGCATGGCCTCAGTTTCCTTAAATGAACTTTGGAGTGGTAATAATGATCAATCCCTTAATGGGGTGTTGTGAAAAGTAATAGTTTCTCTGTGTGAATTCACATGTATTTGCATGTAACGTGCAAATATGTTACACCTGCATGTGTCAGTCATACATTCATGTGTATAAACCACTTGGAATGCTATCTGACAAGCACCCATCAGCACCCAGCCACTCCATAACGATTCCTACTGTACAACCTGAAACAGAGAACTCTGCTGTGAACTCCCTTCTCACCCCTAGCTGTGATGAGTGGCAACAAATCTAGAAACTGGCCTGTGGTTCACCATCTCTCAGGGGTTCATGGTTGGCTGGTAAGAAATACAGCTAAGTGCTATTGCGCATGCTCAGCCCACCATCGTGGCATCTGACTAGTAGGTGTAGGTAGTGCTTGATCAGATGTGGGTGGTTTGAAGAACACCACTGAAAAAGTAAGACGTTCCAAGGTGGGTTTGGATATTTGGGTCTTCTTCCTCTCTACCCCTTTTTCCATGAGCAGCCATGATGATGCCTACCCTGGCACATTTGGTTTGCATGGTCACCTGTGAGCGGATGTCTCCCTGTGGAGCCGAGTGACATGAGGGGAAGAGACAAAGAGGGGGAAAGATCACAGCACAATAACTGAGTGGTGGTGGGGTGGAAAACACGCCACTTCCCCCTTTGCTGGGAAGGCCTGGCTCTTCATCTGTTCTGTACGCCTGTCACCAGCCCAGAGGAGGCGTCTGAAGTAGCTCAGTGGCGGAGGATGTTGACTGTCTGGGACCCTTTGGAAGCAAGTATGGACTGATAGTGTGGGCAGCTGACCCCAAGAGAGTGTTCCGACTTCCCACCTCTGCCAGTTCACTGCTCTGGGCTCTCCTGTGGCAAAGACAGATCACCACCAAGTCCTCTATGGAAGGCAAGCAACTTCCCTAAGGTCACATGGCCTCCAAGGGACATGACCAGGGGCTCAGCCTGGGCCTTTGCCTCTGGAACCTGCAGTACTCCTATCAAGGACTGCCACAGAGGTTTAGTTGCATGACTTGCTGGGAACTGGCCTGGTGAAGAATGTTCTAGAAAGCTTAGTTTAGGAGAACATAGACTGGCAAAGCCACATCCCAAGGTATTCAGAGTCTCCCCAAAGGTCTGAAGTGTTTTCCTTGAGTCCCTAGGTTGGCCTCTGCTGTTCTTCGGGCAGGGCCTTAGGCTTTAGTGCCTTGAACACTTGGTCACTGGGGGCTGGTGTCAGAGAGTGCTGGTGTTACAGGCGGGCCTGACACAGGGAGCCCAGGGCACTGTGGGTGGAGACGCCTCAGATGAGCATGCTCACATAGAAGCTACTTCCATGAAGAATGCTCTTCCCTGGCACCCTGCAGATTGGAGTGATAGCATCACCTTCTCCCTTAGGTCTCAGTAGATGTCGGGGGAAAGGGGAAGTGAGGTTAGGAGGGATGAGAAGGGGAGCTTTGCAGGGCCGGGGTACAAAAGCAGCCTCCAGTGCTTGATGTGGCTGCCTGGCTCACAGAGTGGTGTGACCTGGGGAGTTCTCCCTCCAGGGGCGGAGGGGAAGACCCCTCGACCTCCCACCCACACAGTGGAAAAAGAAAAACTTGCTTTGTGGCAATTTGCATTTGGAAAAAGAAAGGTAAATGAGCAAGTCCTTAGAGGCTGATGTTTTCATGGGGCTCGCTCAAGTGTGTAGCCCCTTCTGTGACTGGCTGAAAGGCCACAACTTTAAACGGGGTCTCTCCTGAGGTGGCTGGGCCTCTAGGCACTGTACAGCCAGCTTCCCAGTAGTCGTAGTGACCTGAGTCAGCCTGGGATGGCAGGAAGGGGCCCAGCGGGGCGGCTCTGCATCGGGGCACAGTGGCCAAGCAGTTCATGGGAGGCCCCTTCCACAGGACAGTTCCTCTGTCCTCCCTTATTTCCTGGTCCTGGGGATGTGCTTTGTGCTTTTCTCCATTTGGTTTGAGGCTGGAAAACTAAAAGCCATGTGCAGTGCCCTGCATGAGACTCGGGAGGATGTGGGGGACAGGGCGCTCTCATGCTCAGTAGGGGCCTCGACAAGACCATCCGACTGTGTAATTTGGGCAGCTAAGTGGTTCCATTTTGGAGGAAGTAAGAAGCCTTCCTTGCCAAAGAGCCACAGGAGTCATAGAAAGAGAAGTAGCCAATAGCAGGGGAGGGCAGGGCAGGGTGGCCGTCCTTGCTCTGTGACCTCTACCAAGGAGGTTACCGGGGACAAGACAAACAGGCTTGGTCACCTCTGCTGGGAAAGGTCACCATGCCCCAGGTGATATGACTCAGGGTGGGAAGCAGGTCACCCCCAGACTCGTCCTGTGGACACCTGGCCTCCCTGAGGCACCCATTCCAAGCTCTCGGGACCTACGCCCTCCCTCCCCCCAAATACAAGAAATCAAGAAAAGTGTATTCGAAAGGTCAGCGCTGCTGACCTCAGAGCACATCAGCCTTTGCCTCCTGCTGGCTGATAGTTCCTCCACGTCTCGGGTCAGGGACTGGAGGACTTTGTGGCTTTGGGAGTCTGGCCCAACCTGGCTTCTTTCTGCAGGGCTAAACTGCTGCCATCTTGGTTAGCTTGCAACCCCAGGTTCTCCCCAGAAGCACTGAGCACCTTACTACAGTGTCCTTTGTGTTTAAGCAGGACCAGGGGTACAGCGCCCAGCTCTGCCCCTGAAAGATTGGCACTGGCCAAACTCCAGCAGAACTCACGTATTTGTCCTGAGCTGGTGGGGGACAGTGAGCAAGAGTCTAGTTTTCAGAATTAGAAGTCTTGGTCAGAAATATGGCTTTTAAGTAGCTAATAGCATGAACTCCATTCTCCTGACAGGCCTCAGTTTTCCCCCATCTACAAGGTAAGTAGATTCAACTAGCAGAGTTCAGAGATCAACCTGAAAAATGTCAACTATTTAGAACTATTTCCAAGTACCCAGCTCTTTCGACTTGAAATATCTGAACCACAGACAACGTGAGAGACAAGTACTGTACTGTTATCCTATTGCCCCAGATAATAATGTCCACTATTGCTAGTCTTTCACGTGGGCTTCCAGGGACAGAGTAAAACATCTTGCTTAAGAAGTCAGACTTACCATCTGTGCTGGGCAGAGGCCTCTCAGGGGGCACAGGGGTGGATTTCATGCTGTTCCCCATTTCTGTATCTCCTGGAGCTGTTGGAGATGTGTGAAGCCTACAGCACAAGAGACACACAGGTACAGTCAAGCGCACCCTGAGCCTTCTGAGCGGAGAGTGACCCAGTTTAAAGCACATTGTACACCATTCTCCTTCTGCCCTGCCAGGCGGCTGTTTTCATGTGAGGATATGGCTTGTGAGTGTTGTTACATTTGCGCTGCTCGACTACTTTTATCAAGGGATTGGCAGAGAAAAACCACAGAGAGGGAAGTCGCAAGCAAGTGCTGATGGTGACAAAAGTTTCCATTCCTCACTGTCACTGAGGAGAGCAGGCAGTTTGTGTAAGAGGCTAAGCCGGCTTGCCCCATGCACCCCAAAAACCAAGACCCACAACCCCTGGCCATCTACAACCCCTGGCCCTCAGCTCCTCAGCCCAGAGAACTCAGGGCATCCAGAACTTAGGAGCTTTGTGGCTTTACAACGTGAAGTAGTAAGAAAATGGCACCTTCTGGTTCCACTTTTTTCTTGTCTGTGAGAATCTTCCAACCTGGGTTCCCAGAGGCCCAAAAAGGACAGCTTGGTGAAACACTTTTTTACTGAGAGCATGTAGTCGAGTGTGGTCACATCTCTTTGTGCCCAGTTTGCAGGGAGGGAAACTGAGTCTCAGAGAAAGTAAGCAACTTGTCCCAAGTCACGTGGAAGGAAAAGGGGCAGCTGGAGCGTGAACCACTGATATTTACTTTCCATTTTTCCCCCATGGCTTCTCTCTCTGGAGCTCAAGCAAGTGGGAATTTATAAAGCCAGATGACCTATGGGAAGTTGCTAACCTCTCTCTGCCTGTCTTAGGAGATAATCAAGTAGCTATGAGCCACTACAGAGGTAGCTTAAGGCAGAGCAGTGAAAACACTTAGAATATGGCCTGGCATCAATATGCTGCTAGTTGTCATCATGCTAGTCTATTTCCTGATTTGTCCTTCATGGTAAATGTCCAACCCTAGAACCCTCACACAATTATTTTACAAAGGGACCAGAGGTTGCAGAACAGAGCCATAGGGAAACTATCAGCCGAGGAGGACAGAAGATGATGAATAAGTTTTTCTTTCCAGTCCTCAACCTCCCTCCAGATACACGTCAGTGAGTCTCTTGGGTGTTTCGAGAGAGGCTTCAGTGTGCGAAGGCAACCCCCAAAACAGCACCAGTGCTAGCCTGGCCTCCCTCCCACCCTCCCCATTTCACCGTGCAGCCTCGCATGGTTCCAGCCACAGTGCCCTTTGGCGCCCTTGAATGCCTTTGGCATCACACGTCATTCAGCATCTACTGATAGTCCCACCTCCCTCCGGCCCATCTTCCTCCCACCCCGTCCTCTCTTCTGAGATACTTCCTAGCTGCAGGCGCCTGCTGAAATCTTCCCAGTAACAAGAAGAAACCTGGGGTTCCAAGACCCCCAGGAGGGTGAACTCAGCTCCTGCTCGGCGCCTGCTCTTCTCCTGCCTCACCTTTCCACAGGCCCTGTGGTACCATTCCCTCTTCCATCTTGCAAGCCCTTGGGGTTCACTCTCCAGGAGAAGATGGTTGTGCAGCGCAATGAGACCACAGAATTAGGGACAGGTCTCGGTGTCCCCTTAGCTGTTTGCTCGCTGCCTGCCTCTCAGAGCCTCCAGGAAGGAGTTAACTCATCAGAAAAAGAAAGGGTTTTATCTGAAAAGAGTGAAAATGCCCCTGAGGACCACCGCCAGCGTCTTCCTAATGAAAGGCTGAGCAATTTGATTTAATCCATGACAGTTTTATGCGGCGGCTGGAGATGGGAGAGAAAGTGTAAGAGACATAATTGCTTCCAGGAGCAATAATAAAAGGGCAAAAGAGAAATGAGTTAATTAACACTGGCTCTGTGCATTCTTGATTTCCTTTTCCCTTGTCTTTGAGGGGCAGCTCTTAGGTTTCCAAGTCAAAGGACCGCGTCGTCTCTAGGCACCATGTTTTCCCACCAGTCTTTGGAGCAATGCTATTTTCTCCTTGTGACCTTGAGCCTCAGTTTCCCATCTGGAAAATGAGATGAGTGGAAAAGATGCTCCCTAGAGAGGGAGTCTTTGCACCCCTCTCCAGTCTAGCAATCAAGACTCGTGGCTCTTTGAAAATTATTAATAAGAGAAAAGAACCATCGTAATTTTTTATGAAGTCCCATTGGACAGAATGCAGACCTTGTCATTCTATTCTTTGGGACTGGGGGAAGGCAGGTAATATACCAGGGCTTCTACATTGCTCTCCCAGCATCCCATAGGTAGACTCTTCTCTTTTGCTTTAATGTATTGGATCAGAATTACTTCACCTGCCCACTGTCTGGAGCTAGAAACCTGCAGCTCTTGACTTCAGGTCCTGTGCTCTTTGTCTTGGTCATTACACCATTATTGAGTCCTCCTCTGGGAGGGCTCAGGTCAGAAAACTATGGTGTAGGTGAATGATGTCACTGGGGGAGAAACCCCGGTGCCTACTAGCTGTGTTACCTGAAATCCAGCAGCCCATGAACCAGGCAAGCATGAGTCTGAACTTTGTGTGGCCACCATGCCAGGAACGTCCCAACCTGATTAACAGACTGAAGGTAAGTTCAAAGCAGTTCTCCCTGGCTCCACACCGCAAGGATCTGACTGCTATACAGTGGAGCCCTGGCCTTCTGCTTGCTGCCCTATTGGAAGAGGCCGTGAGAAAGGAACCCTTAGAAGTTACCAAAGCAAATTTCAGAAACTAGAAACTTTGGGGGAAACCATTAATGCAAGAGATGGAAGAGGCTCTAAAACTGGCTTGGATATACAGAGCAAAGATTGGGGGCTCCAGTTAAGGGAAGCCCTAGGGGAGGACAGGGAGGTCTGCTGTGGCCACAAGAATAAGAGGGGGACCGTGTGAAGTGTTTCTTAGCTTTTGCCATGTTATTTTCCAGACTGTTAATGCCATAGGCAAAACAAACAAAGAAAAACTAGCTGTGCTCATTAAATTGCAAATTACTGTGCAGGGGGAGAAACTTTCATTTTAGAGTTAGGATCTGCCTAGGTAGCTCAGGCTGGTCTTGAATTCAAGATCTTCCTATCTCAGACACCCGAGTGCTGAGACTATACAAGCATGTTCTACTATACCTGGCACAAGTTTATGAAAGTTTAGCCTCTAAACACTATGCATTGAAACTAGTGTAACAAAATCTCTACAATGTCTTCAAGTTTCTCTCTGGTTGGTGAGTGGTATTATAGGTGAGTATTTATGTATTTCTAGACTTTCCAAATTTCTTCCATGTGCATGAATAACTTAAGTTTAAGAGCTGGGGAAGAATGCAAGGTCTTTGGTGCAGGGTTCAGGGCAAATAGAAAAACCTAAGCAATGATTCCAGCTCTAGGATTATTAGCTGTGTGTCCTCTGACCAGATCCTTCTCCCTCTCTGAACCCTGGCTTTCAAATCCATTGACTTGGGATGCAAATATCCCATAAGGCTGTTTTGAAGATTAAATTACAAACAGTCTGTAAAACAGAGTCTGGTAAATGGTAGCTAAAAGTTCATGGGAGCACAGCTAACTCACTGTGCAGCTTGAACAAAACCCTGTCCCTGGGTAGGCCCCCAGCCCTCAGATGCAGCCGAGAGAGAACCGAATCAGTTATCTCACTAGGCTTCTTTGCCTCAGTTTTCCCCACTCATACCCCTTCCACCAGGACAGGACCCCATGCACCCACAATTGCTGGCACTGCCTGAGGTCTGACCCCTCACTTGGGGCACTAAGAGCTGGCACAGTGGCTCGGCCTTGGTTGCCCCCTCCCCTGCAGAGGTCTCACAGGGCTTCCGGGAAGCCCCACCACATCCTGGCCTCCCCAGGTGCATCCCCTCAACGCCAGGCGGGGGGCCCCTGTGACCCCACCTTTCCCTGCTCTCATCACAGGGGGGTACAGCTGCATATTTCTCCTGCTGCCACTCCCACATCTCCCTCCCTGTGTAGCAAAATGGGGCTCACCATCCCAGGGTTCCAGGGCTCCAAGGAGGCCCACGGAAGGAGGCCACTGCTCAGTCAATGCCCACTCCAGGCTTCCCATGCCTAACTTATGACCAGAGGTGCAGGAGGAGAACCTGGGGACTTGAACCCAGGGCCTGGGCACTGGTCCTTAGCTATTTCACCCAAGACACACATTCTACCACTTGAGATACAGCTCCACTGCCATCTATCTTTTGCTGGTTAATTTGAGAACAGAGCCTCTCAGACTTTCTGCACAGGATAGCTTTAAACCGAGATCTTCTGATCTCAGCCTCCTGAGCAGGTAGGATTACAGACACGAGTCACTGGTACCTGGCTTCAGCTTTCTTATAACATGAAATAAAGCTCAGAATGTAAGCAACCTGCTCACACACACACACAGTAAATAATCTGTCTATGACGAGAGACAGCCATTGCAGGCTTGTTGGCTGTGACCCACATGACTACAAGCTTACACCTGATAGAGGAGCCTTAGGTATCTAGGAAGGGATTTTGTCTGCAGGCTAGGCTTTCCCTAACACATCTCACATGAGATTTTATACAAAGAAGCCAGATGTGAGTCTAGCCAATGCAGAGACAAACCTCACTGTTGCTGTCTTCTCTACCTCTCTCCTTAATAGATGCAGCCACATCTACTTTGCTGGGTTTTCCTTTGTTTTGTTTGCCAGTACCAAGGTCTGAACCCAGAGCCTCAGGCTCACTTAGCTTGTTTTCCTAGCTGTCACTCTACCATTTGAGCCATGCCTTCCATCTGACATTTTTCTGGTAAATTGGATAATAGAGTCTCATAGACTTTCTACCTAGCTTCAAACTACACTCTTCCAGGCCTAGGATTACAGGCATGGTTCTATGAAACTCATTGGCACCCAGCTTACTGGGTCTTTACAGGGAAGATTAGCAAGAGCAGGTATTGAAGTCCCCATGGCTCCACTCTCCACTGGTGCCGGCGTCCTTGTCACCCAGACATGTCAGACAGAGGGGCAGGAGTGGCAGGGGCCTCTGTCAGAGCAGAGATGGATGACAAAGGCCATGCTTGATAGGGCTTGGATGCTCCATTGAAAGAAAAACCAGCTCTCACCTTTCTGAATCAGCTTTTCATGCACAGAGGCCCCAGGCCCCAGGTGGTGGGGCACAGAGCTGCCAGCCCTCGACTCTGTGGGACCCAGTGTCCTCTGAGCACCATACTTTCGATGGAGCTGGACCCAGGCTAGTAATGACAGCATTACATGGGGAGGAACATGGTGGGGAGGCCCTTGGGAAGTTTGAGCTCATTAGAGCAAAAGGAAGCGGAGGGACACTTCCGTGGCAACAGAAGGGCAGCCGGGGATTGGAAAGGGTATGGTTTCTTCATGACATCATGCTTCCCAGCAAGAAGTCATTTTACTTTTTATTCATACATATGAGTCACCAGCATTACTCACCCACCATCAAGCAAGCTGGAAGTGGGTATTTGGCCCAATGAGCATGTGCAGATGACAGACCATCACGGGTGTCCACCTCCCTGTAACTCACTTAGAGCAGATAGCTGGCAGGGCCTTGGGGCGTAGGCTTCAAATCTCTAAAGAGATCCCCTGTCCTATCTCCAGGCTGCTGGGGGCCTTCCCTGGGTTGCTCTTCCTCTGAGATGCTGAACATCTGTAGGGATGAGTTTGGTTCTCTGCTGTTGGCCTGAGTATTCTAATCATGACGTCCCCTGCTGACTGTAAGTGTTCTGAAGGCCGCTATCACTTCAGCTCTGTCTTCTCTCCCCGTGGGAGCACAGCAGATGTTCCAGAAAGAAACCCAAAGGAACTGATAAAAGAAGAGCCATGGTGTGTGTGTGTGTGTGTGTGTGTGTGTGTGTGTGTGTGTGTGTGTGTTGGGGAGGAATACAGCGTGGATCAGTTTTGTGCTGGTAAACATTTCCCCTTCATGAAGGGAGGAGAGCACCCAGTTTGCCAATTCCTCTGGTGTAAATCACCTCCCACCATGGCTGATTTCTGGCTTTTCTAATGTGACATCTTTAAGAGTACAGGTGAAAAAGCTTCACCCAATGGTCTCCCCAGCCAGCATGGGATAGCTTTAGGAGCTGTTGGAGAAAACAGACTCTTCATTAAAGCTTTCTCCTGATGAGAATTCTAAGTGTGAAGCTGACTTCAAGTTACCCATTTGTTTCAGAAGAAAAGGGACGCTGATCTCGATGGCAGCCACTGTGCGGGAATTCCAGCTGCAACGTTCCAAGTACACTGATTCCAAAGGCCCAGCTGGCAGGCTCAGGAGGTTGCCCACTTCATGCTATGAAGTCTCACCCTATTTTCCCTGAAGTTTACATTCTACCCACTGCATCTTTAGAACCCACTAGAGTGGGTTTTTGGCATGCCATAGTCCTCCTTTGGTGTCTTTCTGCTTCTCTGTAAAGAGGGTGGACCAGGGCACATTTCTCTATTCTCCATTTGCATCCTGAGAGAGCCAGGACCTGGGCATGTACAGAACTTGGGGGAGAGAGGGCAACACTGGCTGCTAAGTGGTAAAGGCAGGATTTGGAACGAGGCACTCAGGGTCCAGTGATGACCTCTGGGTCTCCTAGGGGTAATGAAGCCAAGTCTGTCCTTTCTCACAACAAGCACTGCAGGCCTCTTTCTGTATGCTGAGCTCATTCACAGGTGTTCTAGAGTGCAGGTACATTGAGAAAGCAGAAAGTAGAAAGGTGTATCAGGCTCAGGGGAATTGAAATTCAATAGCCATAACCAGCTCTGGTGACTCATGCCTATAATCCTAGCTACTCAGGAGATAGAGAAGGAAAGAATATCTATTGGGTTGAAACCAGCCCAATCAAAAGGTTAACGAGACCTCATTTCAACCAACAAACTGGGCTTGAGACCCAATCACAAAATCAACTAAAGCCAAAAGAGAACTGTAGCTCAAATGGTGGAGTGTTGCCTAAGAGAGGCCTAAGAGACCCTTAGTTCAATTCCCAGTGCTTGCCAAAAGGTAAAACAAAATTGACTTTAAGCTGATCGTTATGTGACGTGGAAGGTCTGGAGTGGGGATGGCTGAGCTGTAACGCAGGTGAATCACATGCACATCCTAGATCAATGTGAGAACTCAGTTACAGCAACTGTGCTGGCTGCTCTATTTTCCTCTGACCTCACTCTCTGGACTCATAACCTTTTTCATGGACGTTCTAGGATGGCTTTTACCAGACAGGTGACCTTTAACTCCTTCTGAGGAAAGATCACATGTCTATTCCTATTGAAAGATGAGTAATAATAACAAATTATATTGTAGGTGCTGGAACATATTCCAGTGACTTAGAACTATTGGAAGAGGTGTTGCATTTACTGTTTTGTCTGGGGTGGGCAGAGGTGCATGGCTTTAGGACAATGGACCCCGCTTCAGGTAGTCATTTGCCTTTGATGACAACCAGATTCCTCCTGGAGCTCTTTGAGTCTACGCAGCTTTATTGTTAACCCTTCCCCCAATTACTGCACGCACCTACCTAAGCCACCAGGTGCCAAGGGACATGTGACTTTGTAAAGCTGTTTGATCACAAAGGATGCCACTGAGCCCTAGAGGCCCTGGGCTCGGGCTGGAGCTGGAGTTCCTGTGAGCGAACCTCCCCCTCCTTTGGTGGCGCTCAGGGGAGGAAGTGGTTTGGACTCAATGTTCTTAATTCCTTCACAATCTCTAGGGAGGCTGAGAGAGGGAGGAAGCTGGTCACCTGGTATGGCCTCAATGCATAGTCACTGAAGGGGGATGGATGGGTGGGTAGGTGGGTAAATGGGTAGATGGATGGATGGATGGGTAGATAGATGCATGTATGGATGGATGGATGGATAGATTATGGATGTACATATGGATGGATATATGGATGGATGGATGGATGGATGGGTGGTAAATGGATGAATGGATGGGTGGGTGGATAGATGGATGGATGGATGTGTAGGTGTTGGGTGGATGGATAGATGGATGGACAGGCAGTCATACAGAAATGAATGTACTACCATGTCTCTTAGGTTTTGTCTGACATGCTGGAAATCCTGGAGAATCTCCACTTGTGAACTCTCTCCGAGCTAGGGAGAAATTAATTCTCATTGAATGTGAAATGAAAAGTTAGAACCCTGCAGCCTCTGCTAAGGCCAAAGTGGGCACCATGGGATGAGTGAGCTGTGTTTAAGAAAGGCACAACTCCTCAAAGCTCACTCTCAGTATTATTAAACTGGTTCCCATCTGCTGCAGTGGAAGCCTACTTTGTCTGCTCCTTTCCCACGGCACAGGCAGAAACTGGGGGGTTAGGAAAAGAAGGAATGCCCCAGTCACTGGCCTTGCAGCTTGACTTCCCTAAATTCAGCCGCCTGCTAGCACTGCTCTGCCAGTATTGACTGGTTTGGGAATGATAATAATAACCACTGTTTAGCATCTCTTATGCATTCCACGCTGTTTAGACTTCTTACAAGCATTTTATAAAGTGGAAGTGGGACATTTGATGAGGAAGAAGTTGACTTTCAGAGAGGCAAAGTGGCTTGTCTGGAGTCACACAGCCCTTGGGGGACCAACCCAGAAGCTGACCCTGGTATAGCTGGCTGTAAAACATGGCCTCTCATGGTGGTATCTCGTTGTCCCAGATCTAGAGGGGTTTAAGGTGCAGAAGTCTGAAAGGATTTCAGTCTGTTTTCTATGTTATCCTTACACTTTTCAGAACATACTAAGTACCCTGGCGTGTATAGCATTCTTCTAACAAGAAGATCAGATACAGAAGAATTTACCAGAATTTATTCTCCCCCAAATTCATTCTCTGCCCCATGGTCGAAGGCCCACTGTCCAGTTACGTAGACTTGCAGCTTAGAATCGCATCCAACACTCAGAAGGACAGTTTTCGCAGGATGAGATATATAACCCCTAACACAGAGCACTGCTCTAACCAGGGGCCAGAATCCTTGGCCACTGGCCGTCGCTGAGACTCCACCCTCAGCCCCTCAGCCCTGTCACTGCTCTGCCCCACTCCCACCAGCCGGGTGACTTGAGCAAGTCACTTACCCCCACCCCAGTCCCCATTTGCTCCTTTATCTGAAGCAAATAACAATTGCAAACTTACAGGACTTTTCTGAGGATTACATGAAAATACAAGTTCTCATGTCACTCAGCTTACTGACATCTGTTTATACTCTCAACACAGCCCCAAGTTAGGCCATCCTGGGGCCAAAGTCGGGATCACTCTCTAACACCAGGGTCTCTCGGTGTAGCCCCATGAGCCTGTGCCCTGTGCCCAATCCTTAGGAATCCGTGTTTCTCCCTTTTCCACCACAGTCCACCTGACTCCCACTTCAACTCTTATCAGTGATCTTTGGCTGAGCTACCAGGACCACATTCTTCTATGATTGAGGTTCCCCTAGCTGGGCCCTTTTGCACCTTTAGACATCACAACTCCCAGCTTTGCTGAGCATCTGCTCTGTGTCTGAAACTGTCTTGAGCACTACGCCTATGTTAGTTCATTGGATAGGCCACACCTGCATGAACTCAGTACTGTTAGCCCCATTTTACAGATGAGAAAGTGGAGCCACCCAATCTAAATGACTTGTCCAAGATTGCTCAGCCAGGAAGTCTGATGGCAACTCCCAGTTGTCACTTGCAAGAAGCCAATACACTTGCCTGTGGGAGGAGTGTGGCCTACGTTCCCTGCCTGTGCTGCTCTGCCCACCCCAGTGCTCCTTTCTTCGGTATTAGTTGTCAGCATGCGCTGAACAGTCACATTGTGCCAGGCGCCAGGCCATTTGTCCTCAGAGCTCATCTCTGGCTGTGGAGAATAAAAGAAGTGAAGTCCCTCCCTGCCCCTCCCAGCACTTCCCCCAAGTACCTTCAGATGCAGATGTGGGGCCTTGCCTCTTTCAGGAATGGGCTGTAGAGGACCACCAGGCTCTGGGTCATCCAAGCTCCATCAGCGGCTGCTCTAGGGTGAGCTGGTGGCTGGGGTTCAGGAGGACAGAGAGGAACGGCCCATGCTGTCAGGCTGCACTTCCTCTGTTAGAAACGGGGAAGGCACTCAGCTGGCAGAAGGCAGGTTCCTGTTTCACTAACCACGCTGAGCAGACTCGTCTCTGTAAGGACGGGGAGGAGAGACAGGCATTATTCATTCTTTTACAAACCACTTGAGAATACAGACAGCTTGATTCTAAATGGCCAGGGCATTTAGAATCTTGCTCTGGATTCCCCCCCCCTAATTAATAGGCAGAAGAGCTGAAAATTTGCTCCTGTGCATCCCCAGAGCTTACTGGGACCAAGGAGGCTGTGGCTTAGCTCACTGCAACTTCTCTTTTTGGAGTTTCCCAGTTTTTACAGCTTCTGTGTGTCACTGTCGGATGGCCCTAAGGAGAACTCCCAAGCCTTGTCTGGGTTATAAACTAGAGACAGGTGCACAGCAAACCCCTGTGTGCACAGGGCTTCCTGGTAGCCGTCACAGGTATGGGATCCTGCCTCCTCTATGGTACTGCTACCAGAAGACACTAGAAAGCTCATGACAAAAGGAGTGCATCCAGATCTTGATTATAAGAGGCACAAGAGGCCTGGCAACTAGATGTTGGGGTGATCCTTGATTGTGCACTGAATGAAGGGAAACAGACCAGAAGGGGAAGAGGGAGAGGTTTGGATTCATGGTACCTATTAGAAAGCAAGTGTGGGGAGATCTGTTCTCATGAGTGTGGTAGTGAGATGCTGGTCATGAGAGAGCATGTTCTGGTTCCTAGAGGACCTGTGTGCATGTCGACATATCTGGGGGAAAGGTTCACAATGCATACAACTTGAAAATGATCACTTAAATATAGTGGAGAGAGAGAGAAATAGGTAGAGAGAGAGTGTACCATATTTTGGATATTTGGTGAATCAAGAAGAGTACCTAAAAATGATCTTTCTCCTCCTTCAACCTTTTCATGAGCTTGAAATTAAAATGTAGATTTATGTATTATATAATACATTATGTATATCAAATATTTCCATATATTCATATATACACATATGTGTATATATATGGATATATGAGTATATCCGTATATATGGAAGTATATATATATATATATATATATATATATATATATATATGGTGGCCTGAGGAGCTACCTGTGAACACAGCATGCCAGAAAGGAAACACTGCCAAAGGTGGGTCATTTGTCTGTGTGTGTGTGTGTGTGTGTGTGTATAGAGAAAATCCAGGCCTGCAAGTCTTATAGGCATATCAAGGAAAGGTTGAAGGCTCCAGAACACCAGGTCAAGGATCTCTTGGGACTTGCCTGCTTAGGAGCAAGAAATGCCTGGTGACAGTGAGTGCCAGGTTGTCTTCTCCTGCCCCTTCACTTTCTAGACAGGGCATCAGAGAACACGATGACTTGCCTGGGTTGCACAGCTAGTCCTTGCTCAGAGCCAGGGCAGAGTTGAGGGCCTGCGGCTCAGGGCCCCACCCAGTGAGGCTCACACAGTCACCCCAGGACAGTCATTGTGAAACTTTACTTGGGGTGTAGTTTGCAAAGATAAATTAAAAACATCAGGGCTGTGTGTAAATTTAGAAGTTACCCTGTACTAGACAGAGGGCTTCTCAGACAGCCTGGGCCTGAGGAGCCACCTGTGCACACAGCATGCTGGGAAGATGCCAAGAAACATTGCCAAATGTGGGCCATTGCTGGACGTGGGAAAAAAGAGGGCAGGGCTGTGCAGGCAAGTTTAGTCAGAAGGTGGAAGCAGCACAACCACTTCCCGATGTTTAACTGGTGTTACACGGAATGTACTCACTGCTAACCTTGTTCCTTCGCTTACACCAGCTATGCAAAGCACCCTCCTGACTTAGATTCAGCCATGACTGCAGACTGGTGAAGCCCACCCTCTCTGAGCTCCTCTTCCTTGGAGCGGGCAGAGGACAAAGGCTCAGAGCATGGCTCAGAGCACGGCTGAGCTGAGATCCACAAGAAGGACAGAAGCCAGCCAAACGACAAGCCAGGGTGAGGATGCACATCTGGTTTGAGAGGAGGATGTCTGGGGACAGACCCAGGCCATCCTTAAGGGCACTCCAGTCTGAGGCAGAGGCAGATGAGTGGCTGCGGGCAGAGCCTGGTGTGAAGGAGAACACACCTACCAGGAGCCACTGTGGCAGAGTCAGGTCTGTTCCTGTTTCAGGACAGAGGTTCCTCAAAGGAGGGTTGCTTTGTGAAAGCTGCCTCCCAGGCCTCTCCCACTGCATCTGCAGTGTCCTGAGTATCCTTCCAAGGGCCATTTTCCATACTGCCTGTTTCTCTCCTAGTCCATGAAGGAGGCACTGAGTTCAAGAACATTGTCATTTATTCATTCTATGGCCCATTCATTCATTCCATCAATCAATCAATCAACAAACCTTGGTTAGCACTTGCTCCATGCCAAGCACTGTGCCAAACAGCATTAAGCACCAGCAGGACAAAGCACTGTCCTCGAGGCGCTCACAGCCAAATACTCTGCTGTTGCCCAAGTCTAGCACAAAACACGGTTCATTGAATATTGCTGGACATGGGATGTGGTAAACATTTGCTACTGACTTCCTTGCCCTGTGGGGACACGTGGGGCAGAATCCACAGAGGTGGATGAGTGGCCCCACCCCTGTCCTGCCCTGGGGGAATGTATAATCTAGTGGAGGAGACAGATGTTTGGGAATAGAAGCAAGAAACTGATGATGAGGTAGCCAGAGAGGAGGCTGAGCAGACTCCCGGCTCTGATTCCATGTAGAATGATACCAATGCCTGGCGGGGCCTAGCTGTATTCCATCTAAGCAATCATTAAATGTCAAGGTCCTCAACATGCTGAGTCCATACAAGAGACACTGGCGGGGGCTGGGAAGGTGGCTCAGTGGTAGAGTGCTTGCCTTGCATGCCTGAGGCCCTGGGTTCGATTCCTCAGCACCACATAACCAAAAAAAAAAAAAGAGAGAGAGACACTGGCAAGTGATGTTCCATTGAGGACTTCAAGGTAAGCCAGCCCAGGCTGTACTAGTACAGAAGGAAATTACACTTCAGGGCTCATGAAGCTACCCCAGACCCTCTGTGTAGGAAGAAGATTCCTCTGGAAAGATTTGCAAATTAATTTGCTTTCAGGACGCAGACAAATGGGCACAGGGAGGTCACTAAGGTGCCAGCCGTATGTAGCTTCAGGGTTGCGCAGTTGAATGGAACAGTGCGGTCACCACCTTTGCTCTGGTGATGGGGTCTCCTACCAGGAGCCAGATGTTATGTTCCCTGCTGGAACTGGCTGTGAGTGGCAGCTCCAGTGTCACTTGGCAGGGCACCACCCACGCTGAGTCAAGTTCCCATCTTGGTCCAGTGGCTTGTTTTTAGGCTAACCAGACAAAAACACATGAGACCCTGTACAAAAGAGTATCTAAAGCAAAAAGGATTGGGGTATGGCTCAAGTCGTAGAGTACCTACCTAGCAAACACAAGGCCTCAATTCAGACCCTGGTACTATGGAAAGAAAATTATCTGAGAGGACACCGCGAGCATGGAGTTCTCTCCTCAGAAGGGTGACCTTGGAAGGGGGCCAGTGTCCAGATGTGAGGATTAAGCTGAAGAGCCAGCCAGGGAAAGAGCAGCCAGTGCTCTGAGCTGGAAGCTGAGTTGTGTTCTGGAGCCTAGAGGAGCCAGGGGACTGCCAGGAAGCACACTGGTGCTCCAGGGCTCTTGCTCTCCGTATGTGTTTGGTGTTACCCTGGCTGTATGCGTGGCACCTGACCAAGCCCGGCTCCCCTCACTTGTCCTTGGCCACCAGCGCATGCCGCAGTGCCCCCTAGTCTATGTTTGTGGACTCTCAAGGTTGTGGGCTGCTAACCCTCTAGCTAGTCTTCCCAAGTTCTACCTCAGCTTCCCACCGGTCCTTTCCCTCCCTGCATTCGCAGTGAAAGGTTGGGTCCTGTTGTATCCTTCTTAGGCTGCTACCAAGCCTCGCTTCCCACAGCTAGCTCCACCCCAGCTTCACAGTTCTCATAAGGCCAGCACCACTGGGAGCCTCTGTGCCTCACCCCGTAGACACTTCCAACCCCCTGCCCTGCAAACAGGTCCCACACCCCTTGTTTCCATCCTTCCCAACCTGTGCCAACAGTCCACTCAGTGCTCAACTTGTGCATAAGAATGCCAGGCCTCCCCTGTCCAGAAGTACACCCTCTCACACACACACTGGGAGTTTTACCTGCATTTCAGGAATGGAGCACATTTCATGTTGGAGACAAGGTCAAGAAGGGAGCCCTGGGGGTGTGTGACCTTAAGCAGATTTCTCAGTCTTCCCTGGAGGCTACAAGTTACTAATACCAGTTGGCCATGAAGACCCCTAGGAAGATGTATGTGAACCACCTAACAAGAGCAAGATCAAAGCCTCCGAAGTTCTCAGCTTCAGGACCCAGACAAACAGCCTTTCCTATCCAGAGACTTGGGCAGGCTGGTTGAGTTCACTAAGCAGCTATGGAGCCTCGTCCGGAAGAGATACCCATCCAATAAATAAAGAACCAAGCTCACATCTGTCACACACAATGACATAGGTTGTGACCGTCTGGTTTCAAGCATGGAAGACCATGTGTTAACTATCCCACCTGAGGGAGGACAAATATTAGTGTTTCTCTGAAAGTCAGAGCGCAGAGCTAGGAAGGAACTGAGCCCTCCACTAAGCGGAACCTGAAGGTGGTTGAGTCTTGGTGGGAAGCCCAAGAAAGGGACTAAGAACTATCTCAGGAGCAAGAAAAGTGGAGGGTCTGTTTTCACCTCCTTCCCTGCTAAGAGATATTGACTCACTAGAGCTGGTCCTTGCTCAACCAAGGCACTGCCTGTGGCTTGTGGAACATGCACTGCTAGCTTTGCAAGAATCCACCAAAAGGGTCACAGTTTGTCCCCAGAGGACTAGAGGGTCCCTGAGCAGTGCCCAGCTACAGCAGCTTGCATCTCTGCTTTCTTTACTGATTGGCAAGTGCTTTCCTTTCCTAGAATCTAGAGAAGATGCATTCATTCTTTCATATGGGCATTTATGCAGGGACTCTCTTGATCCAGTCTGGAGCCAAGCTGGGGGGAGGGAGTGCAGGATGACCCCCTGCATGTTCTGCCC